GTTTATTCCATGCTAAAATGCCATTCTGGGTCTTAAGTACCCAAACTGAGTCTGTAAGTGAGTCTGCAGTAGGGGTTTTATCAAGTAATCAAAACTAAATGCAATCCAAGAAGAATAAAACCATTATTTCTTTTCAATATTGTTATTTTCAAGGGTCAAATTTTATTAAAACAAAATTTTCAACATTGCATTTCAACGTGATTAATGTAAATGTGGGGTAGCCTAGTGGTTTAAGTGTTTGCTTGTCACGCCGAAGACCCGGGTTCGATTCCCCACATGGGTACAATGTGTGAAGCACCTTTCTGGTGTCCCCAGCCATGATATTGCTGGAATATTGCTAAAAGCAGCGTAAAACTGAACTCACTCACTCTGCAAATGTAACAGAGTATAAATGTTCTTAGATTCTCTTTATTGGTCTTATCACCAGTGACATACTAGTCACCTACAAAATCGGTGAATTTAACTGTAATATGAATGAGGAATTGTTTTATTCCAGTGTTGGAACTTGTACTGTGACATTACCAGACTTGGATAAATCCCATACTGCAGATTGTTATTGCATGGCTGTTCATACCAGTGATGTAGAAGTCGCTCACTGAACAGATAGAATGTAAAGCAGTTTGGCGTTTATATACAGAAAGAAAACTCCACATCATGCAGTGACTGGGGTGTTTATTTATCGTTGATGACAAATCATTATCTCTGGATGTACTCCAGTTCTCAATCACTTAAGACTCGCTCGTATACAGACTTTCTAAACATGAAGAATATTGGTGATGTTTTTAGATCATGACCAAAAATGTCTTTGGCACTGATGTACAGACCACCTGTTTGTCATGATAAAAGAGAGATATCTGGAGGCCTTTGACACGACCTTACACTGCACTTGACTCATTCCAAAGGATGAGGATGCTTGATTTTAATGGATTCATTCAGATACTGATAAGGACGGATAAACAACTTGTGTAACTGTCTTCTGTGAAGGTGTCATAATGATCCTGTTCAAACACAACCTTTCCTGTCCATGCTTGTAAGTTTTTGGCAGCTATGTGTCTATGCCTCTGTGTTTTGAAGGTTTTTCTCCTGTCTGGAACTGGGCAGACCCTTTAAATCTATAGTGGACCGATTCCAAATACTGTATAATTCTGACAACACAGATCTACCGAGGTGGGAGCCATAGAAGCATTTATTTAGATTGATTATCTGGCAAAATAGAATTAATTCTGGAACTTTTTGGCAAAGAATTTACACAAATAATTTACAAAAAAAGAATATAGAGTCAAGATTAGCGAAATTGTATAATTTTGAGACACAACAATGTTGATGATGAAGGGTTACGAATTCATACATTCAACGACAGACAATAGTGGTACCAATTACTGAACCAAACTTTGTCACATATTTTTAAACATATTGTTTAGATGTTAATCTGTCTTTCATAAAATATATGATAATATTTTTTAGGACATTTTGATTAATTTTGAGTCGATCAACTTTTATCTGACCTGTAAGATTTAAATTTATCTCAAATATGTAACGAACAATAAATCTTTCTTCATATGCTTCCTTGACAGGAGTATAAGCATTCCTCTGTGATAGTCATAGAATAAGATCATATTTTTATGTTCTTTATTGCATAAATTGTGATATATATAGTTAATCTATTGTTTAGTCCGCAATTGAGAATGCCCTCTTACACCTGTTGAATAATGGATATTCCTGTTTAATGTCAAATGGTACATGTCCCATGTGCAATATTGTTGATGTTGAAAATGCAAAACTGAATATATATTTAGTAGTAGCTATACATTAAAAGGATTTATGCCACATTTGAGTTTGTCATTTTTTACATTCCACACATTGATACAATGTGTGAAGCCCATTTCTGGTGTCCCCTGCCGTGATATTGCTAAAAGCAGCGCAAAACCATACTCACTCATATACTATTTTTCACAGTCCTAATTATGCTTCGAGGCTTGTCAGCATTGTATCCATGCTTAATGGTTTCATGAAAGTGATGAACGCCCAGCACCTGCTTCACTTTGGGCTTGCCATTCATGTTGAGTGAGTTTAGCTTTACGCCGCACTCGGCAATATTCCAGCTATATGGTGGCGTTCTGTAAATAATTGGATCTGGACCAGACAATCCAGGGATCAACAGCATGAACATCAATCTATGCAACTGGGATACGATGGCATGTGTCAACCCATTCAGTGAGCCTGACCACCTGATCCGGTTGTAGCCTCTTACTGAAGATCAATTCTAACCCGGATCTTCACGGTTTCATTCATGTTAAGTTGACATGCCATAATGTAACTTGAATGCTGATAACAGTAAGTCCATTGTTATGTAGATGAATGCATTGTCAACAAAGGAAATAGCAGATGTGACTGTCTTACCACTGTGAACCCGTGAAGATCTGGGTTAGAATTGGTCCTCAGCAACCTCACCACGAAGCTGATTTTGTAAGGAATACACCTAGAATCAAGATGGTATTGATTGATGGAAGAGTTTATGATACAGTGTAGTTTCGGGTGAAGATGGACCGTCTGTACTGTGAATGTGGTACAGATTGAGTGTCTAGTCTGTGAATGTGGTAGATTCATTGTGTATTTTGTGAATGTGGTACAAATGTATTATCTATAGAATGCAGTGCAGATGGATTGTATGAGGTGTAAATGTGGTACATATATATTATTGTCAAACGAATGAATGTGGTGCACATGGATTGTCTAAAGTGTGAATGTGGTACGAGGGTCGGTCAAAAAATAGTCGGCCTAACTATATTCTTGATGTCCAATGTGTGTAAAGCTTCCATTTTATTTTGAAGGAATCATTAGCAAAGCCATCTCCAAAATGTCTCATACGTGGGTAATGTGGTTAACAAGATATTGGTCATCACGACACATTGGGTATAATTATTTTTTTTAAATTGCAGAAAATAACAAAACCGATCTGTCATTTAGTACCTCTTGGATAATGCTATGCCCTCAGATAATATCATATAAAATATACCTCCTTTAAACCTAACTCACAAGTGAATGTGTATTATGGAACATTTTTGGCAAGGACCCTGTGTGACAAAGTTGTCCTAGTGCCAGGATGTTCTATCCTCCCAATTTTTATCATTGACATGGAAGCATTAGGTTTCTGTTGTGGAATGAACTAGTTAGCAACTGTTAAAGTGAGTGAGTGAATAGGGTTTTGTGCCACTTACGGCAATATTCCAACTTTATCATGGCAGGCTACATCAGAAATGGTCATTACACATACCCAAATGGGAAATTGAACCAGGGTCCTCGGCGTGACGCGTGAAGACCTTAACAAATAGGCTAACCTACTGCCCCACAGTACCAAAAGCTCAATTCCTCTGAACATGTGTCAGCAGCAACTTTTAGGACTGGTCTCCCTGTTCCATCAAGATGTAGCCTATTTCAAAGTACATGTAGTTCAGAAGAAACATCTTTTTGGACTATGTCCATGTTTCCAAGTGTGTCTTCACCATTGTTGATTTTCTGTTATTTTATGTCTTGTTGATTGTTTGTTCTAACTATATGACTGTGATGTGTAAACAATCGAGTCTGGATCAGAAAATCCAGTGATTGACATCAAGACCCTCGATCTAGACAATACGGACACAATGACATGTATCAACCCAGTCAGCAAGCCGGACAAAATGATCCTTCGTCTCTTATGACACACATGGGTTGCTGAAGACCAATTCTCTGGTCAATCTTTACTGGACTTTGTTAATGTAGTGTTATGAATATGTGTTCATCAGTGCACTACAAGTATCCATAATTATATTTCTCATGCTCAAATTTAAAATCTGAGCTGCAGCAGCTATTGTGTGTTTGCATGCATGCATGAGTGTTTATTACTCGACTTGCAGATATCCTATTTAAATATGCACTTGTAACAATAAGCATCCATGAAAAGATAAAAAATATCACTATCAATCTAGGAGTAGTAATTGATTGAGTATGGGTTAACGCCACTTTTAGCAATATTCCAGCAATATAATGGCAGGGGACACCAGAAATGGGCTTCACACATTGTACCCATGTGAGGAATCAAACCCGGGTCTTCGGCATGACGAGCGAATGCTGTAACCACTAGGCTACCCCACCGCCCCCAATCTAGGAGTAGTATATTATCACTATTATCAATATATAAATGTATCTTCAACATCATCTCCTACTCTTCACCATACCAAGGGTTTCTTCTTTTAAAATACAAACAACAAAATGTTTATCCCACCCAACTTAAATACCTGAACTTTATTCTTCAAAGTTCACATGGCTGTGTTAAACTGAATACAATCTACATAAAGATACACTGTTTAAAGAAATGGCAGTAATACAAGTGAAGTATTTGACACGGCAATGAGGTCACGGTGGTTGCATTGCATGGCAAACCCTATGTTACCACCCAGCAGAGCACAGAGCTGGAAACTGTGTAGGGCCCATAAGTAGGTCACGGCACTTCGCGAGACCTTAGTACTTCTGGTGACAAACAACTTACACTAGATCCCGGTCTAGGAAAATCCTATTCAGTGGTCGTGCAATTTAGAACCAGAACTGGTTCTTGAATATACGCTTGTCACTGGAAATCTGGTACCGGGAGTAAGCTGGGCCCCGTCTCGCATATCGCAAGTTGGCACGCGCATAGGGAACCAGCTTAGTAACGAGAGTAGCGCCAGGTGAGACTTACGGGCCCTATAGTTACAAGAAAAGATAGATTTATGGATGTCAACTTCTTTATTATGGATAACACGACATTTTGGAGTGAATGCTTGCTCCTTCATCAGGTGAATGGTGAAGGAACCATTCACTTGATGAAGGAGCAAGCATACACTCCGAAATGTCGTGTTATCCACAATAAAGAAGTTGACATCTATAAATCTTTCTTTTTCTTATGCATTCCACGTCTAAATGCCCTTCAAAGATTTGATCCTATAGTTACAACTGAAAACAAATGCATGAGGTATGGGAGATGACATAATTTAACTTGATTCTATTATGAAAAAATGAGATGTTTAAACCTGTTGCTAAGTATAAATGAGAGATTATTTTCAATCATAAGACACAATTTCAATTCAGACAGTCCAGATCCATTTTGATTCAAATTTATCATGGTTTTATCTTTATGTTAGAGGAAACCCTATTATGAAGACGGTTACAATTCCAGTGAAATTCACTGACAGGTTCATTACTGGGACAAAACTTAGATTCTTAAATTTTGTAAAATGGATTGAAACAAACCTATAACTGAAACAAAGGTCAAATTTCCTGAAAACATTTTACTGTTAGGAAATATGTGAACATAAACAAAATAAACTTTGTAATATATTGTTTTTCATGCTTTGTACATAAAACCTAAGCAGACATAAATGTTCTTGAAATGGGGTTTCTGTTGAAATTATCATCACAATGATATATTATTACAGATCATAAGCAATATTCATAATCTGAAACTGCATGAAACCCTCAATTCAAACGTATTCAAAACTTCATTCTTTAATGAAATCAATAATGAAACTAATTTGATGTTAAATGCATGTCTGATAGCAGATGTAACACATGAAATGCGTTTTACAAACAAAGAACATACCGGTATATCTGAACATGTTTCGACAGTGGAAACAAGGCACCGTCAACATATATGTTCAACCTGAACAAACAAAGTGGTTTTTGCAAGTCAATCTTACGGATGTCATGTTAAACCTTCATCATTATCAAATGCAAAATATGTCTACTTCAGAATGAAAGATTGTAGCATATATGTTTTTTTCAAAACATTTAAATTGTGCCAAAAAGGCTAAAAGTTATAGAAATTTGTCTCGGACAAAGGCTTTTAACAAATCAGGTTGGAAAGCAGCTTATATTGACGTAATATGAAATGTAAAGTGAAATTTGGGAAGTTATTTTCAGCAAAATGACTGAAAAAAAAAAGGAAACTCGAATGTGGTAGCGTGGCATGAAGGCATGCAATAATGCTCTGACGTTACGGTGAATTGGAATCCTAATTCACCATGTCATACCTGGACACAATGTCTCCATTACTTGTCACTATTCTAGAGTCCAAATCCACAGTGAATTTTCATATCATCTCAACATACTTGTGTCAAATCTTTGAAGTACGCGATCCATCTGTCAGAATTCTTTTTCATCAAAAGCAGAAATGCATGCTTGCAAAGATGATTACATATAACCAATGCAATAAAGTGGAAACATTTTGAAGCCTTAACTTTTGAAAATTATGCCCAATATTACCTGTTCTTGAAGTTAATTGAAAACAAGAAAGACTTTCAGGTGCAGACACTTACCCCCAACCCCTAAAACAAACAATGTAACAGTACTAGTTAGGATTCTCAGAGGGAACAGGGTGTTTTACAACATTGTCTGCCACAGCACCAGCTCAAGGTGTTCAATAGTTCTAGAACACCTCAAGAAGTTGTGTCAACTTCTATATATCTACAGGGCTTGCTTTTCAGTAAACCTGCATTAACCAATACAGCCATTCCTGTGGTTTTTCAATCTCAAATTATCCGCCCTTGATTTCCATTTGCCAAACCATCCGCAAACTGGCTGTGGCTTTGATTTCTAAGTAATACAAGTTACCTCCCTTTCCCTGTGTCAACATTCCATTGGTTGGTAATTTGTGATTGCAAGAACCACAGGAATGGATCCTGGGTTGGTGTTGATTTGGTGTAAATTCTAGCCCTTGTGATATAGAAGATGGATGTCGTGTATATGCCACAGATCTAGTCTTCTAGAGTCCTAAAGTATGAGAGCACTCCTTGGGTTTGTGTATCTGCCTTGTCTGCAGTCTTCTAGAGCCCTATGGTGTAGGAGCGTCCCTTGGGGTTGTGTATGGAGAGGGCTATAGGATCCTGCACGGCCCACTCGTACCACACATTCTTGTCTGTGCACAATCGCCAAATGTCAAGGACAACCTGGCTCTCCCCTTTTAGCAGGAGAGGACGCTGAAACAGGCATTGGAGGAGAATAAATATTGTATTAACGTAACTTCTTTCTTATGTGTTCAAGTAAGATTTTACACCTGTTACTAACATTCGACAGTTTTACAGTGGGCTATTTAAGTCAAATTAACTCCCACTTAAACATTTTAATTGTACATGCAGCCAAAGAAATTTGTCTTTTTAAGACAAGTCCACAATGTCGTTTGGTAGCCCTAAGTGAACAACATAAACCAATTCACTTTTTACACTTTCTGTCAGTTTAATTAAGTTCCTGTTTGTTACATAACTTGATGCATCGAGAATGGGTTCAGTATTTTAGCCCTAAGTGTTACTCAATAAGGATGACCAAAAACTGGATTTTTACTTGTCCTAAGCACATTTTACTACTCTAGCTAACAAGCATAGATTTCAAAGGCTGATAGAACCCTGAATATCCAATAATCTGAAAAAGATGAATTGCGATTTCTAAATTCAGGTTAACTTGCCATCATTCACATTGTGAGAGACATTTGGGTGAAGACCTACCTTGATGGGGAAGAGTATAGGGAACCAGCTGAACATGCCTGGGGAGTGAGTGGCAGGCACTATACCTACAACACAAGAACACTTGTAAACAGGTGAACAATACACCTACAACACATGAGCACTTGTACACAGGGGAACCATATAGCCACAACACAAGAACACTTGTACACAGGGGAACAATATAGCCACAACACATGAGCACTTGTACACAGGGGAACAATATAGCCACAACACATGAGCATTTGTACACAGGGGAACAATATAGCCACAACACAAGAACACTTGTACACAGGGGAACAATATAGCAACAACACAAGAACACTTGTACACAGGGGAACAATATACCTACAACACATGAGCACTTGTACACAGGGGAACAATATAGCCACAACACAAGAACACTTGTACACGGGGGACAATATAGCCACAACACAAGAACACTTGTACAAAGGGGAGCCACAACACATGAGCACTTGTACACAGGGGAACAATATACCTACACACATGAGCACTTGTACACAGGGGAACAATATAGCCACAACACAAGAACACTTGTACACAGGGGAACATATAGCCACAACACAAGAACACTTGTACACAGGGGAACAATATACCCACAACACATGAGCACTTGTACACAGGGGAACAATATACCTACAACACATGAGCACTTGTACACAGGTGAACAATATAGCCACAACACAAGAACACTTGTATACAGGGGAACCATATAGCCACAACACAAGAACACTTGTACACAGGGGAACAATATAGCCACAACACATGAGCACTTGTACACAGGGGAACAATATACCTACAACACAAGAACACTTGTACACAGGGGAACAATATAGCCACAACACAAGAACACTTGTACACAGGGGAACAATATACCTACAACACATGAGCACTTGTACACAGGGGAACAATATACCAACAACACATGAGCACTTGTACACAGGGGAACAATATAGCCACAACACAAGAACACTTGTACACAGGGGACAATATAGCCACAACACAAGAACACTTGTACAAAGGGGAACAATATAGCCACATCACATGAGCACTTGTACACAGGGGAACAATATACCTACAACACATGAGCACTTGTACACAGGGGAACAATATAGCCACAACACAAGAACACTTGTACACAGGGGAACAATATAGCCACAACACAAGAACACTTGTACACAGGGGAACAATATACCTACAACACATGAGCACTTGTACACAGGGGAACAATATACCTACAACACATGAGCACTTGTACACAGGTGAACAATATAGCCACAACACAAGAACACTTTGTACAGGGGGAACCATATAGCCACAACACAAGAACACTTGTACACAGGGGAACAATATAGCCACAACACAAGAACACTTGTACACAGGGGAACAATATAGCCACAACACAAGAGCACTTGTACACAGGGGAACAATATAGCCACAACACAAGAACACTTGTACACAGGGGAACAATATAGCCACAACACAAGAGCACTTGTACACAGGGGAACAATATACCTACAACACAAGAACACTTGTACACAGGTGAACAATATAGCCACAACACATGAGCACTTGTACACAGGGGAACAATATAGCCACAACACAAGAGCACTTGTACACAGGGGAACAATATAGCCACAACACATGAGCACCTGTACACAGGGGAACAATATAGCCACAACACATGAGCACTTGTACACAGGGGAACAATATAGCCACAACACATGAGCACTTGTACACAGGGGAACAATATAGCCACAACACAAGAGCACTTGTACACAGGGGAACAATATAGCCACAACACAAGAGCACTTGTACACAGGGGAACAATATAGCCACAACACAAGAACACTTGTACACAGGGGAACAATATAGCCACAACACAAGAGCACTTGTACACAGGGGAACAATATAGCCACAACACAAGAACACTTGTACACAGGGGAACAATATAGCCACAACACAAGAACACTTGTACACAGGGGAACAATATAGCCACAACACAAGAACACTTGTACACAGGGGAACAATATAGCCACAACACAAGAACACTTGTACACAGGGGAACAATATCGCCACAACACAAGAACACTTGTACACAGGGGAACAATATAGCCACAACACAAGAACACTTGTACACAGGGGAACAATATAGCAACAACACAAGAACACTTGTACACAGGGGAACAATATAGCCACAACACAAGAACACTTGTACACAGGGGAACAATATAGCCACAACACAAGAACACTTGTACACAGGGGAACAATATAGCCACAACACAAGAACACTTGTACACAGGGGAACAATATAGCCACAACACAAGAACACTTGTACACAGGGGAACAATATAGCCACAACACAAGAGCACTTGTACACAGGGGAACAATATACCTACAACACATGAGCACTTGTACACAGGGGAACAATATAGCCACAACACAAGAACACTTGTACACAGGGGAACAATATAGCCACAACACAAGAACACTTGTACACAGGGGAACAATATAGCCACAACACAAGAACACTTGTACACAGGGGAACAATATAGCCACAACACAAGAGCACCTGTATACAGGTGAACAATATAGCCACAACACATGAGCACCTGTATACAGGTGAACAATATAGCCACAACACAAGAACACTTGTACAAAGGGGACAATATAGCCACAACACAAGAACACTTGTACACAGGGGAACAATATAGCCACAACACAAGAACACTTGTACACAGGGGAACAATATAGCCACAACACAAGAACACTTGTACACAGGGGAACAATATAGCCACAACACATGAGCACTTGTACACAGGGGAACAATATAGCCACAACACATGAGCACTTGTACACAGGGGAACAATATAGCCACAACACATGAGCACCTGTATACAGGTGAACAATATAGCCACAACACAAGAGCACTTGTACACAGGGGAACAATATAGCCACAACACAAGAGCACCTGTATACAGGTGAACAATATAGCCACAACACATGAGCACCTGTATACAGGTGAACAATATAGCCACAACACAAGAACACTTGTACAAAGGGGAACAATATAGCCACAACACAAGAACACTTGTACAAAGGGGAACAATATAGCCACAACACATGAGCACCTGTACACAGGGGAACAATATAGCCACAACACAAGAGCACCTGTACACAGGGGAACAATATAGCCACAACACATGAGCACCTGTATACAGGTGAACAATATAGCCACAACACAAGAACACTTGTACAAAGGGGAACAATATAGCCACAACACATGAGCACTTGTACACAGGGGAACCATATAGCCACAACACAAGAACACTTGTACACAGGGGAACCATATAGCCACAACACAAGAACACTTGTACACAGGGGAACCATATAGCCACAACACAAGAACACTTGTACACAGGGGAACAATATACCTACAACACAAGAACACTTGTATACAGGGGAACCATATAGCCACAACACATGAGCACTTGTACACAGGGGACAATATAGCCACAACACAAGAACACTTGTACACAGGGGAACAATACAGCCACAACACAAGAACACTTGTACACAGGGGAACAATATAGCCACAACACATGAGCACTTGTACACAGGGGAACAATATACCTACAACACATGAGCACTTGTACACAGGGGAACAATACAGCCACAACACAAGAACACTTGTACACAGGGGAACAATACAGCCACAACACAAGAACACTTGTATACAGGGGAACAATATACCTACAACACATGAGCACTTGTACACAGGGGAACAATATAGCCACAACACAAGAACACTTGTACACAGGGGAACAATATAGCCACAACACAAGAACACTTGTACACAGGGGAACAATATAGCCACAACACAAGAACACTTGTACACAGGGAACAATATAGCCACAACACAAGAACACTTGTACACAGGGGAACAATATAGCCACAACACAAGAACACTTGTACACAGGGGAACAATATAGCCACAACACAAGAACACTTGTACACAGGGGAACAATATAGCAACAACACAAGAACACTTGTACACAGGAGAACAATATAGCCACAACACAAGAACACTTGTACAAAGGGGAACAACATAGCCACAACACAAGAACACTTGTACACAGGGGAACCACACAGACACAGCAGAACCAGAACTCTCCTGATGCAGACACGGAATTGTTTGGTAGTTCAACCCCTTGTTCATCAATGTCCCAACGACAGTATAATATTAGGTCTGGGCCAGAGAAACTAGCAATCACCAATCATGGTGAACGTCCCAAGCCATTGGGATTGGATGGGACAAAACCATGTTATTTAATGCTATCTTTAGCCATATTCCACCAACATCAAACAGTCCTATAAAATACTGAGTTTTGGTCAGACAACCAGAAACCAGCAATTGTGATGAACATTCTAAGCCACTGGGATAAGATGGAACACAATCAACCATCATCGAGTCTGACCATCCAAGTGAGCAAATGTATGTGTGTTTGTTGTTTAAGGCTGCACTCGGATATATGAAGGCAGCCTGTAAATACTCTGGCTAGACAATCAAGTTATTAGTAGTAATTACAAGGATCCACATCATCGGAGTATGATCATACCCAGTCAACGGACTGCCCTTGCTCCCATGTGGTATCCTCTGGCAACCATCTTTGGTCTCCATAACAAAGCTAAGGGAACATAATTTTACACACATTTGTGACCCTACCAATATTAAACCAAAAATATATCTACTTACTTAACGTAACATGTGCAAACAGGACACAGTCGAAGTAGCCAGCAAACCCATGTAGGACACAGTCGTTGGAAATAGTGAAATCTAAACTTTTGTACCTAGAGTTGTCTATTACTTCATCTGAAAGAAAGAATTGGCATGAATTACTATCAATCATTTATCTATACTACTCACACTTTGCCAAGGATCACAAAAATCACAACATACTTAAACGTAGATGTATAATTTGAAATTGGGTCCATTTGAAACTGGATAGATAATAATATGGTAACCCCACTTTTAGGCAAACAGTCACTTTAATCTAACCTTATGCTCTTGATACATGAATCATTGGGATAGGATGGTTTTCATGGCATCAATCAACAAAATGCAAACCATGGAACGAGTCATTGGCAAGTACACAACACCTGTCAATAGCAGGTATGGGATCCACAAGATGAAATGACATACTGAAACCAAGGATCCATGTTTACAATAAGCTTAGATATTTAAACCAAATCTGACCCCACATCATAGTTTTCTGTTGAATCTATGATTTGATCCTTAGCAAAGTGTGAATAGCATATGATTGAATAACGTGAAGTTTTAATCATTACTATTGACTGACTGACTGACTGAGTTTAGTTTTATGCCGCTTTTAGCAATATTCCAGCAACATCACAGCGGGGGACACCAGAAATGGGCTTCACACAATGTAAGTGGGGATTCGAACCCGGGTCTTTGGCGTGACGAGCCAACACTTTAACCACTAGGCTACCCCACCGCCCCCATTACTATTGAATGAGAAGCCACCGTTTGATATATTGGATAGTGTGAGTAACACGTCTGTTTCAGTACCTGACTAACAAATGACATACATCACTATAACACTGGCCACTGTGATCCTGGATGATGGACGAGTGTAGTGTATTAATGTCAGGTTTTGTAGTACAACAATAAATAGCATGAGTTTTGTTTTGTTTGTTTTTTGTTTAATGCCACAATCAGCAATATGATGGCGGTCGATAAATAGTTGAGTCTGGACCAGACAATCCAGTGATCAACATCATGAACATCGATCTAGGCAATTGGCATATGATGACGTGTGTCAACCAAGTCAGCAAGTCTGACCATCCGATCCTGTTAGTCGCCCTTCATGACAACCATGGGTTGCTGAAGACCAATTCTAACCAGGATTTTCACGGATTTAAACAGCAAACTTTTCCAAAAGGCATTTGGCACATAAAACATTTACCTTTGTTTGGGTGGACAAAAGTGAACACCTTTTGTGGTTCAGACAGGAGCTGGCAGTTGTGAAGGCTGACGACGCACGGCATCTCAAACGGGCCTGCAGATGGACATGTTACACGTAAACTGGCAGACATAGCAATATTCCAGCAAATCAAGGCGGGGGACACCAGGGGCCTGCAGATGGACATGTTACAGTAAACTTTACCCAAACACACAAACAGTATACACACATTCTGTGTTCTGTCACATCAGCTACTCATTAGGGTCCCTATTCACAAAGCTATTGTAGCACTATGGCTGTTCATACTTTAGAATAGCAAACTAGTGACACCCATAGCCCTATGTCACTTTACAGCAAAATCAAACAGCAGTTGTTTTCAACTTTCATGTGTCGAGTTTACAGTTGTCTAAAATAAAAAGTTTAATCCATGCATTTTCCTTGTTTAGTCATCCTGTGTTTGTGAGTGAGTATGGTTTTACACAGATGAACCAGAAATGGGCTTCACACATAGTAGCCATGTGGGGAAACTATTCCGGTCTTCAGCGTGACCAACGCCTTAACCACGAGGTAACCCCACAGCCCTCTGCGTTTGTGTCAAACCTTGGATAATTCTAAGCATTATGTAGGTCTAATATACTTCAACAGTGTTTGACTGAATATTGAAATGATATAGTTTCAAGACTGAGTAACGAACCTCTGGCCCCTTGTCCTTTTCCTTACACTGTCGAACCTCGTTGTAGAGTTTAGCTGACTGGATGGGCGCCAGGTAGGAGGTGTACTTGCAAGGAATGCTGATCCCATCATCTGGACAACAATAGACAATGATTCATTTTGTCCTTAGGTACCAACCACACACTACAGTATCAAAGTAACATGTAAACCAAGAAGAAAAAATACAACATGTTATACATCTTGAACATGTCATGTCTCCTAACTTGACAAACTGCTATTCAGGCAATTAAAGTGAGTGAGTATTGTTTTAAGCCGCTTTTAGCAATGTTGCAGCAATATCATGGGGGGGAGAGACACCAGAAATGGGCTTCACATGTAGCACCCACGTGGGGTATCAAACCCGGGCCTTCGACGTGACGAGCGAACGCTTTAACCACTTGGCTACCCTACTGCCCCCAGTATCAATGTAAAATGTAAACCAAGAAGAGTGAGTGAGTGAGTATTTTTTTATGCCGCTTTTAGCAATATTCCAGCAATATAACGGCAGGGGACACCAGAAATGGGCTTCACACATTGCACCCATGTGGGGAATCGAACCCGGGTCTTCAGCATGTCGAGCGGATGCTTTAACCATTAGGCTACCCTACCTCCCCTAAACCAAGAAGAAAAAATGCAACCTGTTAAACATCTTCCCTTTACCAAGTCATGTGTCATAAATTGACAAACTGCGATTCAGGCAATTAAAAATGAGTGTGAATTTTCAAATATTTATTTTGAACACCTAATATGACTTAGCATAAGGGGTGTATTTTTCAGTTCAGTGAGTGAAAGGCATTGCCACATTTTACAAAGTCTGTAAAATAAATTTATTGATCAAGTGTCGGTTAAACAATATATGATAGAATGTATTCAGATCAATTGACAGTTGGTATCATTAGTTTTATTCTGCAGTGGAATGGGACTATAATATGTCATATAATACTGACTGACTGAGTTTGGTTTTACACCGCTTTTAGCAATATTCCAGTAACATCACGGCGGGGGAAACCAGAAATGGGCTTCACACATTGTACTCATGTAGGCATTCGAACCCGGGTCTTCGGCGTGATGAGCCAACGCTTTAACCATTAGGCTACCCCACCGCCCCTCATATAATACTGACATATTGACACTTTGCAAACAAGTGGATTAATGGTATTTGTATATGTGTATCATGAGTGAGTGAGTGAGTGAGTGAGTGAGTGAGGTTTTACAATGCTTTTAGCAATATTCCAGCAATATCATGGTGAGGACACCAGAAATGGGCTTCACACATTGTACCTATGTAAGGAATCAAACCTGGATCTTCTTCGTGATGAGACAACGCTGTAACCACACCGCCTGTGTATCATGAAAACATTCAAACCACAGATACTATTTGTACACATCAAACACAGGTGTCTACATTGCAGAAAGGGAGTGATGATCTTCTCTGTCTGTGACTGCAGTTGCATCAAATCAGATTCAGTTACATTACCATACCTTCCCATGACAACCCACCTTTGAGGAATCTCTGTGCCCCATCGAGACATTCTGGGGACAACTCATTATCACCGAAGGACCCAAGAAGTTCGCTAACGAGGATGTCTCAGTCTGCTCTGGGGCCTCCCAGAATCTCATGTCACACGAGATGACATCCACCTGTTCCCCCCACATCTCATCCTTCAGGTTCTCCAGTCTGACAACAAACAACAAAAACACTTGGATGTTGATTGAGTGAGTGAGTGAGTGAGTGAGTGAGTGAGTGAGTGAGTGAGTGAGTGAGTGAGTGAGTGAGTGAGTGAGTGAGTTTAGTTTTACGCCGCACTCAGCAATATTCCAGTTATATGGCGGCGGTCTGTAAATAATCGAGTCTGGACCAGACAATCCAGTGATCAACAGCATGAGCATCAATCTGCGTAAATGGGAACCGACGACATGGGAACCAAGTCAGCAGGCCTGACCACCCGATCCCGTTAGTGGCCTCTTACAACAAGCATGGGTTACTGAAGGCTCATTCTAACCCGGACCTTAACTGGGTGAGTGAGTGAGTGAGTGGAAGGGTGAGTGAGTGAGTGAGTGGAAGGGTGAGTGAGTGAGGGAGTTTGGTTTTACACAGCTTTTAGCAATATTCCAGCAATATCACGCTGTCGGACACCAGAAATGGGCTTTACACATTGTACCCATGTGGGGAATCGAACCCGGGTCTTGGGCGTGACAAGCCAATGTTTTAACCACAAGGCTACCCCACCGCTCCTAGATGTAAAGCATCAACATGACAACAAACTTTTTGTCCAATGAAATTTACCATAAAATAATTTTCTCAAAATGTTTAATCAACACAGGCATGTACAAAACAGTATAAACAACGTTGGTCTTGTGGTTTTGTGTGGTCCTATGCATAGAGCATACTTTAACATAGGATTGCGATCATCGTAACGCTAAGATCATTTTGGGCAAGGCTATCAAGGTCACAAATCAGCTGAAGTTACGCTAAGTTGGTCACGGAGAGTCCTTGGATGGGTGACTGTGTTTCTAAGCTTGACTTGTAAGAATTTCTAGGACTTCAGTTCTGCCCCACGATGCATGTGACGCATGTGGTATCACCTTAGGCAAGTGAATTTGTCCAAAACTGCTTCTGTTCACCCAGCAGTGAATGGGTGGTACCTAGTGGGATATGACTAGGTGCCACACAGGCAGTTTGGGTTAACCAGGGAAATAATGTCTGAGCTCAGCGCATAAATTGTTCTTAGCACCATTGAGCATCTTTGAGGTGGATATAAGGCGTTCTATAAATGTATTATATATTATTTCTCATTTCAGTCTGTGTAGGATATTTAAGTTGTTGTTAGGTTAGCATTATCAGTAAAGCTCTAGTCTTTTGTTTGGTTCTGCCTATGAGTGAGTGAGTGAGTTTACTTTGTCGCCGCTTTTAGCAATATTCCAGCAATATCACAGCGGGGGACACCAGAAATGGGCTTCACACAATGTGCCCATGTGGGGAATCAAACCTGGGCCTTTGACTTGATGAAGCAAACGCTTTAACGGTTCTGCCTATGGAGTCTGTCCACTGGAAAATAGTGTAGACAGGGCATCTTTGTTTGGTCAATCAAAGGGGAAGCTCAGGTGTCTTCCTGATTGGTGAGTGGCCTAATTTAATCCTTTGTTCTCACCACTGCTCCTTCTACTCACACTTCTTTCTGCACAGGGGAAGCGACAAGATCAGTGAAATTTGAACTTTAGAAGTCAAAGTTATCATTGTGTTGTTTTCAGTGAGTGTCATATACAAATGACTGTAGGAAATACATATATCTCAATGACAGAATTTGACAGTTTTGTATATAAATGTGTTTGTGTGAGGAGGATGTATGTGTACAAGATATATTTTACTGTATGTGCGCTTGTGTTTTTGTCTAGGTGCTAATTGGCTTCATTTGTGTTCTGTGTGCCGAGTGTATGTGTACAAGATATATTTTACTGTATGTGTTCTGTGTGCTGAGTGTATGTGTACAAGATATATTTAACTGTATGTGCGTTTGTGTTTTGTCTAGGTTTGTGTGTGTTTTGTCTAGGTGCTAATTGGCTTCATTTGTGTTTCTGTGTGCCGAGTGTATGTGTACAAGATATATTCTAGGTGCTACTGTATGTGTTCTGTGTGTGCAGTGTATTGTGATATATTTTTGTCTAGGTGCTAATTGGATCAGCAACTTGTATTGCGTGCCAATGATAGTCTAGATGTACTTTCTACATAATGTAAAATGTCTTCATAATGTGTTTTATATCATGGGCAGGTGTGTTTGATGGACTCATCCATTGTATCACAGATACACACTAGTAGGATGTAACCTATGTTATATTTGGGAACATAGTAAAGTACAGACTCTAGGGAAAGATTTCTGCCCTGTAATCCCCGTTTTTTTATCATTAGTATTACTGAGTTTGTATCCTCTCAGATGCAAACCAACACTAACCTTCCCTAACCCTAACCTTTCATTTATATTTTCACTACAACTCCAATTTACACTTTAACATTTCAAGCGGGGGTTACGATTGGAACTCTTACTGACTGTAGTACTTTTGTTTGGTTAAGTCCCATACTCTCAGAGTCAGGCACCTAATCGCCAGCACACAAAGTCAATGGCTTAACCTACTCTGCCACGGCAGCTTCCACAAGAAATGGAAGTGTGACAACTGGTAGTCTTGCTCACATACTTCGTGTAGCCCGAAATTTACCAAGTACCAGAGGATTAATATCTCATCTCCTCTGCTTGTATGTGCATTTTCTGATAGAAAATCGTATTTGTATTTTCATATAATCAGTAACTCATGACAACACTAGGTACAATAGGTGATATGTTGACATCCATACTTGGTAACAACAACAAGCAAGTCAACAAAAGCCTACTCACGTAACAACAGCGTTGGGATTTTTCTCCACGGCATACAGCTTCTTGATCTTCCTGTCGGCCTGTGATGCTGCTGCAATGGCTGCCCGGACCAGCGGACCTCGTCCTGCACCTACCACCATCACTATCCTGAAACAGCAGCATATTTATAGGCTCTCCACGGACCATTAACAACTGCTAGTTAATGACATGCTGGGCTATTCCCTATGTCCCATATTTTAAACAGAAAATTTGATTAATCGTAGCGCTAAGACTTGGTTTTGTGGAACTGAACAAAGGTTGGTTTCATGCCACCCCAATAATATTGGAAATTTTAAATATAAATTGTATAGTTATATACTTATCCTATCTCATGGTATGCACTTCTCTCTTGATTCCACACTGAGTGGAACGATGTAAACTTTTTTCCCTTGGCATCTATTGTCCATCTGCCCATCTTGGAGAATCTGCATAGCGGGGAAGATGGGCGGGAATCCGTAGCGTGAGATAGGATAAGTATATAAATATACAATTTATATTTAAAATTTCCAAATTTTAAAACTTATCTTATCTCACGGTATGCACTTATCCCACGGTCGGACGTCGGGACGCAGATACCCTGTGTCTTGTCAGTGCAGACAGTAGAACTGTGTAGACTGGTAACAACCGTAGATAGCGACGCACAAGGGAGGCCTGTTACGATTAGCACAACTCCTATGCTTGAGACAAGTTCCTCTGAACTCCTTGGCTTACTAAGCACAATGTCTCCCAGGGAGATGGGTGCTCCCGAGTGATGTGGTGTTCGGCCGCAACCTCCGAAGAAGGACGTTGCTCAGCGAGAAAGGATGTCACTTCGCCACGATTTTGAAGGTACCCCTTAAATTAAAGTCATAGACAATAATCGGGCCAGCCCCTGCTTCGAGAAGACCCCCACAGACACCGACCAGGGGCGGGTCAAAGAGAAGCACAACTCGGAAAACTCGCAGTTTTAACGTTCAGTTCCAGTCAACATCAAATTGACCCTCACTCATTTACATAAGCTTAGTCAAAGGATGAGCCTGGCAACTTTGGAGTCAGGACGCAACGAAATCCACTGGAATTCGGGAGTGACACACTTCACTGACGTAATTGCTTCGAAAAGTAGAGGTCAGGAAACGTGAAATGTCGAACCCTTCCACATCGTGATACAGAATCGAGCTCCAGATTCATCCAACCACCGAGGTGGTAGTTTTATACTAAGACACGGAGATACTAAGTGAAGTAGTTCTAACCCATAAGCAATCAAAACATAAGGCAGACATCAAGTTGGTGGGCTGTAGACAGCTATTGTGCGAGAACAAAGGGGCCGAACTGGTACAGGCCTTGGACATCCTTGACTGAGAGGTCCGGAAGGTAGTGCGAGGAGAAGACCGAGTTGGATCACCAGAAGCATCTTTCCATAATGGTGTGGAGAGAGCAGTTACTATGCAGAGCCATTGTAGACGCTAACGCGTGTGGATTGGAAGCTGTCGGGTCCGGTAATCCAGCGAAGGTGTAAGCCCGTAGGATGGTGGCTCTCATGCAGAAGGATAATGTGTTGCGAGACACTTCCACCCTGGATGCTGAGGACAACGGAATGAAGAGGCGCTTGCGGAGATGGCGGTGATCTTTAGAAGCAGCAAGAAAAATCTTCAAAGCCCTAACAGGTCTTCATTGTCATGCGGCCCAGGATTGTGGACAATGGTGGGATGGTAAAAGTACGATCGGGTTGTCCCGGCAACTGATTCTTCGCTACAAAATCCCAACGGAGACCAAGGAAGACTTTGCCATGCTTCTTCCGTTCGAACTGGACTCTGTTAACGTCCAAAGCGTGGAGTTCAGAAATCCGAGCAGCTGTAGCCTAGGCCACAAGGAAGAAGGTCTTGAAGGAGATCTTCTCAAAGTCCTTCTGAGCTAGGGGTTCATAGTCCGCCGAGGCCAAATGACGCAGCACCACAGATAAATCCCATGCAGGATGTCTAAACTTCTTAGACTGATCGGCCAACTTGAAAGACCGGAGCAAATACTGAAGCTCTGGAACCGTCGAGACCTTAGAGCCTGTGGTGGTAGCCAGGACCGAGTTGATTGCAGCAAGGTAAGTGGCCAAAGTGGAACTCTTGAGCTTCTTAGACGAACGCAAATGCTAAAGAAACTCAGCGACGATTTGAGGTGAAGTAGAAACGGGAGATGTAATGCCTCTGGACAACGTGCAATATCTCTCAAAACATTTCTACTTCTCATCATAAAGTGAGCGGGTGGAAGTCCGATGAGCAGAAGTGATGGCCATAGCCACTCTCCGAGAATACCCCTTGGCAATTAAGGACTTCTGCAGATGCGCCAAACGTGCAGAGACAGGGTGCGAAGGTATGATGCCGATCCGAGTGAGGGTGTAACATTAGGTAGTCCCGATCGGGAAGAGGAACTGGGTTTAGGTCTGCGAGCTGTGCGATATCGACAAACCAACTCCTGACTGGCCAGTAAGGTGCGACCAAAAGCAGTAGAATCTGTCTGGTCACCCGGAGTTTATGGATGACTCTGGGTAGAAGAGCCAGAGGGGGAAAGGTGTAAGCGTTGAGCCCCTCCTACGAAATCGCCAGAGCGTCAAGATCCCACGCTAGTTGGTCTGGTATCGTCGAGACAAACTGCAGGAGTTGATGGTTGAACTGCCTGGAGAATAGGTCGACTTGGGCCTTGATAACAGGAAGATCAGTTCCAGAAAGATCTGTGGGTTCAATTGCCACTCCATGGGAGATGGCCGATCGGAGCAGGACACCGCATCTGCGATGACATTTTTGACTCCGGGAATGTGTCTGGCTGGAGCATCGATGGCGAGGGAGTCGATCAGATGGAAGAACCGAAACACCAACTGAAGAAGGTTTGCCGAACCTGTCGACCGAGATGGTTGATGTATCAGACGCCCGTGGAGTTGTCTGTCTGAATCAGCAGGGAGGACCCCCGAAGTTCCGTCGCCCAATGTCGAATGGCGAGAAGAACCGCCAAGAACTCGAGTTCGTTGATGTGCAAGTCCTATTCTGCGGACAACCACAGCCTGGCTGTCTGATGATGAAGTGAGCCCCCCGAGCGACGCGTCGACGAACAAGCAGTGCGTTGGAATGAAGGGCATCAAACAAACTCTGGCGCAAACGTTCTGTTCTACAAGCCACCACTGAAGAAAAGGACGTAAGGGTTTGGTAAGACGAATCAACTCCTTGAGATTCTCTGAGACGAGATATGGACGCAGGAATCGCTGCAACGGACATGGTTGCAATTGTGTCCGCTGTGTCAATGCCTGTGCCGATGTCAAGAGGCCCCAAAGTTCCTGCCACTGTCGTAAGGTCCTGGCCTGCGACAGTGCTAACGGAAATAACCGTTGAATTTTCAGCCATCTGTCTTGGGGGACGAAAATCAGGCCCTGGTGCATGTCGAAAGTTGCCCCGATGAATTGAAGGGTCTGGGTCAGTGTTAGTTCCGACTTCGCAGCGTTTAACAACCAACCTAGTTGCCAAAGAAGCTTCATACTGAACTCCAACTGACGTAGAAGAACGACTGGGTCTATCTGTGCCTGAATGCAGTCGTCTATGTAACTTTCGAACACGACCCCGTGGAGATGAAGAAACTTGGTGATCGGCTTGGTGATCCTGGTAAATAGCCACAGGGCCGTGGAAATTCCAAAAGGCAGGACGGTCCAGTGATAATGGATCCCTTGGAACACGAAACGGAGGAATTTCTGCGAATCCGGATGAATGGGCACATACCGTGAGATAGGATAAGTTTAAAAATTTCCAGCCATATGACAGACCTCTGTAGATAATCAAGCCTGAACGTGACAATCCAATGTTTGATCTCATAAGCATTGATCTAGGTAATTGGAATACAATAACATGCATCGACCAAGACAAGCATTCTAACGCTTCTAGAGGAGGGGTGTTTTGACACGATTGAAATTCACTATCTGTGGTTCTCTGACAGAAACACTCTCTGCAGGATATATTTTCCTCATTTACACTAAAATGTTGATTTTATGAATGCTACAAGCAGAAGATCCTTTTCAGCAGACTTTTAGCATTGGAAATATGGTGATCTTGAGTGAGTTTAGTTTTATGCCGCTTTTAGCAATATTCCAGCAATATCACAGCGGGAGACACCAGAAATGGGCTTCAAACATTGTACCCATGTGGGGAATCAAACCCAGGTCTTCAGCGTGACAAGCGAACGCTTTAACCACTATGCTTGCTACCCCACCGCCCCACGGTGATCTTGAATGCTTTTCATTCCTAATTACTTCATATCATCGTGAGATGTTGGATACTTACACACTCTTTGTGTCCTTTTCATCGGGTTTAATTTTGTCCAGTAATGCATAATATATTGCCTGAAATGGAAAACATAATTGGTGTAAGTTAATGTTCACATAAATCATATTCATATGCTATGAGTCAAACATAAGATACTGTAAACGTACTTATTTTCGCGTGGTGCAATTTTCGCGGAATTGACAGTTTAGACTACATCGAGCGGTCAATTATTCGCGCAATCAGTAATTGCCGGAACTGCCAGCTGTCTCTTTGGCCGCCACTAATAGCAGTGAAAACAAACAGAGTGGCTTAACCTGTCAGGCGGCGTTTATTGCTTACTCACAGGAAATCCCTATCTGTGCGATATACTAGTACACAGTAATCCGTTTACTCACGGAAGAGATGAAAAACACATCAGTCTTATGTTCCGAATTCTGACGATCTGACGAATTAACTTCTACTGTATATGAAGCTCTTTGTGATTTCAAACAAGCCGGGTTGTTGTGAATGAGATGATTGAGTGTTAAGTGACTATTCGCTTCATGATGTACTGGTAAATAAAATCTTAATGAATAAATAAAATACTGCTGTATTATTTCTTTCGAAGTCGTTTCATGGTAATCTGTTTTGTATCAAACCATCTGTCATGTGACCAATTTCCATGGCGGCCACAACACACATTGCTGTTTTCGCTAATTCGGCGATGGGATTTGGCTCATTATTTAATTATGTTTTGGGAAATCCATTACAGCGACAGTTAAGTATGATTCTTTATGCTACTATCAGTCGTCATTTTAAGATTCCCGTAGATTTCTGTCTTCAAACTTGATGTGTTATGGTAACAACTCGGGGGTGAGTGTGGCTAGACTGAATGAATGACAGGTTTATTCGCGGTGTATAAATTTTCTCGCTAAAATGTTTTGCGCGAAAAGCGCGAAAATAAAACCTGCGCGAAATATAATACGTTTACAGTAATACAGGAGTGATCAAGAAATGCATTCAAACTGGTAAAGATCAAGTGTAAATCGAGAATATTTTTCTGCACATATTGGTGAATATAACTCTCAGAAGTCTCATTCCTCATGTTCATATTTGCAACATGTGTCACTTACAAAATCTAGCAGCCAATCCTACAATGAGCCATAGAACCAGCTGAATTGTGGTGGTGGTGGTGGGGGAATTGGGTTTAACGTCGTGCTTGAGAATATTTCGCTCATATGACGACGTGCATGCGTGTGTATGTGTATGTGCGGCTGCTTGTACTAGCCCAGACTTAAGCTGGTTTTATAGTGCTAGCCCACTGAGATACCATGCCGCAGTGAAGAATGAATACCTCACTCAGACACATTATACTGACTCCGAAGCGACCAGTCCTTGTTGTACCCATTAATACCGAGCGCCAGGCAGGGACCAACAAGTACCATATTTTAACGTCTTTTGGTATGACGCTCAGGGCGGACACTCTAACCACTACACCACGGAGGCGGTAGCTGAATCGTGGTGGCGATCAAGTGATTGATGGCTATCAGGCACATAGGGCTCAATTGAATATTGTACATCAGCAATTTTGCACTTATTCACAGGAAAGCGACTTACAGAACAAGAGCATGGCATGTACAGTAAATGGTTTACCTTTTGATATTGTGAGTATTTTATTGGGTCCTTCTCAAAAATTTCGTATGTCTGAGATTCCAGGTTGTCCATCAGTGGCTGCAAATAAGTGAAAATATGGGTGAATATATTCCTGATTCCAGAAATCAGGCACAATCCAGGTACATCAAGACAGTGTATAAATAACGCATCAGAGTCCCGTTCATCAAAGCGATCACAGTCGCAAGTCTGCGTTAAAGTATGGGAGTTTTATGACTGATGTGCGACTGTCCTGACGTAAACACCTCACATGAACATTTCCTGACAAAGCATTAATTAAAGCGGGCGCTTCCACTTCTGAAAGCCCTGATCTATACTTACGATCTTACAATACCCCTTTTTGTTAAGACATTGGCAGGTCTCGATAGAAGATTTATATTGTACATAGAGAACTGGTTGATAAACCTTACTTCTGTGATCTGGAAACAGAGTTTATGTGTACCAAGAATATAGAAGCATCAACACGGATGATGAGAAAGGTTAATAATGACGGTGCCCTCAGATCATCACAGTAAAAAACAGATATCGTATCATAATGAAACATCTGACATGTCATGGCAGCCTACAGGGCCCAGACAAAACTAGTTCTCTTTATGTCATGTCACCAACAGCAAACATGGAATACTGGGAGATTTTCACTCCCTTTTCGATTCAGAAGATGGTTTGTTGTTTAACGCCGCCCTCAGCAATATTCCAGCTATATGGCATCAGTCTGTAAATAAGTAATTCTGGACCAGCCAATCCTGTGATCAACATCAGGACCATCGATCTTACGCAGTTGGGATACAATGACATATGTCAACCAAGTCAGCGTGGCTGACCACCCTTTAGTTACCTCTTACGACAAGCATGACTAGCTGAAGATCAATTCTAACCCAGATCTTCACAGATTTTCAGAAATAGAAGGATGGTTCCTTCGTGATGCTCTGCCAAGAGTGTTTCTCATGTTCCAACTTACCTGTAGTGGAGACTGGAGGTAGTCCTCGTATCCCCTGGCGAACTGGCTGATAGCATCTGGGGGAGTCTGGTTCTGGACATAAACAAAGCCATCAGGTTCATCAGCAACTGAATCATGCTGATATTTATTATTATAATACTTTGGGGGGACAGGAACCACAAGATGACCCAGGCCCAACTAAGCCCTCACTGCTTCTACTGGACACAAAAGGAAATGAACTTATTACTCTCTAATCACTATCAAGAGCACACTTTTTGTATTCCAGTTCAAATTAAACAAGAAGACAAAGTCATCAATATCCCCCGCAATGGCAAAATACTCTTCATGATTATGTCTACGAGTTATGATTTTGTCAAATATTTAGGGGTGTATATAGAAAAGTGGAAGGAGAGTATTGAAAGGTTTTTAAAGTTCTGCTCCAGAAAGGAGCACTATCACCAATTTCAGTCTATGTCAAACTTGTTGCCATGGAAATGCCAAAAATATTTTATTCAGAAATCCAAAACTACCAAAAGGCACCAGTACACCACCAGATCTATGTATGTGCCAAGTTTGGTGAAGAAACATTGAACGGTTTTAAAGTTTTGCTCCGGAAAAGTTGCACTACCACTAATTTCTGTTTAAGTCAAACTTGTTGCCATGGAAATGCCAAAAATATTTTATGCAGAATTCCAAAACTACTAAAAAGGAACCAGTACACCACCAGACCAATCTATGTGCCAAGTTTGGTGAAGAAATAGTGAACGATTTTAGAGTTCAACTCCGGAAAAGAGCACTACCACCAATTTAAGGCTAAGTCAAACTTGTTGCCATGGAAACGCCAAAACTATTTTATTCAGAATTCCAAAACTACCAAAAAGCACCAGTACACCACCAGATCTATCTATGTGCCAAGTTTGGTGAAGAAATATTGAACGATTTAGAGTTCTGCGCCGGAAAAGACAAATGTGCACGGACGGACGGACGGAGTCCATTTTAATAACACAAACACACACAAACACACACACACACACACACACACACACCCCAAAAAACCCCGTTTTTCGGGGGATAACAATTCTAACTAAACTGTGCATCAAACATAATATGGACAGCTCACTATAGTACTAAACAACTTTTGTACTTTGTTGAGATGTTTTACCATGTTTTGTACCACATTGAGGTATGAGTGAGTGAGTGAGTGAGTGAGTGAGTTAATTGTCGCTTTTAGCAATATTCCAGCAATTACACAGCGGGGGACACCAGAAATGGGCTTCACACAGTGTTCCCATGTTGGGAATCGAACCCGGTCTTCGGCGTGACGAGCGAACACTTAATCAATAGTCTACCCCAACGCCCCCATTGAGGTATGATGTACGAACACCTCAACTTGGTACAATACCAAAACACCTCACCATCATAAGGAATTCACCAAGATAACACCTCACCATGATACAGATACAAAACAGTGGTACAAGACCACACCATGGTACAAAACATGGTATGGCATGGTACATGACACATGGTACAAGGTACATGAAGAGTCCTGACCTGCCAGAGATGGTCCAGATATTGCTGGTACGCCCGGATGCCCTTGTCTGGGTGTCGGTCCACGCCTGTCAGAATCAGCTGTACATCCAACTGCAAACATACAAACCAAGGTCATACACAATGATTCAAAAATCTATAGGGGATGGCATACTGTGCAGAAGAGTGAGTGAGTGAGTTGGGTTTTACGTCGCTCTAGCAATATTCCAGCAATATCACGACGGGGGACACCAGAAATGGTGCCCATGTGGGGAATCAAACCCGGCGTGACGAGCCAACGCTTTAACCATTAGGCTACCCTACCGCCCCTACTGTGCAGAAGAAAAATGTGAATCTTCCTGCGAATATCTGTATTCCCTGCAATTTCTCTATAATCACACCGGATACTTTTATTCCAAGGAAACTTTGCCCACCTAATCTAAATGTAGTATCATGAGGCTCTGAAGTCAATCAGACTTCTCTAAGACTTGTTTTTACTTACATTTTAACAAAAGATAACCATGCAGAGCAAAAATATTTATTAAATGGTACTGATTATGGACGTATATGCCATGGCATCAAAAAACGACAGGACACCTAAAATATCCACATAATTATCATCGCATGGCCTTTATTGTTTACATTTGGAAGTGGCTACCTAACTTTGCATAGAAGGAACTTAGAGGCCTTGAAACAGATTGACTCATGAGTAGGTTCCTGTGGAAGGGTTGTGATATCTTTACACACTGGTTATTATCTGAGTACCACAGCTGATTTGAATTAATTGCATTTCCTTACATTAAAGAAGGGTAACCTATAGGCTACTTGTCTACAAAACTACACAACCATCCCACCCTGCCCTGTCCAAGGTCAAACAGCTGGCTATTTATAAGATATGATTGTCTTGGGTAAACTGCTTCTGGTTTGGCCAGCACATCATCTCTGAAAACTCCTTCAGCTGTATCAACTGACTGACTGATTGAGTTTGGTTTTACCCCGCTCTTAGCAATATTCCAGCAATATCACGGTGGGGGACACCAGAAATGGGCTTCACTCATTGTACCCATGTGGGGATTCGAACCCGGGTCTTCAGCATGACGAGCCAACGCTTTAACCACTAGACTACCCCACCGCCCCTTCAGCTGTATCAAGAAAGAAATGAGACCCTGAGGTTGTTAAGTTGTTTGTGTCACTGTACCCTGAACAGCCTCCTTAGGAAGGACTGATGAGCCTTTGACAGAACTGGATAGCCTTTCTTGTTGGTGAGGAACAGGTTTGTGGACATGCTGACTGTTTTGATGGGTTCGGACAGCCACCTCTCAAGGACACTCTCACTGGGTAGATCAGCGGTCATCTCCAGACAAATGCCCAGTCTCTTGTTGCAGTCACACAGTGTGCGAAACAGATGCCACCTGTAGATGTAAACAGCTGGTGATGACATGGATTTATCTTCCAAAGTAATAGCCCTAAGGAGGCTAATTGGAAAGTGAAGAATTGCAAAGGATGTCACTATGTCTTGGAAGGGGCAAAATGGTGTCTTGCCACACACTCTGGTAGCAGGTGTAACAAGGCATCTTACAGCCTACCCTAAGGTTACAGGTGTAACAAGGTGTCTTACAGCCTACCCTAAGGTTACAGGGGTAACAAGGTGTCTTACAGCCTACCCTAAGGTTACAGGGGTAACAGGATGTCTTACAGCCTACCCTAAGGTTACAGGGGTAACAAGGTGTCATACAGCCTACCCTAAGGTTACAGGTGTAACAAGGTGTCATACAGCCTACCCTAAGGTTACAGGTGTAACAAGGTGTCTTACAGCCTACCCTAAGGTTACAGGGGTAACAGGATGTCTTACAGCCTACCCTAAGGTTACAAGGGTAACAAGGTGTCATACAGCCTACCCTAAGGTTACAGGTGTAACAAGGTGTCATACAGCCTACTCTAAGGTTACAAGGGTAACAAGGTGTCTTACAGCCTACCCTAAGGTTACAAGGGTAACAAGGTGTCATACAGCCTACCCTAAGGTTACAGGTGTAACAAGGCGTCATACAGCCTACCCTAAGGTTACAGGTGTAACAAGGTGTCATACAGCCTACCCTAAGGTTACAGGTGTAACAAGGTGTCTTACAGCCTACCCTAAGGTTACAGGTGTAACAAGGTGTCTTAAAGCCTACCCTAAGGTTACAGGTGTAACAAGGTGTCTTAAAGCCTACCCTAAGATTACAGGGGCAACAAGGTGTCTTACAGCCTACACTAAGGCCACAGGTGTGACAAAGTGTCTTACAGCCTACCCTAAGGTTACAGTCGTAACACGGCTTCTTACAGCCTACCCTAAGGCTACAGGTGTAACAAGGTGTCTTACAGCCTACCCTTAGGCTACAGGTGTAACAAGGCGTCTTACAGCCTACCCTAAGGCTACAGGTGTAACAAGGTGTCTGACAGCCTACCCTAAGATTACAGGTGTAACAAGGTGTCTCACAGCCTACCTTAAAGTTACAGGGGCAACAAGGTGTCTTACAGCCTACCATAAGGTTACAGTGGTAACAAGGTGTCTTACAGCCTACCCTAAGGTTACAGTAGTAACAAGGCCTCTTACAGCCTACCCTAAGGCTACAGGTGTAACAAGGTGTCTTACAGCCTACCCTAAGGTTACAGGTGTAACAACGCGTCTTACAGCCTACACTTGGGTTACAGGGGTAACAAGGTGTCTTACAGCCTACCCTAAGGTTAAAGGGGCAACAAGGTGTCTTACAGCCTACCCTAAGGTTAAAGGTGTAACAAGGTGTCTGACAGCCTACCCTAAGGTTAAAGGGGCAACAAGGTGTCTTACAGCCTACTCTGAGGCTACAGGTGTAACAAGGCGTCATACAGCCTACCCTAAGGTTACAGTCATAACAAGGCGTCTTACAGCCTACCCTAAGGTTACATGTGTAACAAGGTGTCTTACAGCCTACCCTAAGGTTACAGGTGTAACAAGGTGTCTTACAGCCTACCCTAAGGTTACAGGGGTAACAAGGTGTCCTTTGGCCTACCCTAAGGTTACAGTGGTAACAAGGTGTCTTACAGCCTACCCTAAGGCTACAGGTGTAACAAGGCGTCTTACAGCCTACCCAAGGCTACAGGTGTAACAAGGTGTCTAACAGCCTTCCCTGAGGTTACAGGTGTAACAACGTGTCTTACAGCCTACCCTAAGGTTACAGGGGCAAAAAGGTGTCTTACAGCCTACCCTAAAGTTAAAGGGGCAACAAGGTGTCGTACAGCCTACCCTACGGTTACAGGGGCAACAAGGTGTCTTACAGCCTACTCTGAGGCTACAGGTGTAACAAGGTGTCTTACAGCCTACCCTAAGGTTACAGTCGTAACAAGGCGTCTTACAGCCTACCCTAAGGTTACAGGTGTAACAAGGTGCCTTACAGCCTACCCTAAGGTTACAGGGGTAACAAGGTGTCCTTTGGCCTACTCTAATGTTACAGTGGTAACAAGGTGTCTTACAGCCTACCCTAAGGTTACAGTGGTAACAAGGTGTCATATGGACTACTGAGGTTACAGGGTAACAAGGTGTCTTACAGCCTACCCTAAGGTTACAGTGGTAACAAGGTGTCTAATGGACTACTCTGAGGTAACAGTGGTAACAAGGTGTCATATGGCCTACTCCAAGGTTACAGGGGGAACAGGGTGTCTTTCAGCCTAATCTATGGTCACACAGGTAATTAGGCATCTTTCAGCCTAATCTATGGTCACACAGGTAACAAGGCATCTTTCAGCCTAATCTATGGTCACACAGGTAACAAGGCATCTTTCAGCCTAATCTAAGGTCACACAGGTAACAAGGCATCTTTCAGCCTAATCTATGGTCACACAGGTAACAAGGCATCTTTCAGCCTACTCTATGGTCACAGGGGTAACAGGATGTCTTTCAGCCTACTCGATGATCACAGGCTATTAAGGTATCATACCATTCCCATGTATCTTCAGTGGGGGAATCTCCACCATCAAGTCCTTCGATCACATCATCTCGCTGGTCCCACGGAGCCACCAGGGGCACCTGCATCCAGAACTGCTACAACATGGACAATACATTATTATACTACCATGACAACAACTTGATCAAGTCAATGTAATTCATATGGATTCATCCCTTGTTTCTGTAAAATAGTTGCTTTTACCAAATGCTACAATGATGCTCCTATTTCACAACAGATATCCATACAAAGTAGTGTAAATATACACACAGTATAACGACACTGTTGAAGTTGAAGACTGCAGTGTCAAGTCTCAGTAAACTTGTAAAAATAACATCATAAATCCCGATCATTCATCCTTCATCTCAGATGTCCTACTGTCACCAATGAGTTTTTTCATAATTTTATATTTTTTTATGTTTCCTTCATGAATTACAGCTGATAGCAATTTTGACAATTCACAATACTGTCTCCAAAAATTGGTACTGGATTTCATTTTTCAAAATATCGTAAACACAACTCCATTACAAAAGATCTCATTCTTAATGATGCCCTCTACCAAAGCTGATCATGACTTCAACTCTTCCTTCATCAGTGCTTGTTTAACTGACGTCGTATTCAAAGGGCCCTGTTAGTTCTATACCATAACCTACAGTCCGTTTGAGTCAGAAATGGACCGATAAGTTGCAAATTTTATCATTGTACAAAATTGCCACACAAATATAACAGTACACATGTTTATCATTTACTAATACCCAACAGCTTTCTTATATTTGAAAATTTCGCCAGGTGTGCGAGAAAGGATGGAGACGGCACAGCACAGGCTAATGAATCAATAACTTGGTGGGCACTTGTGCACATGCTTCTCTAACACCTGGCTGTCCCTTTCTCTGCACTCCTCCCTCATAACAAATAGTGAACTGTGTCAAAATTTTAATGATAGTTTCTTAAAGAACTTTTTTGGTGGAGTCCGGAAAATTTTCAAATATAAGAAAGCTGTTGGGTATTAGTAAATGATAATAATGTGTACTATTTATATTTATGTGGCAATTTTGTACAATGATAAAATTTGCAATTCATCGGTCCGTTTCTGACTCAAACGGACTGTATGGCTCCTGTGATGCCTATACTACGGAGTTGTAGTACCTGCTGGAAGTAGCTGCAGAGCATGTGTTCGTTGAGGCAGCGGGCCAGGTTGAGAATGTTTCGACTCTTCAGCGGCACCATAATGGCCGGCATCCCCAGATGAGCAGCATACTTCAGCTCCTGCCTCAGAGCCTGGAAATGTTTTTAAGGAGATGTTTTTAATGGCAGTTCGGTTATGTCACAGCATGGCAGCTTCATATGGGATGAAGACCTAAAGTAATGTTGGCCTGGGGTACATTCACCACAGGTGAAACCAACAAGTGATGGCATGGTGTTGTGTATGTGAGTTTAGTTTTATGCAGCTTTCAGCAATATTTCAGCAATATCACAGCCGGGGACACCAGAAATGGGCTACACACACTGTACCCATGTGGGGAATCGAACCCGGGTCATTGGCATGACGAGCAAACGCTTTAACCACTAGGCTACCCTACAGCCCCTGGTATGGTGTTGACGACACAAAGACACATAAACAGGGCAAATCGGGCTTCAAAACATAAAGGAAGTTTTTGCCTCGGTCGAGAGATGTAACTCTGCACAACAAATTGTGATGGCCAAGACTAGTGGATCACCAGACAGTGACGTTTCCACAGTTTGTCAGTTCTTGCAAAGGATGCAATGGGAGATGACTAGATTGATTGTTCTGTTGGTTGTTTAATGCTGCACTCAGCATTATTCCAGCTATATGGTGGCGTCTGTACAACTAGCATGGGTTGTTTTAAAACCAATTCTAAACTGGATCTTCATGTTCAAAGACTCACAATTTAAGAAAATGTAATTTTTTAAGTAAAATTGATATTTTATACTTATCCTGACTCATGATCTTTTGCTTATATCCTTCTTCTATGCTAATGTTAGTGGAAAACTTGAATCCTTTGTAGTTCCCTAAAGTTGACGTAAAAGTTCACTCACCCATGAGTTAGCTCCCTTTTCCTGCGCAAACAGTCATGTGACCAGCAATACTTGCCACTCTATCCTGAATTTAGCCCATGCACCTGGATTTACTGTGAAACCTCAAGTGTCTTCAGTGGGGAGGTTGGGAGGGCTTGACCTCATGAGTCAGGATAAGTATAAAATATCAAATTTACTTTAAAAATTACATATTTTTCCTTATCCTGACTCATGATCTTTTGCTTATAGAATCCCACGGATTGGAGGTGGGTCAAGCCACTTCGTGAATTCATCAGCTGTCCTTAGATACATTCTGTATCCCTTCCATGGGAACTGTGTAACGGCACTTCCTAGATCCTATTCTTCCAACTTCCATTATAAACTTTCGTGGGGACCACAATCTTGTCATACTTCTCTCTCAGACAAGTGAATCTTATAGATTCATGTGGATTTTAGATATGCTAGAATCTTCTTTTTACTAGTTATCTATAACAACCTATAGATTATGATAAGATCTTTATCATAAATGAGTTGTGACCCCTTAATGTACAGGTAAGATCGTTACCCGTACAAAGTCTTAATCACTCATGCTAGTCTAGTCTAGACGGTGCGCATGGACTTTCAAACTAAAACTTCTCCAGAGTAAAAGTTATCAAAAAGTCAACGTAAGGGTAAAGGGTGAGATTTCCAACTCAGCGCCTTTGTGGAACTGTTAGTCGCTGTGCTACAACAAGTGGCCCAAACTGGTGAATGCCGGAGACGTCTTCGGTGGATATGTCTCTGAGGTAGTGGTTGGCAAACACCGTATCTGACATCCAAAAGCAGCCCTCCATTATTGATGATATTGAGCAGTTTCTGTGCAGAGCGAGTGTAGATGCTAGTGCTCTGACTTCATGTGGGTTTGAAGCTCTTGGAGGTTCTAATCCTGCTGCTTTGTAGGCCCTCAGTACGGCTCTCATCCAAAACGATATTGTCGTTCTTGAGACTTCTACAGATGTCTCCGTTGACAAGGGGATGAATAGGCGCTTGAATTTTCTTCTCCTTGTTTTAGTCTTTTGAAGATATATTTTCAGGGCTCTGACAGGAGACAAGGATAGGTCCTGGGTGTCCTCTGGTCCGAGGATTGTAGATAGCACTGGGACGTGGAACTGTCTATCTGGTTGGCCAGGCAACTGATTCTTTGCAATAAAGTCCCATCTAAGTCCTAGATGTACTGCAGCACGGTGTCGAATCTAGTTCGTCCAAAGTCCAGCGCATGTATCTCTGACATTCAAGCTGCCGTAGCTAAGGCAAGGAGGAACAGAGATTTTTGTGTGAGTAGCTCGAAGAGGTTCGTAGGCAACACTCATGAGATGTCGTAGAATTACGTTCAGATCCCAGGCTGGTGCTCTGAATTTCTTTTGCTGGTCTTCCAGTTTAAAAGAGCGTAGCAGAGCAAGTAGTTCTGGCACTTTCGTCAGTTTGATGCCTGACTTCATAGTGACAACTGTACTAATAGCTGCCAGGTATGTAGATAATGTCGAACCTTTCAAATGCCTTGTATATCTAAGGTGACATAGATATTCCGCCACTTGAGGATGATTTGCTTTCATTGCTGTGAAGCCTTTCCGGCTTGCATATTGCTCAAATTTCAGCCATTTGTCGTTTTACAAGTTACGAGTTGATCTGTGAAGCGCTAAAGTTACTGCTTTCACTGCTCTGGCGGAGTATCCTCAGTTTTGATACAGTCCATATGCGTAGCTGGAACATTAGTGGGTTCCCGTGGACTTGCTTGGTGTGCGGATGTATGAGGAGGTTCGGCCATTCTGGTAATTTGAGGGTTGGACTTCGGAGTTCTTGTACTAGATCTAGGAACCAGACTCTCACTGACCAATAGGGTGCGACCAAAGTCAGTTGTAGCGTTTGGGTCTATTTGATCTTCAATAATACTTTCGGTAGTAGAATCGGAGGCGGAAACGCGTATGTGTTTAGTCCTTCCCATGACATGCTCAGTGCGTCTGTAGTCCAGGCCTGAGGATCTGGTACTGGTGAGACGAATGTCTGTAGTTGTTTGTTGAACCTTGTGGTGAACAGGTCTATGCAGGGAGATCCTATTTCCATTATGATGAGCCGAAATGCCTCTGGGTGGAGCATCCATTCCGTAGGTGACGGATGAAGTGGACGAGATAGAGCGTCTACTGGTACGTTCTTTGCTCCCAGAATCTGACACGCCCTTAACCAGATGTTTGCTTCCTCCGCGATTTTGAACTGGAAGGTGAGCTGAAGTAGGCTTGGTAATCTCGTTGATCCCTCCCGATTTATGGAGAATGCCACTGTTGAGTTGTCCGTGTGAATCATCAGCATTCTGTTGATCAGTGAGCTCAACCAATGTTGTAAGGAGTTGATCACAGCTTTCATTACCAGCAGATTGATGTGAATATGTTCTTGTTTCAACCACTTCCCTGATGCTACTTTGTTGTCGAGATGCGCTCCCCATCCTTGTAGTGATGCATCTACGTAAATGCGTGTGTCGAAGACCGGCTCGTGAAAATAGGTCCCTCTGCAGACATTCAACCTGTGAGTCCACCATAGCAGGTACATCTTGAGATTGTCTAGTAGCGAGATCAGGTCCAGGCGGGATCCAGAAGTTTTGCCAGGAAATGCTGCAACAGATGTAGCTGTAGTCTTCCTGTGTGAGTCAAGTCCTGCGCTGAGGTTAGTAGACCGAGTAGACACTGCCATGTTCATAGTGGTAACAGAGAGATGACTGCTTGAGGAATCATGGCTTGTATCTTGACCCAACGATCTTCTGGGACCACAATTCGATTCTGTGTTGTGATAAATCTTATTCCCAGGAACTGAAGATCTTGTTTTGGTTCCAACTCTGAGTTGACTGGCTTCTTGATGAACCTGTATCCCGTCGTCCAGATAAAAGGCACTGCGTAGACCTCGACGATGTAGATAGGTGACGATGGGCTTGGTCACTCGTGTGAATAACCACGGAGCCGACGATATTCCAAACGGTAGGACGCTCCATTGGAAGTGTTGACCTCTGAATGGGAATCTGTGTAGGCTGACCTTGTGCTACGACCACAGGCCCGAGACTGTCCGGTCACCGAGAACATGCCCCCCCCACCCTGTGAGGGAGGCGTCCGTCTGAACTGAGAGTGTTGGCGTCGGTAACTCCAGAGGGATCCCCCTGGAAAAGTTCCCGACTTCTGTCCACCACCGCAAGTGAGGAATCAACCACTCTGGCAGCACGACCTGAGCCTCGAGACTGTCCGAGCGTGACCACAGCTGGCGCAAAGCCTGCTGTATCAGCCTCATCCTCAGACGCGCACGCCAAACCACATCCACTGTCATGGTGCCTAGCAACCGGAGCCATGTCCGGGCTGACACCACGGGGGATGCAAGAAACTGAGTAACAGTCCTGTGAACTTTGACGATGCGGTCTTGAGACAGGGAGACAATACCCTGCTCTGTATTGAATCTCGCACCCAAGAAAACTAGATCCCATGTTGGAACCAGGTCTGATTTCTTGAGGTTGATAATCCAGCCCAGTTTGATCAGGATATCCATCACTGCGTGAGTGGTATCCCGACTGAACTGCTGGGCGAGAGCTCTGAGAAGCCAGTCATCCAGGTACTGGTGGCAACAGCCGAGCCTGTGACCTGGCCATGTGGGCTGGAACTAGCATGAGTTTGGTGAACACCCTTGGCGCAGTGGATATGCCGAAGGGGAGCACACGAAACTGGTAGCATTTCCCGTCCAAAGAGAACCGAAGGTACTGCTTGAAATCGGGATGAATAGGAACGTGAAGGTACGCGTCTTTGAGGTCGATTGACGTGAGCCAATCCCTTGCCTCGACTGAACATAGTGTCTCCATCTTAAAGGACGGTACCTGTATAAGATTGTTAAGCCCTTTGAGAGTCAGAATGGGTCTGAACCCTCCGTCCTTTTTGGTAACCAGGAAATATGTGGAACAAAACCCCATGCTTTCTTGGCCCCTTGGAACCACCTCGATGGCTGCCTTGTCCAGCAGGGACTGGACCTTGGCGCGGAGAACATCTGCCTTCTCCCGGGAGGCCGGCACCTGGGTGTGCCGAACTCCTGAGAAAGAAGGGGGGTCCCGCTTCCACTGTGGCAAGTGGCCCTCCCTGAGTGTGGACAGGACCCAGGGATTTGAGGTGGTTTTCTCCCATTCCGGCAGGAAGAGGGAAAGCCGGCCGCCGACAGGGATGTGAGGCAATAGACAGTGAACCCCCATGGTAGGAAACTTGTCGTATCCGGGAACCGACTGGGCATGGCCGCCAGGTGGATACGAATCTTCTCCTGTCTGCTCTGCCGACTGAATGCCGACCAGAGCCGGGGACACCTGAGGTAATCGAGGGATATTTAGCCATTGAACAGACCCCCTACCTGAAGCAGGTGGGTGGGAAGAGGGGGAGGAATCATCGAGGGCTTAGGGCGGGAAGTGGAGGGGTGCTCGAGTAAAGGCTTTGAATCCTTAAACTGACTGACCGCCTCCGCTGCCTCACGGATAACTTTCAGAACCCCTGGGAACAAGGTAGCACCCAACCTAAAGGGGAGTGAAAGTAAGGCTTGATGAGTGGCTGGGGAATACCGGGAAACCGACATCCACAACCTGCGCATGCCCATAACAGAAGACATAAGCTGGCTCGCACAGCAATGTATGCAGTCACGAGCCGTGTGAGAGTCACAGACAAGATATCATCGGGACTCGACCCTGGCTCACCAGCTCCCGCTGCATAGTGGAGAGGTATGCTGAATGAACCGCAATACGCAACTGCTGGGCAGCATTGCGGCATTGTTCTTCAAAAGAACGGTAAGCTGCCCACAGTGTAGAGCCATTAGCCGGCAAGGGCGGTAGGCGCCGACCCTGTTTGGTAGAGGTGAATGTTGGAGTGGACAAACCCCCAGGGTGACCCTGATGTGAACACACACTCGTCAACCGCTGGGGGTTCAAATATATCCTCCTCCCCCATGACATAACGGCGACTAAGGTCTGATAAGTCAAACCTAGCCCGTGTGCCCATAAGGAGTGGATTAACAATTTCCGTAATAAGAGGCAGCAAAATACGCAAACGCATCCCAGGAGCCTTGCAGGGAGCAAAAGCATCCCCAGGCAAGCTGAAATCCGAGGGATCCGGACAGGACTCAGGGACCGCCACCTGAGGCAGGACAGTAGCGATCCCATCGCGTACCTGCCTCAGTGAAGACGTAAAGGAGAACTTTTCCTCAAAGGCATCTTCCATCTCCTCATCATCTTCCATCGCCTCTATGTCACGATCCTCAGAAGCATAACTATCCTCGCAAGGAGGAACCTCTGAGTCCGCCACTGATGAGGACAATGAGAATGACAAGGGATGCACAAGCGCTGACGCATTTGACTCCCCATGCCCCCTAGTCGAGCCCTAAGCTCGGTCCCGGGACCCGAGATGGCCATGTAGTGACAGAGCGACCGAGCTCAGTGCACCTGACAACTCATCAGCAGAAGCATCCGGTCAAGACCTGACTTACCATCGCTAAGGAGGCCACGAGTCGCCGAGGCAACCAGTACCCCTGGCACACTCAACGGCTCTTTGGCCAAGGCGCTAAGGGGTTGAAGGGTAAAGCCCTTATCCCCTGCGCCGGGAAACGATGCTGAACAAAAGCCGAGACTCGAGACAGCTGTGGAACCCAGGGTCTGAGCGCTCCCGGAGCCAGTGCTCGGGTGAACTCCTCCCCCAAGGGTCGGGGCTAATTGAGTCATCAGAGTGTTAGGATCTTAGCGAATGTGGACGTTTGTAGACGTTCGTGAACGTTGTCTTTAGTTGTAGTAGACCTGTGAGGCATAGATGTAGATCTTTCAGGTTCGCGAAGGTCCGAGGGTTTGTGAACATTGTCTGCCATTGTGGGGTTCTGCCGTGCTGCTGCTTCTTCGGCGAACCAATGCTCCATCATGGCCATCATCTCCGTAGTAAATCTGCCTCATAAAGTCACCTGGATCGAAGTTCTGCGCTGTAGGCTGGAACTGATGTGGTGTGGATGAAGCGTTCGTGAACGCTGAGGTGTTGTGTGTGTCTACTTCGCTGATGTTGTCTCTGATGACCGACGTCAAACAGCTGAGCAGCTGTCGTAGTTGCAGGAGACGATTGTGTCGTCGTGGAGGTCGACTGCGTCACCATTCTAGCAGATCTAATAGGTACTTCAGGTAGAAGTATCGGAGGGTCAGCAAAAACGTCTGCTTCGTCAGGAAGCACAATCTCTTCATTAAACGACCTCTGATGTGTTGTCTTACTGGGACGAGTTGATTTCAACGAGGATCTAGTTGAAGATGACTTCTTCTGTGTCGCAGACGATGAAGACATCTTCTTCTTACTCTGCGAGGTCGTTGCGAAGACCTCTTCTTAGACCCAGCAACAGACGACTGCCCCTGCAACGTACTTGGCAAAGCACCTGATGAAGGAGAGAGTGACAAGTATGGCTGGTCACATGACTGTTTACGTGGGAAAAGGGAGGTAACTCGTGGGTGAGTGAACTTTTACGTCCGCTTTAGGGAACTACAAGGGATTCAAGTGTTCCACTAACATTCGCATAGAAGAAGGAGATAAGCAAAAGATCATGAGTCAGGTTAAGGAAAAATTATCAAAATCACCAGAAATATGCCCAGTTTTGGCTAGAACAATCAATTGTCGGCTTTATATAAAAGCTTGATAAATGACTTACTGCATCAGAATTCTTTCTCACGGTATCTATTTTGGAATCATTCTGTAACCATGGTGATACTTTCCCAACGATAAGGCTGCTCCAGTCTGGAAGGAGACAACAACATTCATCAATACTTCATTCTTGGTAGCAACACAAATATATTAAAATGAATTACACTTTGCTATTTAAATACCTTATTTGCCAAGTTAAAACTAAAAATACTGACAAGTATTAATACACAATAACACTGACAATATCTTCAAAAATACCAATTTAAACAAAATAATTATTTAGAGAGGAAACAAGATTATCTATGGTGAGTGAGTGAAGGTTTTACGTTGCATTGGCCTTATTTCAGCCATATAGCGATCAGACCAAATTTACACTTACACACAAGTCCATAACTAACATAAAGTCACACACATAAGCAAGTTGGAGGAGGGAGAAGTATCTCTATTCCCACATGAAGCCCTCACAAATTAATCAATACATTCTGTCTGTGTGTGTACCAGTTGGTCCCCATCACATCATTTGTTTTGTTCCTTTTTTTTCCCATTCATGTTATACATATTTTTCCATACATTGATACATTGTCAAATAAGGTATAACTTCAATGTCCACTTCATGCTAAACATATTTTCAACACTCTATACATTTTTAAGAGTAATACTTCAATTTCCACTTCATGTTTAAACTGTACATACTCATGGAAACAAACAAGGGAACAGCTGAAAGTACAGGTGCCCCAATATTCCCTTCCAGAATTTCACCCACAGTGCAATACAAAGCTTGTGAAGAAACCTGGAAAAGAACAGAGGAACACCCACACACCCAGGCGCCCCATCACATCATTGTAAACAAGGTAAATGTGGTAAATACTGAATCACATATTCAGGCTCTGAAAGACTGGTTGTGTTTCATCATACTAATGAGTGAGTGAGTGAATTTGGTTTTACTCTGCTTTTAGCAATATTTCAGCAATATCACGGTGGGGGACACCAGAAATGGGCTACACACGTACCCATGTGGGGAATCAAACCTGGGTCTTCGGTGTGACGAGCAAACGCTTTAACCACTAGGCTACCCCACCGCCCCTCATCATAATAATGCTGAAGGGTCGTTGCCGGCACAGGTACTTGTTGTACCCCAGGTGCATTTCTGTTTATAGAAAATGTACCCCAGCCAAAATCAGAATGCAGAAACGTACCCCATTCCGCATTGTGCTGTTTTCTTGATTTGAACTGTCATACTGCTGTATTAGATGCATTTTATTGTGTTATATCAGAAACGAGCATATACAGTTACAAATATTTTGTGAGTGAGTGAGTTAAGTTTTAAGCTGCACTCAGCAATATTCCAGCTATATGGCGGCATCTGTAAATATTCGAGTCTGGACCAGACAATCCAGTGATCAACATCATGAGCATCGATCTATGGTACATTTCTGTAATTTGACTTCGTTTAGGGTACATCTCTGTAGTACCTGCACCGACAAGGACCCCTTCAGCCATACTAATCATCCATGTATTCAGTGGGACTTACTGCCATATCATTGACACTGCCAGTCCATCACTGAGTCTGGTCTGTTACTCTCATTCCGATTTGTCTGTTAGACTGAGTAATGTAGTAAATAAAAATGGCAAATGAAAATCAAGGGTGCAAAAACAATTCAAATGGATCCAGGAGTGCAGGTTTAGTAAAATGCTGGTGAATATGTTGTCAATCACTGGTTTGTCTGGTCCAGACTTGTTTATTTGCATGCTGACACGACACAAATGTTACTGTAACCATGGTAACATTCACTCACTACCTCCCTCACAAGGATTCGTACCTTGACTGGAGACCACCATGTCAGATCTGGTAAGGGCACCAGGTCTTTTCTTCGCAGGGCCATTTATAAACTCTCGTCGATACCGAGGATTTACAAGTGGAAGACATAGAAAGTCAAACCTGTGAAGATATGAAAACAATTATGGAGAAAGTGAAATGTTACGAACAGAAAAAACAACAACTGAATTCAATTCTCATCAGCTTTATTTTGTTGTCGCTATTATTTTGATCGAATCAGCTGACACGACACTGACCAAAATAAAAACATTGGCAAGTGTATACCTGATCCTCATAAAGCGAAATCCACAGACAGAAAGTGGTTTGTACAGTTAACAGATCAACATTAACAAAGATTCTTGTATGATCCTACGGGCAGCAATTAAATGTCATCGCACTCACGAAAATAGGTGTCACGAAAGCAGAGTTTTCAGCTGAAGGACTCTACCACGAAAATTAAGACTAATCATAACATGTCTCTATCCACATCTAATTACCCAGATTTGCATGCTGTGTCGAGGGCTGTATTAATGTCTGGAACGCAATGGAAATCTCTACCACACGAAAGACGTGCACACATTTTTGGCATTTTCTTTCCCACACTCAACACTATCTTCAGTGTGGAACTAGTAAATAGTTATCATCAGTCTGGATGACAATAAAATAAAGCAAATATTCTGTAGGCCGTAAATTCTTACTGTAGACCATATATGGTCGTTAAATTAATATGAAGTGTGCGGTCAAGCTTTCCTCTTTAATCAAAGACGGAAACATTTACTGCTGAATTGAAAAATGTCAGCGCCCATGAAACACATGTTTTGCTAAACAGAGTGACCTAACGCGGGAATGTTTGAAATGATTCAGGGAAGAGCTTAGAGATATTGCGACCATACATGAACAAAATATTTCAGACAAATGTCTAAAATTAAAAGTCGAAAAAACATTCCAGTTCTCATTGTTGAGAATCATCATGAGGTTAGTAGATGTATCTGATATATCTTTATTAATATTATTCATAGAACTTTACATATTCACTTATGATTTTTAATGAATTGTACTGTTGAACGTCGCTAATATTGCATGTAGTAAATGTATGGGGCTTGAAGTAGATTATTACCGTTTATCCTATATAAATCGGCAGAAATACCATACATGGCTGTCTCAAATATTTATCGCCATGTCTTAAATTTACACTCAGTCAAAAATAAAATAAAGAAGTGAATAGAACCTGGGCCAGCGTCAAGTAGATGCTATATTCCCTCTTTAAAGATGTGAAACCAGCAGATTCATGTCTCTATTTATCGCCATGTAGAAGTTGGGTCAGTGTGAAGAAGATACCAAAATTTCCTATCTGAAACGTTGTGAATCCTATACACCCCTGCTCCTACTTTAAATCTTATGCCGTGCCCAAATAATGGATGCTAGGCATCGGTTAGACTGCAGGACATCAATATAGGCTGGGTCCATCATTTGATGGAACTAGTTATTCGATTCACTGATTTTAAGTGATTTATATGAGGATTTACCAATTTCTTATCAGTGACATACTTACCCAGCTTTACAAGAACAATAGCTGTGAATGATCTTCTCGGCGCTTGTGTCAATCCTCAAATGGAGGGTATGCGGGCTCCGATTCTTCGACATTGAACGCCAGCACATGGCATCAATGTCAGAGGTGTTGTCATGGCTATAAACTCGTATCTCATGGCTATAACCCAGTGAAAAAATAGTTTAAGCCTTTCTGTTGCGATTTCTGCGTCAAAGTAGAATGATCTGGCAAGAATGCAACAGATATTGTGTCGGAACTGTCAACAGACAAATGGTGCCTGACAGTGTATCCGCCATTTTGACAGCTCGGCATCCCAAAGCTTGGGGGATGTAGCAACAGTAACCAAGGTGGGCGGAGTGTGGCTCGGAAGTCAGAACTATGCATTACCTTTCAGCATGTAATGATTACTTCCTTCACTCTACCACAACCGTGTCCTCCAAATGTATCTTTTGTATGACTGTAGAAACAGGGATTGAGTTCAGTAGTGAGTTGCCAATTTTCAGTTATTTCATACATGAGTTACGAACACCAACATTGCAGAAGAACTGCCCTTTACAAATAATAGATTCTGTGTCAACAGCTTTTCAAAATTAATTTCTGCCCAAGGTTTCTAGAAGAGGGTATGCAATAAACGAAATCCTGTAATTTCATGGTTTGACAAGCTGTTCCAGTTACAGTGACTTATTTCAATGTTTGAATTGGTTTTCTGTGAACCATTATAATGCTCAGTTTAAACTTGTTGAAAGATAACCACTCGTTTCATTTCCAAAGGATTATTTGTACCATGTATTTCAGGTTGTTCCTCTCATCCATCGAGATATTGGATCGAAACATCTCCCATTCAGCGATCTAACCTTGATCCATTTTGACTCTCATCCTGATATGCTTATCCCTGTGGACATGCAGGCTGACACAGTCTTTGTGAAGGAAGCACTATATGAGTAAGTACCTTGTGTTGGTTACAGTGAAGTTTCCTTCGTTGCTGCATGGATAGCCCAGTCATCTGAGGCAATGCAATTTGCAATGCTGTAGTAATGTCACGATTCACTGATGCACTGGTGCATCACCTCCAATGCTGTACCTGAGAGGGTACATAAGTCCCAAAACATTTAGTCAATTTAAGTGTACCAGGTTTTTAATCGTAGAATATATGTGCTTTTAATTTATGGCTAGATTTCTCTTCTGTCGCAAATGGCTGAAGGGATGGTGTAAATCCAACTAGGGTCCATGCAGGTAGCAAAAGTAATGTAAGTCCCCATGGTCCCTGGTATGGTGATCTACCTTCAGTTATTGGCGATTTATAGCCCATTTTTATACTGTATTGTTTTTCCCCTATAGTTAAAACGTTTTAGATTTCATTACTAATTTTACATACATATCTGTGATATTCTAGTTGTTTTACTGTCCTTCGTCGGCAGGTTTTTTATAATATACATATATTTCATTTCAAAATCAAATATGTTCTCGTCACAATATGGCTGAAATATTGCCGATGTGACGTTAAATAATAACTCACTCACTCACTCCAATGCTGTAGTAATGTCACGATTCACTGATGCACTGGTGCATCACCTCCAAGCTTTGCACAAAAGGAGACATTTGCTTTCTTATCGATTCATATTTTGATGTATATTGATTATTATTTTGATGCTGCCCCAATGTCTCATATAAAGACTTTTACTAAAGCCTGTTATAATCTGTTTGTCCCTATGACGAACGTGAGACTGCATTGATAACAAGTCTTGCTAACTTCGTTTTTGCCTAAGATACTACATTGCACATTCTGCAAACTGCAACGTAGAGTAAGTTATTTACTGTTTAAGTTGTGATATTTCACAGAATCATGACCTCATGACCGCAGTATCAAGATACGTATTGTATCTTGAGGCACCAGTATTGTGACATCCTTACTATGCTGAGTGGCCTGTTATGTTGTACGTGTGCCAGAAACCCAAGTGGGTTCGAATCCTTGATTTTTCCTTGGTTGTGTTTCAAGGTTTAACAGCACCATTTCTACGTTCATGGGTTTTCTCTGAAGTGGTAAACATCCTGGACCTGTCACTTTCAACTTCACTCCAACATCAAGCTGACCATTCTCTTCCCACAGAGGTTACTCCTGTCATATCTTCCTACGTAACCTCTGTTCTAATACGGCCCTTTCATGGTGTGAGCGTTCAAGATTCGTGATTGGAGGCAATCAGATTTAGTTGTGCAATCAGCGACGTTGTTTCAAAAGTGATCATTACAGAAGGCCTCGGTAATTCTGATTGTCCCCGCGCGAGAAACTAAACTTCTTCCCCTGCGCGAATAATGCTAAAGCGTTTCTTCTAGACAGAACTCAGTCATGTTATCACGGATCAGTGGCGTCTCCATCACCCTCGTTGACAACGGACAAGCTAGCCATTAAACATCTTGTGTGTAACATCAACTCAAGTCCCAATGCAGGCTGACATGCTGCGATTCATAAATGAATAAATGTTTAAAGTTGCGTTAAGCCAAACTTTCTTCTCTGCAAACACAGGATATGTGATGAATCATTGGATTCAATCTTAAAATGAATGATGTTGATTACAGAGAAAATCACACATGGCACTCATTACAAAATCTCGGCATAGACTAGATATTGTCACCTTTGAAAAAAGGTAACATAATGCAAATTTATTGAAACATAATACAGATGTTTCTTTAATATTCTGAGGAAAATTTCTTTTTTGTCCCTTACCAAGGTAAAACATGTCCCGATGACTTCTCAATGCAGATAAAATAATCCATAGTTTAATTATATTTTGTTGTTTTATTGATTCTAATAAAGCTGTTTCCACTAGTTCCCATATGAAGTTGTTGATTATGTTACCATGGTTACAGTGCTTTGAGTATAGAGAACTGGATCCTTCCACTAGCGCATGCTGGTCACATCAAGGACATCTACTGGTTGAAGCCGCCCTGGTGCACTCAGATACAAGACAAGCATTTCACGTTTTATGTTGGCAAATGCTGTAACACTGGAACCATCAGGTATGTAGCCACTGAATAGGACACAACAGGATGAAAAGTCCCTTTCCATATGATTGTCGAAGGTGACTCAAACGGGTTAAATCACTACATTGAATGTGTTTGTTGTAAGAAGCGAGTAACGGGATCAGGGGTCAGGCTAGCTGACTTGGTTGACACATGTCATCATATCCCAATAGCGTATATTGATGATCATGCTGTTGATCACTGTATTGTCTGGTCCAGACACAATGATTTACAAACCACCGTCATATAGCTGGAATATTGCTGAGTGCTGCATTAAACTACAAACAAACAACCGAACTTATTGTCAGGATTATGGGGCAGGATAGTTATCCAGTGCCTCACTCTTGTTCTGAACATTCCAGTGTTCAGTTGGTATTTTTAAAAATTATGAGTTATCAGTGTATGAATTAAGCCTAAAACCCAGGCTGACAATGGATTTAACTAGACCAGACACCAAGATCTGGTGAATGTACTCAGATGTATGAAACATCTCCAAATTTTACCAGACCATCGGGCTGGCTAGCTGTAAATTTGGACCGTCCATCAGAAATCTAGCCTGTCTCGGGCGGTAGGACGGGCCTTATTTCATACACTGGAGTTATATCTGTCACTTGTCTCATTGCAATTAGCTGCAAATTTGCTGATACAGCTTTAAGCAATATTCACGTCCAAGCTCTGGCACTGCTAGGGTGTACAGAATTTAATGGGTTGAATTGACTTCTACGCCAATTTTATGTTTGCAGGCTGTAAGAAATAGAGCAATGTTGTAAATAATAATAAATTTACAATTGTGAAATTTGGCTCCAATCTTTGAACCAGTCAGTTAAAAAAATATCAAAAGTGTGTCACCTTACCATGCTTACCATCTTGCAGAACCACATGCACAGAAAGCTACTTTGTGAGTGAGACTCTTTATGTTCCTGAATCAGAACTAGTGGAGAAGAAACTAGTATCTTTAACTGTCATCACTGTTGTGCCAGAAAAGTGGTCTGACATTGCCATGGGAACAGAGGCTTCTAAAGTTAGCAGGAACAAAGAAACAGCATCAGGTATCCTGGACAAGAGCCAGTCAAAAGATGTAAAGACAGACACCAAGGATGAGTCCACAGATTCACCAACATCACCCAAACAGAGGAAGACTGATGAGCCGTTAAATGTTTACACTGACGAAAATTTATGCTCGGAACTCAATAAATCTTTATATTCGTGCCTTAAAGAACTCTCAGAAAGTCTAGGCAGTAAGCAGTTTATTCTGGATATTGATTTAGACTTCTACTCCACCAAGAATCCTTTTCAGGGAATGTACACAGCGCAACAGATGACATTGCTGAAGAAACTATACAAGTATACAGGTCCTGAAGAGAAGACCAGTCAGGTTTGTGGCTTCATCAATACTTTGTGTGTTTGTGTACTACTGAGGCATAGAGGGGCGGTGGGGTAGCCTAGTGGTTAAAGTGTTCGCTCGTCAAGCCGAAGACCCGGGTTCCATTCCCCACATGGGTACAGTGTGTCAAGCCCATTTCTGGTGTCCCCGCAATGATATTGCTGGAATATTGCTAAAGGCGGCGTAAAACTAAACTCACTCACTCTGAGGATTAGAAAATGTATGAAAATATTACATTGACCTTGAAAAAACTGAGTGCCATGTGTTTTGTGTATTTCCCAGGTGTGATATTGTATACACGCATAAATGATGTTAGGTGCTGTTTTCATGTTAAGATATTACTAGTGGAATGCATAGGCTACAAGAGTTATGTTCCCTTGTATATAGACAATTTGTTCTATCTCACATAGTGTAACATGTGTTATCATGTGCTGATCTGAGGTTTAGATATTACTAGTGGTATGTATGGAGAGATATGAGGGTAATGTTCCCTTGTATATAGACATGATAGACAGTTTGTTACATATCACACAGTGTACTATGTGTGATCATGTGTTTTTAGTTACAGATGTCTTGATTGTGATGTCATGGACGTATGTTGAATGTTGTCATGGTAATACCAGGTGGGATGGTCAGTGTAAGGGGTAAAGATAGAGTAAACTGTAACGAAAACACTTATAATGAACTGATGGATATAATGATCTGTTTGGTTTTTTGTCACTTGTATAGTTGAGTAGAAATGCATGTAACAAACAACAGTTATAATGAACTAAGAATTCGTGGTCCTTTTGCATTTGTGACAACCATAATTTACTGTACAGTGCATGGGCTAGCATCATTGTTGACATTTTTGACTGATGAAAGATACCCATGAAGATCGGGTTAGAATAGGTCTTCAGCAACCCATGCTTGCCACAAAAGGCGACTATGCTTGTCGTAAGAGGCGACTAACGGGATTGGGTGGTCAGGCTTGCTGACTTGGTTGACACGTCATCGTATCCCAATTACATTCATGTTGTTGATCACTGGATTGTCTGGTCCAGACTTGGTTATTTACAGACCACTGCCATATAGCTGGAATATTGCTGAGTGCGGCGTTAAACAACAACCAAAAACAAAGACTGATTATTGACGACTGAGTGTAACAATACATATTCAGAAAATCTTTCTCTCAACCAGTAACGTGGCAACTCCAGCACAAAACTTACAAAGTAAAGGTGCCTGTATTTTTGTTTTTAGGAGTAACCTTTTCTTGAGTTTCTTGAATAAATTCTTTTGTATATATTCTTTCTGCATATATTATTATGCACTCGTATCTATGCTTCATTCCAGTTAGAACATTTGTACAACAATATACAAGGGCCATTTCTTTTTCCAGGCCATACAGAGATGTGTATCTCTGCGACAGAAACAGCTCTCAGACCTAAAATTGGCCATCATGACTCTATCTAAAGATATTTCTGCAGAGGTGGAAATGGAAGTGGCAAGGTATGGTTTGTTGCAGTGGAAATGATAGGGACAGAAGGGAAATGTCCTCTAGTCATGTTTTCCACCCTTGCTGTACAGAGTTGTGTCCCTTAGGTATACCAGATGATCATCAGTGTATACGCAGGAGAAGTTGTTATTTCCAAGGTTTTGGCAGCTGCACACTATTACTTTGGGTTTCACCAAAGAATAGAACACGTTGGTCCTCCCTTAAGGCTTTCCTCCTACATCAAACCTGTATGCAAGAATATTCTGGGATAGCACTGGTATTCAGCAACCCGTGTTTGTCGTAAGAGGCGACTAACAGGTTCGCGTGGTCAGGCTCGCTGACTTGGTTGACACGTGTCATCGTATATATCATCGTACAGGTTCCACTACACTAAATGAGAATCGCTTGCTCGCTGAGCCAGACCGTATGGAAACAAGTTATGAGATACAGAGACATGTGACAGCTGTGATTGGATGAAATAGTGTAAGATGTTTTTGTTTTTTAAAAGCATATCCAACCAGTAATTAAAACTGACCACAATTTGTAAGTATTCAGTGCTGTGATTTTCATCACCATGACTTATGCTTATTGTGTGTACAGATATTTTCCGGTAGGTGACATTTGGTGCGGAACTGGGATTGATGTGTTCCGCTTCCTGTGCTCGCAAAACAAGCCGGACAAGTTGGCCAGATATTGTGTTTTATTGTAGTTTAAAGGCCAGAGTGTACCCATGTGTACATGGAATGGCTGTTGATAGCCTGGATAATTTTAAAAAAAATATAAGGCTACTATAGAAGTCTATGGGAAAACATTTGGTGTTGTGTAACCTGTAGTTTGACAAATGCCTTTCTGAGTTATCTCCCTTAGGTAGAAGGAGATGAGCACTGGTACTACTGGTTTAGCATAATCTTTGAAAAATTGTTTTTACACATTTTACAGACTGGAGATGGTGCGCGAGCTTGTGACAAGTTTCCAGAGTTGTGAGCCTGACTTTGATATATTGCATGATGCTGGGTGTACAATGGATGACACAGAGTTGCCGCATCATGTGAGCTCGGGAGAAGGAGATATGTGCCCTGGTACAGGAAACAAAACAAATACTGGAGGCTTTGCCAAGACCGGCTCTCATCACAGTGTCCAGGTGAGCACTTAAACTGGCATCACTCGAGACTGGGAAATGTACTGATTTAAAGACTGAATACTTGAAAGTACTTGAATGGACAGAATATATAAACTTTATAAAGTGTATTGAATAATCACACACAATTTCATGCAGTTTAAAAAGTTATTGAAAACCTGTTCCAGGTTTCCATGGAGGTTCTGGGGGAGGTTAAATCCCTTGTAATATGAGAAATGTTTCAGCAGTGTTTATAACTCCCAAAATTCCAAGCCAGACAGCCGAGTGGTAACTTTAAAAAATTACCAGCCCGGATAGAAACTTGCCTGTCCGGTTTTCATCAATAAAGAACTGTGACTGCCATTTCCAACTCACGCAAGCTCCATTTACTGTTTGTAGGCATCGCAATGATACTAACACTAACAGGCAATGCACCGAGTTTAGGTAAACTGAAAGTACATGTGTTATGATTGGTTATTGTAACATGAACTGTACAATCGTATGTAGTTTAACATAATTTTCATAATACCTTAAACACCTCAAACTGACGACACGAGAACCTGTCTGATATTATGAAATATTTACTGTTAGGGGTAAAAATATCTACCAGACCACCGGACAGGCTACTTTTGAAATTTCACCGTTCGAGATGAAAATTGACAGTTCCGGATGGTTGGGCAGGCGGGAATTTTAAACGCTAGTTTCAGAGTATATTTTTACTAATTACCTGATGAAGTTCCTCAAATTACAGAAGTTGACATCCATACATTTATGTGTGCCACTTCTAAATGGCATTTTAAGACTTTACCTCATACTTGTGACATTTGACTAAAACTTGTTACGAAAGGATTGGTTACGATATTGCTTATTAGCTTGTATCCAACATGGCTGTTTTAGTGTAAAGTGCTCTAGACTTCTATTCATTCGAATGTTTGTTACTGAATGATTGTCTGTGTGTTGTGTCAGGTCGAGTGACGATGACTACTGCCCACCTGACCAGGTAGACTACATCGAGGAGGCTGTGTCACTAGCTCTGGAAGAGGTGTATGTGTACACCCAGATACAAAAACACTACTTGGGAAGTGAGGAGGAACCAGCTGTAGGAACGTCATCTTAAGCAGATGTATTAACATGTCCACGCACACTGGACAGTGAGGAGGAACCAGCTGTAGGAACGTCATCTTAAGCAGATGTATTAACATGTCCACAAACACTGGACAGTGAGGTTGAATCAGTAGGAATGTTGTGTTAAGCTCTACATCAATGTACATAAACATCCACGAACACTGGACAGTGAGGATGAATCAGTTGTAGGAATGTTGTGTTAAGCTCTACATCAATGTACATAAACATCCACGAACACTGGACAGTGAGGATGAATCAGTTGTAGGAATGTTGTGTTAAGGTCTACATCAGATGTACATCCACATCCACGAACACTGGACAGTGAGGATGAATCAGTTGTAGGAACGTTGTGTTAAGCTCTACATCAGACGTACATCCACATCCACATCCACGAACAGTTTATGGATAATAACTTCTTTATTATATTATGATGCAACCGTTGTCAAGCCAGAGTTAGTTAACCTCTACAACTGAGGTACATACACATCCACGAACACTGGACAGTGAGGATGAACCTTGTCACTTCTTTGAGTGGCATTGTTTAGAAGTTGGAGAGAATAAAGAGGTTGTTTATCCATAAAGTTTGTCTGTATATGAACCTGGTCACTGATTCCCATCACATTAGCCCTAGGGTGTTTAAAGTCAAGTTGTGCTGGGTTAGACTAGAGGTGAAGCATTCACTCATCGCACCAACAATCCAAGTTCGATTCCCAACATGTGTAAAATGTGTGGAGCCTACTTCTATTGCTTAAAATAGAGCATAAGGCCACTCACCAGACAGGACACTGGATTACCATGAGACCTACTGATATACTTCCATGGCATGTAACCTGGTACACTGCAGTATCAGGGTGTGATACTATTGCGACAAATTTGGACATTTCATTTCATGTGTAAGGAATATAAGTTGTAAAACTCGGGGAACTTGTGGTTGTATGTTCTATACCACAAGCCAGTTACACTACAACAGAGAATAAACCTGACATACAATATTTATTGAACTGTACATATATTTACAAACAATCTTTGGGATTTCAAACATTCATTTGATTATCCCCTTTCATCTTTTTGGATACAACATTCTCAGCATGTCCTGTTTTCTCTCCAGATTTCTGTTTTTGTTTCTTTTTCTTCTTCTTTGGTTCTTTCTCTGTTTCCTCAAGATTTCTGTTTTTGTTTCTTTTTCTTCTTCTTTGGTTCTTTCTCTGTTTCCTCAAGGCCATGTTTCTTCACCAGACTGTCCAGAAGATTCAAAGCATCCTCATCTTCGGAGTCCTGGAACAATAAACATGATGGAACAAATAAACATGATGCTACATCAGACGAACAGACCAGAAGATTCAAAACATCCTCGTCCTGGAGCCATAATCATCATTATCATAAAAACATGTATATAGCCCCAGTTCCAGTCCAAATGTACTGCTCAGTAGCTCTCTCAGAACAACTTGAGAAAGAAAAGTTAGACACTGTACGTTTTCTTAAAAAGGTATGTCTTCAGTTTAGACTCGAAAATCTTCAGGTTGTTAATTGTCCTTAACTCTAGTGGAAGTTGATTCCAGAGACTTGGTTCATACATGCTGCATAAATCGATGCTCATGAGTCCTGCCACCTGAAATGATCGGTCATTGTGGGACAACAAGAAGACCAAAATGTTCAGATCAGAGACTTCGGTTGGGCTGATATCTGGTGATAAACACCATGCTAGGCCTCAAGAACGGAGGTTGAGGGACAGGTGAAATAAATATGGTTTCAGGCATTTGTTTTAGAGAATCGGCAAAGATGTCAAAGAACAATATTTCCATTTTCTTGATTTTGTGATAAATGTTTACAGATGAAATTGACAGTCTGACGGTTCAGTCAGGTGCTTGAGCTAAGTTTGGGTGCCAGTAGCATGTCTCCTCTTGTTACCTCTTGTTCTCTGACCGTCTGCCCCACTTCATCATCATCTGATGACACTTTAGGTTGAGGTTTGTCAGCTTTCTTTTTGTTCTGTTTCCTGTTATCTCCCGGCTTGTTGGTCCAGTCCTTCTGGTTTGTTTGGAATAATCTGGGCTGGCCCATGGGCTGGCTTGACATCTTGTCCCTTCTTTCTGACTTGTCTGGTCTGGGCTTCTTGGGGAATTCTGGACCTGGGGAAGGAATAACATGGCTGTTGTACAGATAATGTTCAATCTGTTAAAGATGTTTTACTCTGATGGGATACCTCTGCACAAAGATACACCTTCATGCAATGCAGTCAGTGAACTTGTCAACAGTCAATCTGCACCTTAAGTTTCTAAATTCTAGGTATGAATGAATGAAACATTCTTGGACGCCTATTATTTATCTGATTTCTTGATCCCCAAAACAAGTAATAATGCCCCGTTCTGAATATAGACAAATATGGCAGTGTCATTATATTGTGCTGGATATTGTATTTGTTGTCATTCCTGACCATCATTGTGTGTTTATCTAGATCATTTTTTGTAAAAATTGTTCAAGAGAAAGCATATGAAACTTTCATATTAGGCACAGTAAAAGTTTGCTCAGGGTTCACATGCACCAAGGTTGTTCAGAATGTACATAAACATAGTGCCACCATATTGTGGTGGATATTTAATACAGTCATTCCTAAGCATTAAGATGCACCTTCAGATCATGTTGATATAAAACCTGTGAAGATCTGGGTTAGAATTGATCTTCAGTAACCCATGCTTGTCGTAAGAGGCGACTAACAGGATCGGGTGGTCAGGCTTGCTGACTTGGTACACAAATGTCATCGATTCCCAATTGTATAGATCAATGCTCATGTTGTTGATCACTGGATTGTCTGGTCCAGACCTGATTATTTACAGACTGCTGCCATATAGCTGGATTATTGCTGAGTGTGGTATAAAACTAAACTCACTCACTCACTCACTTCTTTTAATATGAAGCCAAATTGTTCGAGCAAGGTGACACCTGATTCACCCAAGTACTTACTGAACATTAATATTAGAAGTGTGAATATGTTCATGTAATGTTTTCTATGTTTCATTATATGTGGGTACCTGGCAGCGGGGTAGCCTAGTGGTTAAAGCATTGGCTCGTCACGCCGAAGAACCGGGTTAGAATTGACCTTCAGCAACCCATGCTTGTTGTAAGAGGCTATTTATGGGATTGGGCGGTCAGGGATGATGGATTGATACATCCATCGTATCCAAATTGCACAGATTGATATCAATCACTGGTTTGTCTGGTCCAGACGTGATTATTTACAGACTGACATCATACAGCTCGAGTACTGCTGAGTGTATCCAGGTTGCACAGATTTTCAAAGCTGTAGTATTGAAGACAGACTTGATGACAGCAAGCACTTGCTTGATAACAGAACCAGCACCTACACCATGTTGTATTAAAATTTGTATGTCAACTTTGTCTTCTTGAGCATTAACTCAATGGGATGGGCATTGTGAATTCTGTCTTGTGCCATGTTTTCAGAACTTTCTGAATTTTGGTCATGTCAAATCTACCAAAAGATTTCAATTGAAAACAGGAAGAAAAGTACCTGAATCATTGAAGAAATCTTTGAAGAGTTTTCTCTTCTGTGCAGTGACTCCTTGCTGCGACATCCACAGTTTGCGGTGAGTCTGGAACTGAGATATGGCTAGGTTCCTGTAGACGAAGTGTCCGAACTTGTTACTGTGGAGCCTATCTGCATGTTTTGAGAGCTCTTCCGCAATCACAACCTTCTGTTGGGCAGAGCAGTTCCTCCATATTGACTCCAAGGTTCTGCTTCCATTCCGGTCACAACTGATGTCAAGGAACACGCCCTGTCAGAAAGAGTATCCATGGTAACATTCAAACGACATTTAGGATCTCTACTACTGTTAAATACAAACCGAGTCCATGCCGACCACTCCACTTTTATAGCTAGGCTGAAACACTAGACATGATCTGTTTACATTCTCTTCTCTCGTTAGAGATAATCCAGCATGTATTCTTTCTTCTTATCCAGAGAACAATTAGTCTCTTCAAGATTAAAAAAACCCTGAGTATATATCAAGGGCTACAAGGAAATATAATTCCTAGTGAAAAAAAGAGGTGCAGTCCATTATAGAGTGTTGTGCACTGCTGTGCTGTAAGATTCGAATTAACAGTGTAGCAAGCCAGTTTTTTCAATAAGCCCGATAGGTGGCAAAGCTTTATATGTAGATAGTACTGAGGGCTTGCCCAAACTTTTTAGCAACAATCATGTGTAAGCCCGGGCTTTTTGCTATAACGGTACCTACGCCCCTGATTAAGTAAATCTTGTATGTCTTGTAACAAATTCGGGATGCAACATATTCTTCCTTTTAGCATTCATTCTATCCACACAGTTCATAAGCCCATGATAAAGTATAGAGTTACGATAGGTCACAATCCTACAAACGATATGTGGTTCAGGGGCTTGGACTCATATTTCTGCATAAACCCTGATTCCCTGAAATTAGTCACCAACCTTCATCTTCTGCAGAAGTGAGTCTTTCATCTTCTCTCCAACAGTTCCACTCTCAAAAAATATGTCGATGACATGACTGCCACATCGATCACTTGCCACTAATTTCAGCTCAGCTGGTTTTAGCTCCAACAAACTGGTCACAACCAGTTTGGGCTTGCGAAACCTGAGAAGATTCTGCATGAGGACAGAGCCGTGGTAGTTGATGGTGGTGAGCTGCTGCGGAGTAGCTGCTGATGGGGAGGTTTTCTGAAGCAACATCGTCATCAAGTGTTAAAAAGTTAGTGAAATGAAACATTTGGAAATTGTTCATGACAATTGCTGCAAATATCTCCCTTTTCTTCCAAAAAGACATTGTTACATAGGAACCTCTGGCTGTAAGAATGAACAAGATCCAAACAATGAAGTCACAGTAACATACCATTTGACCTAACATTCTCAGCTAACATCCAAGCATAGGATATTGGGAAGCTATCCTAATCTGAGTGGGCTGTGATTGGATTTTAGAGCTTACTTGCAGACCTACAAATGTGATATTTTTATTAAAAGTTCATCCAAAGGATAAAAAGTATTAGGACCCTCTCTGGCCTACAGGATCTAAATAATTTATACATGAAGCCAGTGAGAGAAGAACACTTTGGATCATTTGAACACGTTTATTTTGTACTTACAACAACACATATGTATGTAAAGACTCAGATGAGTTAAAAATGGTGATTGTAGACATTTCCAGCACTATATTGTAAATATTTAAACATGAGAAAGTCATTGAAACAGGCTTGTCTTCTTCAGGCATGCTCAAAAAGACAATTACATTTTCTCTTGAAGTCAAAATCAACCTCATTAAGCCAGTTTTGTCAACCTGGAAAGGCCCAAAATACAAAACAGTTAGTTGTCCACTATATGAACATGACTGTGATTTTTGTACCATCAATACAAAGTTTCCCATAACATGAATATCTGATATTACCAATGGACCCAAAAAAGGCCTGATCACCTTCTTTAGATAATGGGGTAGCCTGATGGTCAAGGCCTGAAGACCGGGTTCGATTCCCCACATGGGTACAATGTGTGAAGTCCATATATGGTGCCCCCCGCTGTGATGTTGAAATATTGCTAAAAGCGGCGTAAAACTTAACTCACTCACTCTTTAGTTACTACTATTAAATGTTAATGATTACCTTAACTACACAGACACAAAACCTGTTTCACTATTTCAAATGCAATTAGAACTACAATGTCTAGAGCTGGGTAGAAAATGGGCACCATGTTATTCTTTGTCTGTCACCCTACCTCTTCCTGCTCATCTTCCGACTCCTCTGGTTTATAAAGCACCTCATACGTTGACAGAGACAGTAGCAGGGGAGCCAGCGCTGTCTGTCGGCTGTCGGGGGTTGCACAGTGGAAGGCCTCCATCAACGCCTGGTTCAACACAAGGCAAGAATCAGCTCCAACACTGAGTACACTATTAGCCAAAACATGCATTTAACAGTCAAACCCTGGTGCCTTAAACTCAGATGTGTTGAAATCAATATTACACTTAGGTCATTTCAGAGACTAGCTGTTAGTCTAAGGGAGACCCAGCAGATGCAGTGTGCATTGACATTAGTGTATAGGTCAGTGATCAAAACAAAAGAACATTTTGAAAATGATGGTTTCAAGGTTATTTAACAAGGATAAATTACTCACATTTACCAGGGTGCCATTGTACAAAGCGATCTTAGCGCTAAGGTGACTGTAGTGTAACTCCCATACCTTAACACAGACTTAAGGTAGTCTTGGCGTTAAGGTTGTTTTGTACAATGGCACCCTGGCCCTTAATAATGTATTAAGTTTGTCAAACAGTAGGAGGTAACTGCTAAATTTGTCCAAGACCAAGATGTCCAAAATCGGAACCACTTCATGCTTTCCTTCCATATTAGTTTCACAGCATGACATAACCTGAATACTGTTCAAAGTGGCTTTGACTCACTCACGTAAGTTTACAGTTATCAGTAGGCACTGTTAGTATGATATCTTACATTGGTAGTTACAATTGTTTCATGAATTCTTTTAACAATGTCCTTGTACATCAGATGTTACACCATACATATATATAATATATGCATATATTAAACTTTTATCCTGAAAAAGGAAAAAGACTTAGGAAAAAGATAAATCATACCCTGCTAAGCAATAGTCAAAATGAAAAACACAACTTAGCAAAAGTTAAATCCTGGACTATACACATTAGATGCATAAATGTAAACGTGACTTATACTTTCCTTACAAAGCAAATGCAATTTTTTAATTAGCACTTTTTTTTGCCAGAATTTTCAAGGCAATTTTAGAGTCAAATGACATCTAACTAATTAATGTAACTGAAACATTTTGTGAGGGTAAATTCTACTATGACAAAGAAGGCTTGATTATGATTGGTTTAAATGAGTTATTAATTTTCAAATTACCATAATATATCTAATGAGGCCTATCACAAATAAATTGACAGCCCACATACTGATTCCTAAAAAATAGCTGCTGATAATCCATCAGAACTGTATAAATGTGATATCAAAACACCATTGGATGGCAGGGTATGAAACTCCCAAAAATTTCAGCCAGAACACAGGGCTGGTTAAATGTAAAACTTGCCAGCCCTGACCAAAACTTACCTGCACACAAAATATCTTCATACATCTGCATGCCTAAATTATAACCTGACCATCGGGCAGGTGAATTTGAGAATCTGGCAGTCCGTGTTGAAAATAACCTGTCCCGGGCGGTCGGGTAGGCAGGCAGGTATTTCGAACGCTGTGGATGGTTTTCATGACTGGTTTGAAGTTTAGACAACAACAGTTTTAAAGTCACTTGTTAACTTACTCTGACAAATTCATCTTGTCGTGTGCGATTTCTTTCACAGCCTGAGGCTAGCTTGGACAGCAGCCCAACGTGATGCATTGCCAAGATGTCTTCCACATACTTCGTCAGCTCATCAAAGATCTCCTCGAACTAGGACAAAAAGAGACAAAACTCACAACATATTTCTGTGTATTAGAAATAACCAAGTCCATAAAACTTGTCTGTACATCTCAAACGCACCAGTGTTTTGTTTAGGCCAATGGATGGCCTTGTTGATGTCATTCAGATTTAATGTGACATTAGGCCTGAATGACATCACTCTAAAAATGATATCAGCAGAAGATTGTTGACGTCACATGACAATTGTGGTTTTCTGAGACAGCATTTTGTGATCAGTACATTTTTTTCAAGAAATAATGGGTAATGAAGAAATTATTACACTTGCATGTGTATTATGCTAACTTTATAAAACATGTGAGAATTAATGTATTACCCATGTTTTCATAGAAATACCATGGTTTAATTGCCCACATGGGTACAATGTGTGAAGCCCATTTGTGGTGTCCCCTGACCTGATATCGCTGAATATTGCTAAAAGTGACCTTACACGTCTAAATCCTAATTAGCACTGTAACCACATTTTGATAGTACTGTGTTAACCTTGTTGAATATATGTGTAGCATAGTTCTGTATACAGTGGTAAACATCAAACATGTACTGATATTTCAAAACTATGAGTGTTAAATTGACGAAAACATGTCATGTGACCAAAATATGTATAAAGTTCCATTACCAGTTCCTTGTCAGTGACTTTGTCAATCAGTGTCTGCAGAATGTAGTTGGCTGCTCTGTCAACAGCATAGTTGAGTAGTCTCCCCTTGAATATGACCTTGTACACCTTGCCTTCACCTTCATCTCCCAGACTCACAGCCACAATCTGCTGCACCAAGTAGGCCCCCACTTCATTCCGCACTAATGCAGGTAACCTGAGAAGATTAGAGCTGTCTTAAATTTTGTCTGAATGAATGAGGTTAGGTGAAATTGGGTTTAACGTCGTGCTTGAGAATATTTCGCTCATATGACAACGTGCATGCGCGTGTATGTGTATGTGCGGCTGCTTGTACTAGCCCAGACTTAAGCTGGTTTTATAGTGCTAGCCCACTGAGATACCATGCCGCAGTGAAGCATGAATACCCCACTCAGACACATTATACTGACTCCGAGCCGACCAGTCCTTGTTGTACCCATTAATGCCGAACGCCAGGCAGGGACCCAAGTACCATATTTTAACGTCCTTTGGTATGACGCGGTTCTGAATGAATGAGAATCATAAACTCATTGAAAGTACTTCTTGTTAATATAATTTACATCATTTTTTTTAAGAGATATCTTTTTCAGAAAATGCAGCAATAATTATCATGATTTCATATTCTGTCATTCATCTTAACATACTGTCCAAGAAAATAACCTGATGAAACCGTCATTGTGAGTTTATTATATAATTATCCATAAAAAGATGATTATCATGTTATTATCAACTTAGGTTTATAGATAAGGTGATCTCCTCCTAGACATAAAGATTTAGTTGGATAAAACAAACCACAATGGTTGTTTTATGTTTGGTGAAAGTTCAACATGTGTTGACTTGTAAAGCTGTCTGCATCTTCCAGTGTATTGCTCATCTCCAAGATTGTAATCATCTTAACATGGTTAATAAATTCCACTTTTTTTTGTAATCCTACACTGGCTCACTCTGAAAATAAAATTAATCAAATTCCATTTCATAAATACATTTTCCCTATTTCTGCCATCAACCCTCAAATTGTAACATATTTCAAACTCTCAAAACAACTGCAGCAAATGAGACGAATTTCAATGTCAGACATCATCCACATGGTTCATAAGCAAAAGCTTTCCACTCTGGTGGTTGTACAAAAAGACTGAGTTTTGTATAATTATTTTCAAACATTTTCTTCTGCCCCCATGCAATCTCTGAGGCAGTGTTTCATGATGAGATACACACATGAAAGAATGGATGACCTTAGCAGTTATCACAAGACAGAGCTACATGACTAAACTTCAGATGAGAGGGGATGACTGAAACAAGTCAATTTTGGTCCATTTGAAAGAGATGCTGATAAGAAAACCTAATCTTTGATAAAAAATGTCATGCTACATTTCTTACATGACTTCTGCTTCTTCCTCCTTTCCACTTTCTTCCTCCTCTTTTGGCTGGGTTAGTCCACTCTTCTTCAAAATCTTCTTGACATATTTGCGACAGGACTCTGGGTCTCTCTGTTTTAAGATGAGTAGGATGGTCTGGAATACTGGACTAGAACTGGCGTCCTTCAGGTGATCTGTAATACATCATTCTGATTTGATTAACAACCTCATTCAGGACTTTTACTCCAGTACATTTCTGCATGAAGACCTAACAACCCCTCCACAGAAGGTCACATCAGTGTTGAAGCTTCTAAATTCTCGAATACTGGGTGGTATGAAAGACTGTCGAGCTCTGTTTGTTTTGAGAGAGGGGTAATCGAAAGCAGCGTCCAGAAGGAAGTAGTAGTTCAAAATGGTGAGATAAAATATAGGAACTATCAAATCTAATTTTAGTTGTCTTTTTGACAATCTGGCGCTATTAGATAAAGCGAATATACTCGAAAGTGACAAGTTACATTAGTCAACTGACAAGTAGCATGGAAGGGTCGTTATCTAACAGCAGGATCACGTGACGTCTCTGCAATCTCATTTGACGGTCGAAGTTCACAAACCAATCTCCGAAAATTAACAATGTCATCCATGCTTGTTTGTTGACATACCAATGACAAAAACATCTTGGCCGATTGAACTGGTGAATGACAAGCGGTTTCAGCTTTTCGGTGCCAGTTGCATTTACAGTCAGCATTAAGATGACACGATCTTTAGGCTGTTTCTTACCAGAAACTGCAACAGTACTCAAAGTCGATTTTGGCTCAGTTTTGTAGAATAAGCTAGTTTCATCACAATTAAAATTGTCACAAGGATTGTAGTCAGCGAGGACTTCCTGAAGAGATTGCCTGCCTTCACTTACAGTTTGTAACGATTAGTGAATTGTGTAACTCACTGTGTTCATAATCCTCATTGTTCCTCACGTGTGACATGTGGCAGTGTATTCACGGGTAATTGATCACACGCGTTGCTAATCTCAATGTCGGGTTAACAGGACTTATTAATGTGTGATTCCGACAGTTGGTTGTTAATTGAGCCTGTCTAAGTCGGAACGCGGGACTGTCGGATTAATGAGACTCGGGTCCAGCTGAACCAGACCCGTGCTCGAGTACTTTCGAGTACCGTGGAAGCCCTATCAGTGACCACTGATCTTGTCACCGATACCGAGAAATCAATTGCAGTAATTTCCACAGCTGTCAATACAGTGTATGGTGCAAGCATGTTGACAGGTGACTTTCTCAATGCTGATCTGTACTCAAAATTTGATAATCTAACATTCTCGTTAATCTGACAATTTGCTGTGCAACGGAAAATGTCAGCTAAACAAGACCTGACTGTATTGTTACCTGGCTATGGATATTTAAGGCACCCTTTCATTTCTGATCAGCAAGTAGAGTTCTCACAGAGTGGAATCAAAGACGAGTAAACTAACTGATTCTCATGAGATAAAGATATTTAATACCAAGCAAATATATGATGAATATGTAAGACCCCTGCCTATCATGAAGACGTCCTTCCTCACCTCCATTTTCTTTCAACAGAACTAGCTTCCTGAAAGAACTAAGTTAGTCCTTACTTCTCTCTTGCAGTTTTTCATATCCTGCTTAGTCACACATTACTGTATGATGATCCTGAGTGAGTGAGTGAGTGGTTTACAACTTTTTGAAGCAATATTCTCAAGTTGAGAACTGAACCCAGGCCATCAGCATGAAAAAGCAAACACTTGAACCACTGGGCTACCCCACCACTCTGATCATGACTACAATATATAAGAAGTAGGTTCCATGAAAGCAGAAGCTTGTAATCTTACCTGAATAATCACAAAGTGAGAATACTTTCTTGAAAATCTTCTTAAACCATGGACCATATTCTTCAGGAGGATTGGTTTTCTTTGGCCAAATTTTCTCATCTGTGGCAGCAAAAGATGTGATAAAATGTCCTTTGTAGTATAATTGGGTAAAATTTAAATTTCTAAGAAAGATTAAGACAGCATACAAGGAGATCAGAATAAAGGGTTAACTTGTCTATAGAAAGTGTCTTAGTTATGAGTGAGTGAGTTTAATTTTGCGCTGCTTTTACTTTTAGCAATATTCCAGCAATATTACTTTGGGGGATATCAGAAATCATCCTCGATAATCTCCAGGACATACGTTACGATCACTCTCCACTATACCCTAGATGCATCCACGGCTTGGCCCGATAATTATATTACCTCCCTTTGCTGGCTCCGCATTCTCACAGTAGCCAATCAGTTAAGCTGCCGTTACATCCGAGCTTGCCAGTGTCAAACAAAGATAGCGGTCGCAGCCGCGAAGGTTTGTTCGCAGTGCCACTCAGATTTTTTGGGAAATTATACAGACAAATTGACGGATCTGAAACTTTAAAAAATATATGAAAGAACTCCTTCTACCTCTTTCAGATTACCCCTGCATCAATTGTGTTGCCAAGTTTAAACGGTTAGATAATTTAAGAAGCGAAAGTGAGTTGTGATTGGTTCGCTCAACTTTCCAGCGTAGACACCTGATTGGATAAAAAAGCCAGCAAAGGGAGGTAATAAAATCATCGGGCCAAGCCGTGGATGCATCCAGGGTATAGTGGAGAGTGATCGTAACTTATACCCTGGAGATTATCGAGGATGACCAGAAATAGGCTTCACATGTTTTACAAATGTGGGGAATCGAACCCGGTCTTCGGCGTGACGGGCGACTAGGTGAATGCTTTAACCACTAGGCTACCCCACCGCTCCTGTCTTACTTATGTCATAGTGTGAAGGCTTTAATGAATGAAATATTAAGTGATTGAGTTTAGTTTTACCCTGTTTTAGCAATATTCCAGCAATAACATGGCGGGCGACACCAGAAATGGGCTTCACACACTGTACCCATGTGGGGAATCGAACCCGGGTCTTCGGCGTGATGAGTGAACGCTTTAACCACTAGAATACCACACCGCCCCCATGTATAAAAGAGGAAGACTCCTCTAACAGTTTAGTTAGTTGTGGACCGGGTTCTTTTAACCTTAAAATAGATATGTTGCAGAAGTATCAGAGAGTGAAAAAAGATTTGATTTAAATGCGACGGGGGAGTACACAAGTATTCTGAAAACAATTTTTCACATAAATCTAAAACTGACAGGAAGGAGAAGAATGAAATAGTATTACTGTAAAGATATTTGTTACATCCGTTATTCATTTTACATGTTTCATAAACTGCACACACACCTTTAGCCTGAGCTTGAGACATCCGACTTCTGATAATATCAGTTGAGACATCCACACCTCCCAAGACTTCCAGCAACACTCTTAAAATATGGCTAGCATAGGTATCCGTCAACATTGTCTCAAGGTTTTCACTTGCATATTCACAAAACTCCAACAGCATTTCTTTCACAGATTTCTCCTCCTCAGTGTCTGAGTTGTCTCCCCCTTGGTGGACACATTTTGGAGACAGAGCAATAATATTCTGTAACACATGGCTGGCAAACCTGTCTGTTGACACAGTACTCCAGTCCTCGCTTAGTGCTGACAGTAGTTGTCGGATATGGTGCGGTTTAGCATGCTCTAGAAATCTCTCAATAAATCGACTGACTGTTTGGTTCTGGGAAACTTTAATCGCCTCTGATTCCATTTGGGAGAAGACATTGTTGAGGAACAGATCTGAAATATATGACAGATTTCTTTAAATCAGGTTAGCATACATAAATTTCAATTACCAAGTCTTACGCCTCATCTTTTGAGTGGCATTTAGAAGCTGGTATGATGAAGAGGAACACTTTTAGACACTTTTAGAAGGATAGACAAAAGTTAAGAGAGGAATAATCGCAAACAGCCAGGAGAGCAAAGAACATCAGCTCCACAAGCCAAGCACTTGAAGCAGACTTTGAATGCATTTGTCATGTCTTCATAAGCCTTAATCAGTATCCAGGCAACCTAGTCAACAAAACCATCAAGACCACCCTCAACCCAAGAGGCAAACCACGTCAGCAATCATCACCATTCATAGGGGTTCAAAATTTTGTTTAAAGTCACTTGCCACAGCGCAAGTGACTTTAAGAAAGTAACTTGTCCTGACTAATTTTCCACTTGCCCTGATTTTATGAAATAATCATGATAATAATCCAGTGATCAACAGCATGAGCAGCGATTTATGCAATTGGGAACCGATGACATGTGTCAACCAAGTCAGCGAGCCTGACCACCTGATCCTGTTTGTCACCTCTTACGACAAGCCTGGGTTACTGAAGATCAAGACCCGTGAAGATCCGGGGTAAATTAGGTCTTCAGCAACCCATGCTTGCCACAAAAGGCGACTATGCTTGTCATAAGGATCGACAAACGGGATCGGGTGGTCAGGCTCGCTGACACAATGTCATTGGTTCCCAATTGCGCAGATCAATGCTCATGCTGTTGATCACTGGATTGTCTGGTCCAGACTCGATTATTTACAGACCGCCGCCATATAACTGTAATATTGCTGAGTGCGGCGTAAAACTAAACTCACTCACTGAAGATCAATATTCTAACCCGGCTCTTCACGGATATGTTTACAAAGGGAACAGTTTATCAGAAATATTACTATATAACATCATAAAAAGATTATAATATCGAAGCTGACAAAAATTATGCATTTATGGTAATATATTTAATCATTTTGAATAAATTGGGGCATTTTGACAACCCCTGGGGCAATGTGACCAAAAATCCGGGGCAATTTGACCAAATTTACTGGGGCATTTTGTAGCTGGGACGATTTCACACGCACCCTCTGTGACCCATAATCACAAAATTAAGTTAGACACATGTGTAAAACGAAAGTGTACCAAGGTGTACGTGACCAAGTCCATTTATCCCAAAATTACCGCTTGTGCACAAATTAGTTATATTATTAGTTCCCCTTTGTCCCAGTAACAAATAAAGTCATGGACTTGACGACATACTCCAGGAGTTGCATAGTGACTGGATTGTTGTTAACTGATTTCGTTAAACACGCTGTGGACCTGTCAGCATGCCAAAACACACACCTTTCTCCTCTCCATCGATATCTGTCAGTGTTTCAAATACTCTTCTGTAATAATCTAAGGTGTGGTCATTGAGAAAACCAAGCTTGTTCTTCCTTGACTTATTTTCGTTTGGCTTCCTGCGATTCATTGTACATAGGTATTGAGAAATGACAACAGTTTTCACATCCAAATTCACAGCTGCCCAGTCACTAGGCCTATTTACTACACGTGCTGAGAAACAAACCGGAAGTTTACAGCCAGAGTGATATTTTCACATTCTTAGTGATATTTTGGCATAATTAAATGTAATTTTCAAACCACATAAGTGACACATGCTATCAAAATTATTTAGTACATATACAGTACAGAGACGCACATTGACATGTGAATGCATCTTCTGTACAGAGAACATTTTTGCAACGTAACAGTAGAATACGAAACTACCGGAAGCTAGGCTCAAGTAAGAGCACCTTGCTGTTTTCGTAATGCCAGAAGCTCGGCATATTTACCCAAAGTCTGACACTGTATGATTACACTCAATCGCCCTGGAAAATGGCATACAGATATGTTTCAATTGCCAGGAAGGGGCAAAGAATTCTTCAAAGACTTGTGACCTCTAATTGTTCATTTCAAGAAGTAAGTGGTGATGACCTTGCAGGCATTTGTTCGGTTCTGTGAAGTTTTCTTCTCTGCATTACCAGATCAATGTACAAACAAACGTGCATCAGCTGCAGAAACAGGCCATGTTAGTTCCTAAATATTTAATTGAGTATTCAGATTTATTGCAAAATGTGTATTCCGTATTATTCTCGTTCTTTACTTCACGACACTGTGAACGGAAGAGCACCGTTTCCTTATTATCAATATCATGATTATGTAAGCGCTGCAATTTGCTAAAACTATTGACATTGCTACTTATCCAATATATGACCAAGGTAACGGTATTTTGAAGTTATTTTGCATCAATGTAGGGACTAGTGAAGTTAGATAAATTCACTGATTGGCACTGTCTTAAATGCTCTGTCATCGTGGATGATGAAATACTTTACAAACTTGCAGAGTGATTATAATCACGATATTAACCATATTAACATTTATAACATATGTTATATTTGGGATTACACTTTCTTTGTAAAGTACAGATTCTAGTACTTTTGTTGGGTTGAGTTAAAAGTGACTTTTTGCTTGAAATCAGTTTAAGAATCAACACCGAAACGTCGCTCTATGCAATAAACAAGAAGTTGTTATCCAGCTAATTTCATGTTAATACATAAGTTATAATGAATACAATTACATCGTAATCAAAATTAGAATGACAAGCAGAGTATTACCACTACTGTTGGAAATGCAGGGGGTTAAGTCACCAAATAAACAATGGTAACTTATACTTTCACCAGATTTATCCAGTTTATATCATTTCATTAAGTGAAGAGAGAAAATTGTTCATTGGAAAGAAGTTAGACATGTTAACATGGTTTAAAACTGAAAACAAATAATAATTTCATTTGTGATTTCACAATATATGATAGGGATGTTCCTATTATTCTATTACACATAAAGTTGATTGCTGATTTTCAAAAGTATGTATATTGTAAATCATGAAATAAATTCATCACAAATTTAATGCGAGTGCGAGGGTGTAGTCTAAAATGCGTCACAAAATTAATGCGAGATCGGGAATCTGTGTTGATGATAAAATGTGACACTCTGAATCTTTGATGTTGTTCATTTCTTTGTCACACTTGTTATTTACAAAAAAACCTGAATTGAGCTTGTTAAGCAATGAATGGAAATGGGCTGGCGATGTTTTGATTACGCTGCCATGTTTTGATCACGTGATTGCTTGCTACTACTCTTTACAACATATATAAACGTAATCCGAATTAAAAGGTGAGCAAAGATCGCGAAATGATCCTGCATGGTTGGAGAAGGTCCGATCTGGCTGATGTGCTTGAGTGACTTTAAGCAATGACCACTGATTGTAACCAATGATAATTACATGTGACTTGAGATACCTGTAATGAGGAAGTGACCTGTATTGGTGTAATGTGTAGTGTCAACACTTCCTCTATTGTTACATAATTTGCCGATGAATAAGTTCAATGGATATAAAGTGGTGTCTTGGAAATTAGTGCTCATTCGTCAATGGATTTATGAGAGATGTCTAAATTGTTGTTATAATCTGTCTTGTTATGATGAATGCTAACCTGAAGACAATACAGATGGCAAGAGATTTATGTTTTCTGTCTATCATTAAGTTCTCAAAAGTAGACATGGTCCAGGGCTCCAAATAATTTTTCATGATCAGGAATACGTTCGTACTCCTTATTTTTTTTAATATAGGGCAAAAAAAAAATGTTGTGGTTCCGATTTCCTACATTTCAGAACTAGGGTAGGTAGGTAGGTTTTTGGGTTTTTTTGCAAAATATTTTTACATTACTCATGTGTCAGAAAATAAATTTAATTTATTATGTGGTGAGTAAAATTGTTAGGCTCGGCGGGAATATTTAGGGTCGGTCGGGAAATCGGAACCACAAGCTTCTTTTTTTTAGGCCTAGGAGTACTGGAAAACAATAAGAGTACATTTAGAGTACTGAATGGAAATTAATGGAGTATCAGTAATCTTGTGTTTCGTTTCATATATGCACCACAACATTGCTACTCTTGTGTAAACAGGTAAATAAACAAAATACAATACTTTTTCAGATAAATACGTCTATAAATGATTCTAAGACCGTGCACCATTGCTGTAGTGCGTATATGCTACGTTTTCTAAATTATTTCCTACCGTATCGTGCATATTTTTAATCCGTACATACGCCAACACGGCCCTTATCTGGAGCCCTGTGGTCAGACTGAAATGCATCATTATAATAATGCGAGAAGAGTACAGACGCATTTTTTGCATTACTAAAATGCTTGCATTAATTTCATGATTTACATTATTTAAATAGTATGAATGCATCAGTTTCCTGATGATGATGATGGCCTAACCTTGCTAATATGCACTATGTGGATTTCATTATTAGAAAAGCTCCCTAGCAACTGCTCGTCTTAAGAGTGGATTTAATGTGTATTGTTGTTTGTTGTTTACCACCACTGTCAGTAATTTCCAGCCATATGACAGTGGTCTGTAAATATTCAAGTCTTGATCAGACAGTCCAAGGATCCTGAGGATTGATATCATGAGCATTGAGCTAAGCAGTTGGCATATGATGACATGCATCAAACAAGTCAGCAAGCCTGACCACCCAATCCTCTCAGATGCCTCTTACGACAAGCATGGGTTGCTGAAGACCTGTTCTACCGTGGTCATTTATGGGTCAGAGGTTATGGATTAAATGGTCAGGCTTGGTGACTTGGTCAGCATACACTGACTCTATGGATCATCTGGTCGAGTCTATTGGTCATGTACGTTCCACTGTCATTTAGATGGAATATTGTTATGTGCATCATTAGAAGTGTTAAGCATCAAACAAAACTAAATGCTAATTAATATTAATAATGGATCAGTGTAGATTGTATTCTTGGTAAACCATTCTTATTCTGTTTCAGATGCAAAGGAATCTTCATTTATTCACACGGTTAGCTAGTCATCAACATATAGGTCCCTTACTGCGTGAATGGTCTGTATTTCGTCAGAATGTGCCAAAAGGATTTGAGAAATACTTTCCAGGAGGCAAGAAAGCAGCAGGGAAAGAACAGCCGACCAAACCTAAAGGTGTGAAATTTGTAGATAAGTTAGTAGCATGAAAGCTATATGCAGTTACATAGATTACTATATTATTATTCGTCATGTTCAGGATTACCATAGTTTTAGAATGGGCTTGTGTTGTGTTCATTGGGGACTAGTTATAAAATCCCTTATTCGACTACAGAAAGTGGCCACAACCCAAAAGACTGTTTGCTATATATACATCAGTTCGTTACAGGCGTGTTTGCCATGGTGGTAGTCTTACTAAGTATGGTTGTCCATTTCAGAGCCAGTCAAACCTTCAGAACCCCCTCCTCCCAAATCTGGGTTTTCACAGCGACCGTCACAAGGATCAGAAAAAAGAGTAGAGTTTTCTTTTCAAATTGGAAAGTAAGTAATGTATCTGTATACAGGAAGTTAGTTAGTGTTAAATGTTAATCTTCATATTTATCAATGACACCTGTATTTTAAAGCAAGAGGGGCAGTGGGGTAGCCTAATAGTTAAAATGTCAGCTCATCACGCTGAGGACCTTTGAGTGTATTTTCTGTGTCATTTTAGACTGCCATGGTATCTCAGTGGGCTAGCACTATAAAACTAGCATTAGTCTGGACTATCAAAAGCTGCCATATATAAGTGCAATAAAGTTAAATGAGTCTGATAGGTGAGATTTATATCTTTAGAACAACCTGTCGAAGCGTAATAAACATCTAAAACCTGCATCCTGTTTCCTAAACAGTAAACAGTCCATTAACACATTTTGATGAAACTGACAACTGAGACACTTTAGCAGGTCTCAAACCCAACTCACTCACTCACTTTGACTTGGTGTATGTGTACTTTAACAGGGGGAGGAGCCCGTTTGGTGACCCCAATGACCCCAACACCAGACTGCTGATTGGCCTCATCACTGGTGTCAGTATTGTAGGACTGATTGGACTGTACCAGACGCAGTATAAGGAGATCACGTGGAAGGAGTTTGTCTCCAACTACCTCTCAAGGGGAAGTGTAAGTAGTGCCTCCATTTACACGTAACCACGGTAATGGGATTATTATGGATAGTGTTCAATCTTGAATATCATCATGATTAGTTGTGATCCGTAACCCATGCTTGTCCTAAGAGGCGACTAACAGGAAGGAGTGGTCTGGCTTGCTAACTTGGTTGACACATGTCATCGGTTCCCAATTGCACAGATCGACATGTGTCAACCAAGTCAGCGAGCCTGACCACCCGATCCTGTTAGTCGCCTCTTACCGTCATGATTGTAAAGCAACTGTTGTACATGTAGTAACCATGGTATCTGGATCATAGTGGGTTGTGTTAAAAAATATGATCATGATTAGTTGTGGTTGTCAAGGTACTGTGTATGGTGTCCTGCAATGTTTACAATTTACCGCCTTTAGTAGGTATCTTCCGACCAACATGAACTTAGTTTTATAAATGCCTCCTACAAAGAAGATGTACTTGTAGGTCCATATTTTCTTCTGTATATTTCAGATTTCTTTACACAATACAGCAATAATGAAGGGGTATATGATTCCCCGTCACTATTCTTGAAACAGTTTTAGTTTCTACAGAGTTTGTTCTCTTTGTCTTGATCTCTGAAAGGGCAGTGGGGTAGCCTAGTGGTTAAAGGGTTCGCTCGACGCCCCAGGTTCGATTCCCCACATGGATACAATGTGTGAAGCCTATTTCTGTTGTCCCCTGCCTTGTTATTGTTGGAATATCGCTAAAACTAAAAGTGGCTTGAAACTAAGTCACTCTCTCGCTCACTTGATATCTGAAAACAAAATTGACTCGATTTGTATGGTTTTAAGATGCATATTTAATCAGTACCAAGAATGCCAGCTGAACATCAGGATGAGGTTTTCCAGTGTCAACCATTGCATTAATTGATATATAATTTGTGTTTCAAGGTTGAAAAGTTAGAAGTAGTCAATAAGAAGTGGGTGAGGATCAAGCTGATTCCGGGCACACAAGTAGATGGATCGGTGAGTTGAACTGCAGCTACACACAGTGTACAATTCCAGAGCCTTATCGGTATGCTTGACTGTGATTTGATGTAAACAGTGAAACATCAGTTCTGAATTGCCATTTCCATTGGCCTATTCCTGACAAACAATTATTGGTAAGTAGTAATGTTCTGTAACTACCATTAATAGTGCCAAGACAAAATTCTGTCCAGAATTTTCCAGATTATCAGTTTCCAGACTTGAAAGGTTTTGCTGTATCTTGAGAGACCTGCCATTATGTATTCTTACCTCTACCCAATCAATACAGTTCAAATAAGTAAATATCATTGCAATGGTAGAGTGTAAGTCATTCCTCGTCATTCTGTGAATCTCCTTATGTGACAACTTTCCTGTCTACAGAAACTTGTTCTAACAGGCAAACTGGTGGATTGGGTGGTCAGGTTGATTGCTTCTCACCTTGCTCATAACATCAACCACTGGTTTGTTTATCCACTGGTTTGGAATATTACTTGTGCCATAAAACAACAAACAAATTAAAGCACATGGCACATCTTTACTGGGGGCATTGGGGTTGCCTAATAGTTAAGGCGTCCGCTCATCACGCTGAAGACCCTGGTTAGATTCCCCACATGGGTACAATGTGTGAAGCCCATTTCTGGTGTCCCCCGCCATGATATTGCTCTAATATTGCTAAAAGCGGCGTAAAACCATACTCACTCACTCACTCACATCTCTACTGTATCTAGTTTCACAGTTACATATGCATACAGAAGAATAACGTGTAACATAAACTATCTTAAAAGATGAACTATAGGTTTACAGAGCAATGTGGTTTTCATCTAGCTTTTCTTGCTGACTTACATGTAAGCCCCATCCTGACAGAATGAGTATGATATGTTGCCTTTCTTTTGTTGCAGAGTATGATATGGTTCAACATAGGCAGTGTTGAAGCCTTTGAAAGGAACCTGGAGAATGCACAGCTAGAAATGAATATTGAACCATCCAACTTTGTCAATGTTGTTTATAAAACAGAAACAGAAATGTAAGTAGTCTTTTTCATTTCCATTCACGCACATACCAGTATGGACTGGTTACATTATAAGTATGATAATGTATGAATGTACTTATGTTCTGGCAGCTGTATAGATCAGCATTCTTTGTATTTCAGAGCATCCGTTGCATATTCTGCACTGAACATCATTCTCCCCATCGCCATTTTAATATGGCTCATAAGACGTTCATCAAACATGTTTCAGGTAATATATTACAAAATCATGATACAGATATAGTGAAAGCTTTGCTTTATTATTCCTTTAACTGGAGTACAGATTTCTTACAGAAAAGAAGGTATTACGTTTTGCAGAGTTATGTCCCTTACTTGTGTCAGGATCCGTTGATAATGGCTTTGACCCAGTTATGATCCTTGGTCAAATGGTCAGATGAATTACGCCATGTATAACTCTCGGAAGTAAAAGAGCAGGACATCGACATTCTGATCCATACCACTTCCTGACATAAGGTCTAAAAAAATAAATGTTGTGGTTCCGATTACCCGACCGACCCTTGAATTCTGGTGCCGACCCTAGTTTTTTTAATAGGTATGAATAAAATAAGCTTTCAGATACCATTGTATTTTGCTGGCACCAGCGGACATTGGTCATTCTGATAGAGAAAGTCGACATGATGGCCGTAAGCTTGATTGAATAAACAATTGCACATTGATAAATGTGTTATTACCTTATTTGTTCATACTTTACTTTTAAAAAAAAATGTGAAAAAAACAAGAATTCCTACCTACCTACCCTAAATTTTAAAGAGGTGTAATCGGAACCACAACATTTTTTATCTTTGGCCTTAAGTGTAGGGTAGATGGTCTCAGGGAAGTGGCCTTGTTGGTTTCTCTCTCACAAGCAGGTTATCATGTGGTTAAAAAATATTGCTGAGTGATGATACAAGCATGACAGATGGAGGAATGTAGTGTAAACATCACAGTTATGTCTGACCATGGGTACTTCTTCAAGGTTTTATGTCTTTTCTAACTTTGAATATTCTTTTTGCAGGGTGGTCAGGGTGGGACTCGAAGAGGAGGAGGGGGGATATTTGGCTTTGGTCAGACAACAGCTAAAATCATGAAAGAAGACATTGGTGTCAAATTCAAGTGAGTACAAAGCACATGTTAACATATTGTTGTATGCCCATGAACATTTTATACATGACGTGTTAGTGTGAGTGTATTACTTTGTACATAAATTGGGGGCGGTGGGGTAGTCTGATGGTTAAAGCGTTGGCTCGTCACGCCGAAGACCCGGGTTCGAATCCCCACATGGGTACAATGAGTGAAGCCCATTTCTGGTGTCCCCCGCCGTCCCCCGCCGTGATATTGCTGGAATATTGCTAAAAGCGGCGTAAAACCAAACTCAGTCAGTCAGTTGTACATAAATTGTGAGGTGGGGGCATTCACATTGTACATGCTTCTCTATAAAAATCATCATAATCCCCCCTAGCCATAAATTATGACTGGTCCCTTATTCTTTCAAATGGATCTCATAACACACAGTTACAGATGTTCACAGTCTGTGATTGTAAGATACCTGTCAGTGTCCAATAATGTTTGGTCTGCTAGCCAGAATATTGCTCCCATCATCACTTGCTGTTGATTGAAGTATTATTAGCTCGTCTTACAGGGCGGATCAAAGGGGGTGTGGGGTGATGCATACACACACACCCACCCCACCCCACCCCCTTTCCCATGGAAAAAATGTCCATGGTTTTCTCCCTAACCTTTGGACTTCATGATATATGTGCACCCTTCTCCAAATCCTGGATCTGCTCCTGCATGCCATGACTGGACAGATACTTTTTCAGAAGAAGTCCTCCTTGGGGTACATATAAACACTAAAATGTCCATTTTAAAACCTCGACAGTTGTAACTATATTTTAATAAAAATATTTACAAAACAAAAACACGTTTCTGAGTCTTCCCCAGGGCTAGCAAAGCGTCATTCTGCCGACTACTTGTTTTACACTAATTTGCTGGTGGGGCGTGGGACATATGGGCTAAGGACCCACCCTCTAAATCCACTAAAGGCAAAGAAGAGTTCTTCTTCGTCTGCTAATGAAGCGGGGTAGGCGGGCCAAGACTCTTGGAAAAACCTCCTTCCCCTATTCCCTCAACTTCAGCACAATCTGATTCTGATTCTGCAATGCCGTGCAGCAGCTTAGGGTTACCGTTCACTCGGCCTACCTCTCGGCCCTGCAGAGGAAGCTGGTTGACACGGAGGACGTGGGCGCCGCCGTGTCGTCGTCTTCGTTAGTGAGGCAGCTTACGGAGGTGCACTCACATCTGGCACTCGACGCCATACAGTCGTGCGCCAAGCCAGATGATGAGTGCAGTCATGAGCCTCCGTGAGGCTATGCCTGTCGGTTGCCAGGTCCTCTCGGCTACACAGCAGGCACTACTCTCTCTGCCCTTCAGGATGGAGTTCGACCCTTTTCCTGGGGGCTTTGACAGTAGTCAGGGGAGGCCGCTGGGGCGGTTAGCCAGTTTTAAGGACTCAAAGCCCTGACTCAAGCATTTCCTGGTTACGAAAGGACAGAGGGTTCAGGCCCATTCTCAATCTAAAGGGCCTGAACAATTTGATGGAGGGTACCATCCTTCAAGATGGAGACACTGCGCTCAGTGATCTCATCTGTGGAGCCAGGGGATTGGCTCCGTTAATGCGACCTCAAGGGCTTACCTCCGCGATACCCGATGCACCCCAAGTTCAGGAAATACCTCTGGTCTTCCTTTGGCGGGAGGTGCTATCAACTTTCGTGTACTCCCCTTGGCATCTCGGCGAAGCCAGGGTGTTCACAAAACTCATGTTAGTGCCGGCTCAAGTAAGCCAGGGCAAAGGGCAACTTTGTTATCCATTACCTGGGCCGACTGGCTTCTCAGAGCACTCGCGCCACCCACTTAAGTCGGGATGCCACACAGGCAGTGATGGATATTCTCACCAAGTTGGGTTGGATTATCAACCTCAAGTAATCAGAGCTGGTTCCAACACAAGGTCTGGTTTTCTTGCAGGCAAGATTCGAGACACAGCAGGGTTTAGTCTCTCTGTCTCAGGACCACATTTCCAAAGGCTGACCTCACAGCTTCCGGCCTTTGGTCAGCAGCGACCCTGCACATCAATGTGCTAGGGTGAGGCGGTTCGGTTGGTGTTGAATGCTTCGTGGGCGGTTTGAACGTGTGGTTCTTCTAGAAATGGACAATCAAATGGCGATGTCCTACATCCTGAAGTAGAGGCGATGCGGTGGCTCCGTCACCTCCTTCAGGAGGCGTGGCAGTTTCTACTGTGTGCGATCAGTTAAACATACAGGTTATGGCGTTTATCTCGGGGAGGACAACGTCTACGAGCAGATGCGCTCGGCGTGCGTATCGAGCCCCTCCGCGAGTGGTTTTCGACTGGGAGATATTGGGATTATCTCCCAGTTGTTTTGGTCATTCCAGGTGGATCTGTTTGCCTCTGGGGTGTGAACCAGACTCCGATGTTTTGCTCACGGCTCCGCGGATCCGTGAGCAATCGCCTCGATGCCTTCCAGCATGGACAGGGGTTCTGTGGGCTTTCCACACCGATACCCCTGATCTCCAGGGTCCTATCACAGCTAGCCACCCAAGTAGCGACTACTTGTGCTTCTTGCACCTCTGTGGTCATCTCAGTGCTGGTTTCGATTAAACTCATGCAGCCACCTGTACTATTACCAATGCGGCGGACCTTCTATCCCGGAAGGGCCAGCCACACCGGATCCAGGATTCAGTGGGTGGCTTGTCCACTGTCAGAGTAAGCCTCCAGCGTGGAATTCCTGCACCAGTTGCAGACACAATTCTGGCTTCGCAGAGGGATTCGACTAACGTACAGTATGAGGATAGATGGGCCCGTTATGCGTGCTGGTGTGGAAACAGAGGGATACTTGATCCCTTTTCTTCGACTGTAGTTGAGGTGTTGGAGTTTTTACAGTCTCGGTTAGAAGCCGGCCTAGCCGCGTCTACTATCCGAGGCTTTTCCACGGCTATTTCAGCCTTCCACATTCCTGCCGAGGGTGCTCTTTTGGGACAACACCCTTTGGTCCAGCGTTGCTAAAACAGGTGTGGACAGAGTGTGTCCGGCCGTCCGACGGATAAGTCTCCCATGGGATTTGTCCATCGTCTTAGGCTGGCTCTCCAGCCATCTCTTTTACGATATGTCTGATTTTGTCTCTACAACTATTGAGTTGGAAAATGGCTTTTTTGGTGGCACCTATTGATCTTCCCGCCTTTATGCTGCCTGCTTCGTCTGGTAAACAAAGCACCAATCGCACCTGTAAGACATCATAAGACTCTTAAAAGCGTATATCAAAGAACAGCATCTCAGCACAGTTATTCTGTTGCTATGGCGGTGGCAAGGCGGTCATTTGGCTACTACACTAACTTTATCTAGATGGATTGTGTCTTCGATTTGTCCCCTCATTCTGTCTGATCGTTCAGCATGAAAAGTGAGGTCGCGAGGTTGTTGGCTAGAGTTACCTGCTCTTGCGGTAGGGGCCCCTCGGGGTCCTGTAGGGGAGTGGTCTCACAAGACAAAAAAAGTGTTTTTGTTTTGTAAATATTTTATTAAAATATAGTTACAACTGTCAGTAGATTTTTAAAATGGACAGTTTAGTGCTTATATGTACCCCAAGGAGGACTTTCTTCAAAGATTTCATAACCTCGACAGGTTTGTATAAATTTTACTAAGCTCAAGCTTCATACTAGCAGCTAAAACTCATGACTGGATTTGGGGAGATATTAGAGATTTAAGCTACACAAAAAGACTTTTTATTTATTTTCAGGGATGTAGCTGGTTGTGAAGAGGCCAAGGTGGAGATAATGGAGTTTGTCAATTTCCTCAAGAATCCTCAGCAGTACATTGACCTTGGAGCCAAGATCCCTAAGGGAGCCATACTGACAGGCCCCCAGGTACAGGCAAGACCCTCCTAGCCAAGGCTACAGCAGGGGAGGCCAATGTGCCTTTCATCACCGTGTCAGGATCAGAGTTCCTCGAGATGTTCGTTGGCGTTGGTCCCTCCAGGGTAAGACAAAACAGAAAGGCCAGATGTACTTTCTAATACATTTGGGCTTCATTTCTTTGACAGCTCAATTTGGACATTTCAATCTTAGCGAAAGGAAAACCGCCACAGAACTCAAATGTACCATCAGTTGTTCGCCCTTTTGGTTGGAGTTGCCATTGCTCTCAGGAAAGACAGGATGTGATAATATTCACACAATAAGAAGTTGGCCATTACTGATTATATAGGTATTCAAGACATCAAGTATGCTGGCTTGAATTCCAAACTCAGTCATACTGGGAATTTGGGAGCCTAGACAAAGACTCTCTATTGAGGAAATCCACCTGGAACAACCTCGTATGTAGGCTGAAGCTGGGATGAGTGGATGAATCATTTATAAATTTTGAATTTCAGCATTTTTACTCTCTTGGTGAATTGCAGTTTGTTTTGCTTGCAGGTGCGAGACATGTTTTCCATGGCCAGGAAGAATGCTCCATGTATTCTGTTTATTGTGAGATTGGCTGTGGGCCGAGGCGAGGGGTCGCAGCAGTATTGGTGGGCACAGTGAGCAGGAAAATACACTCAACCAACTCCTGGTGGAGATGGATGGTATGTTGCCACCTCTGTTGTTCAATTTACAGCAATTTACAAATTTACAGAATTTAAGGGAAATGGTCAGCATTGGTCAAAACTACTTGCTCTCGATATTTTGATGCTTTTATTATTCAGACCTGATTGAGATTGTGGTTTTCAAAAATGGAAACAAATTCTCAAGGAGATCAAGATGTTGAGATTGTACTTGTCTTTTTGTTTTGTCAATACATTTTATGGAAAAATGTCATATTCATTTGAACATTGTTTTGCTGATTTCCTGATTTCACCCAAGGTTTGATGGAAGTATGGTTGACTAAAGTTGTCCATGTTTTTTCTCTGCTTCTCAGGTTTCAACACACAAAGTGGTGTCGTTGTGTTAGCGGCGACAAACAGAGTAGATATTCTAGATGGTGCACTCTTACGGCCTGGCAGATTTGATAGGCAGATCTTTGTACCGGCTCCAGACATCAAAGGGAGGTAAGTCTCAAGGCTTTTTCAGACTGGCATCTTCCCCACTTCATGCTTTAAGCTGATGATTGAAACACTGTTGTTACTGAATTTTTAGTATTAAGTTTTACACAAAATACCAACAAATATCAGCAAACATTCAACAAAGTCCTAAGAGTCCTAAGGACCGCCTCCGTGGTGTAGTGGTTAGAGCGTCCGCCGGTCACGGAAGGTCTTGAGTTCGATCCCGACAGCGGCATATAAAGAGCGTTAAAATATGGTACTTGTTGGTCCTGCCTGGTGCTTGCGGCATTAATGGGTACAACAAGGACTGGTCGGCTTCGAGTCAGCATAATGTGTCTGATTGGGGTATTCATGTTTCACTGCGGCATGGTATCTCAGTGGGCTAGCACTATAAAAGCCTGCTTCAGTCTGGGCTAGTACAAATATTCTCGCCGGCGTTAAACCCAATTCCAGACCACCTAAGAGTCCAAAATATTGGGACACTTGTTGTCATTTCCATCGGGGAGAGCAGAACTGTCTGACGTTAAACCCAATTGTGTCATACCTAAGAGTTAAAGAGTCCTGACCACCTCTGTGGTGTAGTGCAGAAGGTCAGCTCCGAGTCAGTTCGATCCCGGCTGTGTCATAGGGTAAAGATGTTAAAGCGTTTGCTTTTTGGCATTAATCCCCATTACAACACTGACTGGTCAGCTTCTGGTCAGTATAATGTGTCTGAGTGTTGTAATCATGCTTAACTGTGGTCAGACATGGTATCAGTGAGTTAGCACTATAAAACAACTTAAGTCTGGGCTAGTACAAACAGTCACACACACACACATGCACGTCGTTATATTCCATGTAACTTTCATGCACCTTCCACTGTATGTCAAAAATAAGTGTGCTGAGTAGGACCAGTTTTCTGTTTTCATCTTTGATTGATTTCTATTTTCAGAGCATCAATTTTTAAAGTGCATTTAAAACCCCTGAAGACACTGGTAGACAAGGAAGAACTTGCCCGGAAAATGGCAGCATTGACACCAGGGTTTTCAGGTATGGTTTCAATCGTGTGTGTTAGTGAGTTAAAGTCTTCGTCCCATCAGCAGCATTTCAGCCGTACTTGGACTTGAAGAAGTTAAACAGTTATACTGTACTAAAAACTATCATCAATGGACTATATTAAAGATCCGGGTTAGAATTGGTCTTCAGCAACTTATGCTTGTCGTAAGAGGCAACTAACAGTATCGGTTGGTCAGGCTTGCTTACGTGTTTGATACATGTCTTAGTATCCCAGTTGAGTAGATCGATGCTCATGCTGTTGATCACTGGATTGTCTGATCCAGATTCAGTTATTTACCAAATGCGTTCCCATAGCTGGAATATTGTTGAGTGCAGCATTATGCAACAAACAAAACAAGAACAGAGATACCAAATGAACATTTGGCTCCTGACAACTATCACCAAGGTCTTCCAGAAGAGCAGCCCATTTCTGGTATTCCCGCCGTGATGTTGCTGGAATATTACTAAAAGCGGCGTAAAACCAAATTCAGTCAGTCAGTCAGTTCTAGAAGAGCATTTTAATCCTGGATCTGAATTTAGGTCCTCAGCATTGTTTTGCTTGTTGTAAGAGCCTGCCTGAAGGTTTAGGTTCATTTCATAACTGATTATGTGGTTGATAAAAGTCTCGGATGGCATGATGTGGTGAGTGTGAGTTTAGTTTTGCGCCACACTCAGCACTGGTATCCAGCTATATGGCGGCAGTCTGTAAACCAGCTCGAGTCTGGACCAGTACAATCCAGTGATCAACATCATGAACATCGATCTCGCGTCATATGAACTGATGATATGTGTCAACGTTAAAGTCAAGCGAGCCTGACCACCGATCCGAAATTAGCCTCTCCTCAAGCATTGTAAGCCTTCTGTGACAAGCATGGGTTGCTGAAGTTCTATTCATAACTGATGATGTGGTTGATAAAGTCTCATGGCATGAGACATTGGTCATTGTATGTATAGCGGTTTTGTCTGTTTGATTTTGTTCCATGTTATGATGCTACTTGCAAGAATGTGCGTTTTGATTATAGCATGTATATTGCCCTGTATGCTGTACACATGTTATATTATTGTCAGTATCATGTTTCCCTGTTGTTTTGTAGGTGCTGACATAGCAAATGTTTGTAACGAGGCAGCCTTGATAGCAGCAAGAGATCTGAACACTGAAATCAACATAATGCATTTCGAGCAGGCCATTGAGAGAGTTGTGGCAGGTTTGTGAAGAGGTTTCTCAGAGTCCCTCATCATGCTACTTTCACTGCAATGTTTCAGTCTGAGATTTACACAAGTCTTACGTCCTGCTCAACCCCATTACAGGTAGTTCAGTTGATAATACTCCGGATGTCAGGTAAATGACGGTGACTGTACAGTGTTGTATGGCAGTACTTCGCATGGGAGGTTAATAATAGGGCTGTAATGATGCATCGAACTATTGATGGATTGCAATTGTTGAGTCCCTGATAGCAATTAATCGATGGTAGAAACGAAAAACTATCGATGCATCGATAGTATGTGTGACTATCGATAGTTTAGTAACTGACTTCCGTTCATAAATGCGCAGCTCAAAATACAGGAAGTACCAGATTCGTTCACTTTGATTTAGAGTTGTCTGCCCCTGTAGTAGTAGTAGTAGTAGTCTCTTGTACTAGAAGAAGTAGTAGTAGTGTAATAGTAGTAGTAGTAGTAGTAGTAGTCTCTTGTAAACAAACTTGATCTGGGTTTCAAGTTTCTAGTCGGTTATCAAAAAGAGACTGGAATTAGACCTTTAACAAATTTGCTAAAATTAAAGCAAGGCAAAAATTCAGCCCTTACATTTACATATCAGGTTTTCAGAACAGCAGCATGTTCTATTGTGGTTTCCCATGTAGGTTTGGAGAAGAAGACCCAGGTTCTACAGCCGGAAGAGAAGAAGACTGTGGCGTACCACGAGGCAGGTCATGCAGTAGCTGGGTGGTACCTGGAGCATGCTGACCCCCTCCTTAAAGTGTCCATCATCCCCCGCGGCAAGGGACTCGGCTATGCACAGTATCTTCCCAAGGAACAATACTTGTACACTAAAGAACAGGTAGGTGTCTCTCAGATTACATTTGTCACAGATGGGTCATGTTGATGTTCTTGATGTTTCTTCTGAAACTGGGTTGTATGCATCATTTTTAGTGGATAGTGATGTTGACATAGGAGCTGTTATCAGCTGAGCTAGTTCGACAGAAACATTACCAGCCTCTTGTAGTAGTAGTAGTAGTAGTAGTAGTAGTAGTAGTAGTAGTAGTAGTAGTAGTAGTAGTAGTAGTAGTAGTAGTTGTAGTAGTAGTAGTTGTAGTAGTTGTATTTGTAGTAGTAGTAGTCTCTTGTACTAGAAGAAGTAGTTGTAGTAGTTGTAGTTGTAGTTGTAGTAGTAGTAGTCTCTTGTACTAGAAGAAGTAGTTGTAGTAGTTGTAGTTGTAGTTGTAGTAGTAGTAGTAGTAGTCTCTTGTACTAGAAGAAGTAGTAGTAGTAGTCTCTTGTACTAGAAGAAGTAGTAGTTGTAGTAGTAGTTGTAGTAGTAGTAGTTGTAGTAGTAGTAGTAGTCTCTTGTACTAGAAGAAGAAGTAGTAGTAGTAGTAGTCTCGTACTAAAAGTAGTAGTAGTAGTACTGCAGTGTATATATGTGTTACCTAGAGGTGTTATTGTAAAGCACTGTGTGGTATGTTTTCACATCAAGTCCAATTTTACTGTCTAACTGCTTAACACCAAATATGGTGTTGATATGCTACTCAAAAGAAATGGAGGAACGCCTGAACTGCCATAACAGATTAACTATAGTAATATAAAATCAGACATTCCTAACCAATTTTGACCAGTATGTATTGTTGTAAAGCTGAAATTTATGTTCACTGTACATCAGACATGAGACATTTTCCATTGTGTTCCCCAGCTGCTGGACAGAATGTGCATGACCCTTGGTGGCCGAGTTTCGGAACATATCTTCTTCAACAGGATCACAACAGGTGCCCAGGATGACTTGAGGAAGGTCACACAGAATGCATATGCACAGGTATATCTTGTCATACTTTCTACAGTATTTAACAGTATTTAGTCCAATTGCCATGATTACAAGGTTTTGAAAAATCGTCAGATATTGTTGATCAGTTATTGATCTATGGTGGTTCAGTATTAGTGATCATCTGACTTCAGTCATATAGCAGTAGACAAATTATGTACCATAACAAGAGTTCCCAGTTTCATTATTAGTTCATGGTTTGCTGAAAGAAGGCATTGTTTTTCATGATTGTAGAGTCTTTCTGTAATTTTTGGTTTGGACAAAGCCAGGCTGAACAATCAAGAAGGGTGCATTTAGCATGGTTAGCTTAAGTGAGCTTTGCAATGATTGGTTGGTTGGTTTGTTGTTTAATGTCGCACTCAGCAATATTCCGGCTATATGGCGACAGTCTGTAAGTAATCAAATCTGGACCAGACAATCCAGTGATCAACACCATGAGCACCGATGTACACAATTGGGATATGAATTATGATGACATGGGTCAAGAAAGTCAGCGAGCCTGACTACCCAATTCCGTAAGTCCCCTCTTATGACAAGCATGGGTAGCTGGAGACCCATTCTAACCCGAATCTTCACGGGTCACATTGAAATGAGACAATGGAACCTGGACATGCAGGATGCACACATCCAACACAGGGGTGGAAATAACTTTAAAATTGCTAGTGTACTCCGGAACAGTGGCACATGTAAAATCACTTGCCCTGATAATTTTTCCACAATACCGGACATTTTCTTGTTGATTTTTTTAAATAAACAACATAATTAACATTGGAAAGTCAATTGGACATTGGTACAGTGTGATATACAAATTTGCTTGCCCGACAGAAAAAACACTTGACTCGGACATCAGGCAATGGGTTATTTCCACCCCTGCCAACATTAACACTGTAGATGTGGAAGTGGTGAGAGATCCACTTGAAGCCATGGTTTAACTACCATGATGTTCACTTCAACGCATATCCTTCCGTCCTGTCTTATGTTTAAATCATACCAAAGATACCTTTCTGTTGCAGGTGGTCCAGTTCGGTATGAACGAGAAGGTCGGTCAGTTGTCCTTCCAGATGCCCAACCAGGGAGAGATGGTGTTTGACAAGCCTTACAGTGAACAGACAGCTCAGATCATTGATGAAGAAGTCCGAAACATCGTACAGGATGCTTACAAGCGGACGCTAGAATTGCTGACAAAGCACAAAGCAGAAGTAGAGAAGGTAGGTTCAGTAAATGGAGGGTCAGTTTTGTTCTTTGAAAACCAATCAGGTTATTTCTTGTGTTGGGAAAAGGAGATTTGAATGTTCCCATCATTCTGCCATTGATGTTAACAGGAAAACAGTTCTTTTGCATGTTTTCAAGACATTACTTAGCCAGGTGAATTCAGATCTGAAGGAGCAGTGGGGTAGCCTGGTGGTTAAAGTGTTTGCTCGTCACACCTAAGACCTGGGTTCGATTACCCACATGGGTACAATGTGTCAAGCCCATTTCTGGTGTCTCCCACTGTGATAATTCTGGAATATTGGTAAAAGCAGCTTGAAGCTGAACTCAGACACTCACTCAGATGCTACTCTTACTCCAAAGTGGTAACGTCAAAGACCTAAATGACTCATGATTTTCCTCCTACAGTAAGCTGCCATGCCATAATGTAACTGGAATGCTGTTAAAAGTAGTGTTAAACCTAACTCTCTGTCTCCTTGTATTCATAAATTCATATTCAGTCATGTATTGATTTTATGAATGGCTGAAATTTATGAATTTAAAATGAAACATTAGGTGGAGTTCAAACTGCATGCATTAGTCATTTTAGGGTTCAATATGAGTAACTCAGGTTGTTGCTGTCAAGTTTTGTACTATTTGATAATGTTCTTCACAGGTTGCTCTTCGGCTTCTTGCCAAAGAAAAATTGGACAAAGATGATATGGTGGAACTGCTTGGAGCTCGTCCATTTGCTGAGAAGTCAACATATGAAGAGTTTGTGGAGGGAACAGGTGAGTGTGTTGGAAACAACCGTGTCACACCCAAATCCTGATCCTGTGAAGATCTGGCTTAGAATTGGTCTTCAGCAACCCATACTGTCGTAAGTGGCGACTAAGGGGATCAGTTAGTCAGGCTCGCTGACTTGGTTGACACATGTCATCCTATCCCAATTGCGCAGATCGATGCTCATGCTGTTGATCACTGGGTTGTCTGATCCAGACTAGATTATTTACAGACCGCCACCATATAGCTGGAATATTGCTGAGTGCGGCGTCTAACAACCAACCAACCAAATCATATTCTCGTCACATGCTACGTTCTAACGGAATAGCGAATTAATTAAAGTACACGTCTTCGGCAACATTGCAATGTCGAGGTGTCATTAGACATGGGGCAGGGAAAACAACAAATCGTCGTTAGACAACAAACCAACCAACTTCAGCATGATGAGCAAACGCTTTAACCACTGGGTTACCCCATAGTGTTGGGAATTGGTTAAAATCTCATAATTGATGATGGGTTCATTACAACCGATCAATCATCAAAAATAATTGGTTAGCGTCATTTGTGAAATTTTCCTGGTTATTTTTGTTAATGAAAAAGAAGAAGAAAAAACATGTAGGTCTTCTTCTTTTTGCAAATTGCACAAAATGCATTTGTAAATTTCACATCTTTAAAGGATGACTAGTATGTTAGGAACATAAATTTCTTGAAGTCTTTAAGATAAATTCAATCATGACATGGAACGAGCTTGTAGTGATTATGAAATGTAAAGTTAATGACAGACAAAACCAGCCTTGTGAAAAATATTATAAATGCCAAGAAATGTTCCAGAATTGTTTGCGTTCGATTATGAAAAAACATGATCGATTGCTTGGTTGTTTAATCACTGCGACCAATCCTCGATTTCAATTAATCTGACCACCACTACTACCCCACCACCCTTTAAGATTTTAACCTAGTCCTGTTTTATCTGTGGTCAGGGTCATTTGAAGAGGACACAGCGTTGCCCAAAGGTCTAGAGAGCTGGAACAAAGAACGTGACAATAAAGACTCTGAGACCCCCGATAAACCAGAGAAGGCCGCCAGCTAGCCAGGTGGATCTCCTGGAGTTGTCTACCTTGGTTAGAGACATCCTGTCACAGCTGAACCCACTGACGGGTCCCTGTCTTGTATAAATTGAAACGTGACCGTGATCCCGTACAAGACTTACCATATGAAGTGTTGAAGACTTCTGAAATCATTCTGCAAGTTTGTGCCGCATAAGCTGGCTTTGATTTTCAAAGCCTGTGTCTTAGTTGTCATGTATATTTGTTACCATGGTTACAGACAAGTCATCAGATGGTAGTCACTTTTCAGGAATTGTAGATTTAATGATTTTATTTTTTCCACTGTCTTTGCAGTCAACTGAGGTGGTAGTCCATTTGGGCATAAACTAAAATGGCATCTACCTTCTCACAGAAACTCATACAGCACATATTAAAAAATATTTGATAAAAATATATCGGATTTGAAAAAATAATCTTTGATGTCACTGTTCAGACAATCTTAACCATAAGAAATCAGAATATATGTACTGTGAACAACAATAAAGAACAAAACATGGATTTACTTCTACAATAACAAGAAAAACATCATTTTACCTCAGATTTTACTCATAAGTAGCAGGGTGCCATTATACAAAACAACCTTAGAGCTAAGGTAATCAAAAGTCACATACCTCTACAGAGACTTACGATAGACTTAGCACAATCGTAAGTCTAAGGTTGTTTTGTGCCGATTAGACTTGGCACAACCTTAAGTCTAAGGTTGTTTTGTACATCGGACCAGGAAAATGTTTATGGCTGGAGAAAGTGTGTTATGGAAAGACACTTATTATTTGGCTGCTTTCTTTCTGAAATGTGTTTTTTCATATGTCTTGAAGCAGTGACCAAAGGAATATTCTGTCTCTGTCAGAAATAAGAGTTCCCCAAGAATACTAAGTGAATGGGCGGGACTACCACAGCTGTTGTCTAAAACAACAGATTTCACATCAGGTTTTGAAAACATTCACGATATAAGATAAGATCAGATCAGATATGTGATTTAAATAAAATTTGAGACGATTACATGACAACGACACTGTGCGACTACAGGGCAATATTTACCACCTGATTATGCAGCTGAAGTGCTGGTGGATGAGTCTGAGTGCCTCTGCCTGATGGAGAAAGTTGTGTAAATGTGTGACGTATGGCTGTTGTTAGAACTACCCTGTGCTACTGGGTGGGTGCTCCACCCTCCTATCATGTTGAAGTGATTAATGTGATGTATTTAATAAAAACAAAAGATATACATTGTTTACGAGAGTTAGGTTGTCTTTTCACATTGTCTGACCTTTGTATGCTTCGATTATGTTTTTTTTAACACCTAAGAAACATAAGTTGTTTGCTTAACAACTGTATCACGTGTCACATATAAACGTATTAAAGACAAGTTTATATTTGCAGTTTTGATACAGAAACAAATTTTCCTCTAAATATAGGAGAGTGATCAGGCTGACCTGTTTTTTTTATAATAAACATTGCATGGTTAAGAGTGTTATTTTTCCTTATCCTGACTCATGATCTTTTGCTTATCTCCCTTTCCCTTGCGAATGGTAGTGGAACACTTGAATCCTTTGTAGTTCCCGAAGCGGAATTAAAAATACACTCACCCACGAGTTACCTCCCTTTCCCTGCGCAAACAGTCATGTGACCAGCCTTACTTGTCACTCTCTCCTGATTTTTCTGCCCATGCACCTGGATCTACTGTGAGATCCGGAATGTTTCCAGCGGGGAGGTTGGGAGGGCTTCTCATGAGTCAGGATTAGTATAAAATATCAATTTTACTTTAAAAATTACATATCTTTCCTCATCCTGACTCCTGATCTTTTGCTTATAGAATCCTACGGATTGGAGGTGGGTCAAGCCACTTTGTGGATTCAACAGCTGTCCATAGATACATCCTGTATCCCCCCCCATGGGAACTGCGTAACGGCATTTCCTAGATCCTATTCTTCCAACTTCCGTTGTAACTCGGGGGGACCACCATCTTGTCTTACTTCTCTCTCAGACAAGTGAATCTTGTAGATTCATGTGGCTTAAGATATACTTGTATCTTCTTTTTTTACTAGTTATCTACAACAATTCATAGATTATGATAAGGTCTCTATCATAAATGAGTTGCGACCCCTTTACGTACAGGTAAGATCTTTACCCGTACAGAGTCTTAATCACTCATGCTAGCCTAGTTTAGACTGTGCGCATGGACTTTCAAACTAGAACTTTTTCCATAGTAAAAGTTACCAACAAGTCAACGTGATAAAGGGTGAGATTTCAACTCAGCGCCTTTGAGGATCCCTTAGTTGTTGTGCTACAACATGAGGCCCAAACTGGTGAATGCCATAGACGTCTTCGGTGGCTGTCTCGGAGGTAGTGGTTGGCAAACACCGTATCTGACTTCCAGAAACAGCCCTCCATGATCGATGATATAGAGCAATTTCCATGCAGAGCCAGTGTTGACGCCAGTGCTCTGACTTCATGTTGGTTGGAGGCTCTTGGAGGCTCTAATCCTGCTGCTTTGTAGGCTCTTAGTATAACGGCTCTCATCCAGAACGATATGGTCGTTCTTGAGACTTGAGACTTGAATTTTCTTCTCCTTGTTTTAGTCTTTTGAAGATATATCTTCAAGGCTCTGACAGGACACAAGGATAAGTCCTGGGTGTCCTCTGGTCCGAGGATCGTAGATAGCGCTGGCACATGGAAGTGTCTATCTGGTTGACCAGGTAGTTGATTCTTTGCAATAAAGTCCCATCTGCTACTCACGCAGAAAACTCTGTTCCTGCTTGCCCTAGCCACGGCAGCTCGTATGTCTGAGATACATGCGCTGGACTTTGGACGAACTAGATTCGACACGGGGCACCGTGCTGCAGTACATCTAGGACTTAGATGGGACTTTATTGCAAAGAGATCAACTACCTGATCAAACAGATAGACAGTTCAATATGTGCCAGCGATCCTCGGATCAGAAAGAACCTGACTCATCTTTGTGTCCTGTCATATCGTTCTGGATGAGAGCCGTTATACTAAGAGCCTACAAAGCAGCAGGATTAGAGCATTTCACATTTGCAACAAAGAAAATAGTATGGGCAGCTTAATACAGAAAAATATCGTTTCCAGAATAACATAAAATGTGTACTACTTGTTGAACATGTTTGGGTTAATCATTGTAAGTTAATGGTGTTTGTTTTCTATTACTTTTTTAAACTGAATCATGAGGTCTTTGATTGGTCACCACTCTCCTCTTTCCATAACCCTTTTCGCCCTGGCTTTCCCCCTTGTCGACCAAACCGTAATATTCTGGGCACGTCGAACAGAACCCCTCTGGAAGGCGTTCATACTGGCGTATGAATTTGTAACGTGAGGCACATACAACATTCGTCTGTACGGGGATGGAGTCCAGCTTCGTTCACAAGGTAAACTGCGTTGGTCACGGGGTTACCATGCTGCTGCCGAAGGTCGCGGGTTCGATCCCCGTCTCTGTCATACCAAAAAGACGTTAAAATATGGTACTTGTTGTACCCTGCATGGCGTTCGGCATTAATGGATAAAACCAGGACAGATCGACTCTGATTTAGTATAAATGTATCTGAGTGGGGTATTCATGCTTAACTGCGGCATGGTATCTCAGTGAGCTGGCACTATAAAACCAGCTTCAGTCTGGGATAGTACAAGCAGCCGCACATACACACCCATGCATGTCGTCATATGAGCGAACTATTCTTAAGTACGACGTTAAACCAGATTACACCTCACCTCACTGTGCTGCTAACGAGTTCATCACGTATTGGGGTGCCCATGTCATTTGGGACTGCCTAAATTCCTGGCCAAGAGATGCCGAGCCCCGGGGAAACTAAAGTGTGCACCCCCTTTTCTCAAAAAGCTATATTCGCCCCTGGTGTAGATACACTTCCAGCGTTCACAAAAGTATAATTTTCCCCTATGTTAGAATTAGCACCGAAACAAAAAGGCTTTGGTGTTTTGTGACCCGACCTCCTACCAGCCTGAACCTGATAAGAGTTCAAGACACACGGACTGATTTATTCTGTAAAATTACTCGTTACAAATACGAATCGACCATGATGCCACATGTCTTGACCTGGGGTATGCAGGCAGGGGCGGGGCAGGTCAGGGCAGGATATTTAGCCAGCTTATTAAGCTAAATATGAAATGCCACATCTGAATTGAAATGTAGACTAAGTATATTAACTGGTAAATCACGTTATCTCATGGCCTTCATTTAAGTGCGCCGCGGATCTGGGTGCCGTTCCACTAACCCAAAATTCCCAACCTTAGCGTGACGTTATGATCGGCATGCCGTTCCACTAACCGATCTTACCCTAGTCGATCGTAAAGTTAAGATCCAAAGTCTAAGTTGCTCATGACCAACTTCGGGGATCGCTGAAATCAATCGTAGAGAACCAAAATGGAGGCTTTCATTATTCTATGTGAAGAACAGCGAGCGTTTCACTGTGAGCGTGTTTTTCGCTTGTGGCGCGGTTTATGCAGATGGACAAGGTTTTAACAAGTGTTGTGCCCTTAGAGGTATTTTGTGAAACCCAAGAAGTTTATTAAACGTGTTTTGTGTGCATTTTGTGCTAATAGAAACGTTTTTCATGGGTCCACTTTGTCGGTTGCGAGAAAATTGTCGTAGGATTGTTGCTTGACTACACCCGATGCTTTCGACCATTGCCTGCCATGGTTCTCCGCTGGCGTTGGAAGTTCACAGTTCAAATTAATGCTCAGAATATCAACCACCTCTTTTGCCAAGGCACGTTTATTTACAGGATGCAGTAATTGCTCTACTATCGATGACCTCGCAAAACCGACCTGTTAAGATCAGGATTAGAATTGGTCTTCACCAACCTATGCATGTCGTAAGAGGCGCCTAAGGGGATCGGGTGGTCAGACTTGACACAAGTCATTGTATCCCATCCATGCTCATGCTGTTGATCACTGCATTGTCTGGTCCAGACTCGATTATTTGCAGACTATTTACTAACCGTCTCCATATAGCTGGAATGTTGCTAATTGCGTCGTTAAACAACAAGCAAACAAAAACTTCGCAAAACCAAACAATCATACCTCTAAATCAACATATCTGGATTGTGAGTCCTCGAGTCATTTCTTGAAGGCCTAAATCGCAATACATGTTTTAGAACTATTATGCTGCCAACGTTTAATTTACAGTAAAGTAAACTACGGTTATGACTAATCAAAGGGACCACCAATTTTAGTTCGTTTTAACCGAAGTTCGTTATAAGCATCTCGACTGTAAATCGGACGAAAACAAACAATTATTATCCATCAGTTTATAAGTGTGTTAGCTATAAGTGAATTATACTATACTACTAAAAACGATAGTATATGTATGTAACCGAACAGCACAAACTCCAATAATGAAGCGACTGTATCTGGTGCCCCCCGCCGAGATATTGCTCGAATATCGCTAAAAGCGGCGTAAGGCATACTCACTCACTCACTCACTCACTCACTCACTCTGTCACTCCTGTTGCCAACTTAACTGTTTCTTAGTGAATATATCTACATATATACTTCTCAAAAGAAGTCAAGGGTCACAAGTATTTTGGAATACTAGTATAAGATATGGAAATAAAATGGTGACAACCAATGACAAAAGCAAAACCTCAAACTCTTAAGAAACGAAAACAAAACTGAATTGATAAGGCACAACTTTATTCCACAATCCATCGAAGTCAAGTACCCTAAAATCAGAGTTCACACAAAGCCAAAGCTCGAATTCTTCGTCCTAGCTCATCCCAAGCATGCTGAATTGGTGACAAGTCGGGTGAATAAGCAGGCTACACCATGTGCTGAACGTTCTGCTGCTGCAGAAAGTCTGTCACCACCCTGGCACGATGGGGTCTAGCGTTATCATCCTGGAACCAGGCCCCTGGTCCAAGTTGACGAAGAAGTGGCATTACCAGAGGTTGGATAATCTCGTTGAGATATCGAAGACCGGTCAAATTCCATTGACGATGTAGAGAGCAGTTCTGTGGTGCACTGAGATAACCGGCCAGACCATCACACTTCCGCCTCCGAATGGTAAACGTTGGACAACGTTGACGTCAGCATACCTCTCGTTGACGACGATAAACACGGGCACGACCATCATTAAACTGGAGTGTGAGGCCGGATTCATCAAAAAAGATTGTCCGTGCCCACTGACCACGGTTCCAACGAACATGCCGTTGGTACCAATCTCGGCGAGCTCTTCTGTGCCGCTCAAGTAGTGGTGGTCTGACTGCAGGACGTCGAGAACGCAAACCTCGGACATGTAGACGATTTCGAACTGTCTGATCGGATATGTTGGTGCCACGGCCAACTCTCAGCTGATCCCGAAGATGTCTTGCGGTCACAAATCGCTGTCGCAAAGCCATCATCATCAAGGAGCGATCATCACGGGCTGTTGTTGATCGAGGTCTTCCGGAACTGGGACGATTCTGGACAACATTTGTTGTCCTGAACCTCTACCATAATATCCCGATAACACCCTGGCTTACATTTAGTCGCCTAGCAACACTTCTTTGGGTTTGCCATCTTGAGGCCAACCCTATTGCCCTTCCTCTGTCTTGGATGCTGAGCTGTCGTCTGACCATCTTATAATTTCAAATGAGGCCGATTTGAAAATGTTTTGTCTTTTTATTGTGAAAATTTGCATGCGTACAATGACATCCATGGAAAGCACGTGTAAAATGTGCGTTAGGTGGCATAATGGTTGTTTCGAGGACGAGGGTCAGTTTAGTGTCGCCGAGTTCATGGTTCAAATCAAGAAGTCCGAATTTACGGTTACATTTGACAATTACCTAATGGAACGGGTAATGATAACATTCCTCATAAAGTAATGATGTCTTCAGTCCAAATAACCACCATGCAGAAAGTTTCCTGTCCCTATTAGTCTAAAAATTGCCTAGACAAGATGCAGTGACACACTGAAACCTAGGATCCATGCTTACAATAAGCTTAGATATTTAGACCAAATTAGACCCCACATCATAGTTTTCTGTTGAATCAATGATTTGATCCTTAGCAAAGTGTGAATAGTATATGTCTCAATAACAATCACAACTGAAGCGACTAAACATGGCCAAGTGTGGTTTGCGCAGGATTGAAGACCTCTGCTACTCTGGACTTTTCGATATCGAAAATGTTCTCCTTCTCAAAGTTTCCTCGCACCAAGAGCCAATAGGCTAGTGGAATTCAACACCTGAAACTTGTTTACCCGCTGATATGTTGTATCCTATCTGATTATTTACTAACCGTCTCCATATAGCTGGAATGTTGCTGATTGCGATGTTAAACAACAAACAAACAAAAACATCGCAAAACCAAACAATCATACCTCTGTGTTCACAAATCTGAAATGTGAGTCCATGAGTCATTTCTTGAAGGCCTAAATCGCAATACATGTTTTAGAACTATTATGCTGGCCAACGTTTAATTTACAGTACAGTAACCTACGGTTATGACGAGCTCAAATGGACCACTAACTTTAGTTCGTTTTAACCGAAGTTCGTTATAAGCATCTCGACTGTAATGTGAAGGAAGTGGCACGGACGAAAAACAAACAATTCCGTCAGTTCCTCGCACCAAGAGCTTATAGGCTAGTGGTCCTGAGGCTTGTTTACAAGCTGATATATATGAAATACTGTTTAAAATAGCTTCATGTTCGATTAGCTTCCATGGGAACGTCAGGTCGTCGTAACTACATACAACTTGAAAGGCAAAAACCGCCCAACCCAACTGTTTGCATATCTGGGTGCTCACACTGTCAACCCTTGGTTTGTCTGTTGGCTTATTACTCCACCGCCAACTACGGTGTACCTTTATCCAATCAATGTTTCATGCTCTCAGCAATATACCAGCTATATGACGGCGATGTGTAAATAATCGAGTCTGGACCAGACAATCCAGTGACTGACATCATGAGCAACTTACCTTCAGCCTATGTTCAAAATTAATGTTCTGCAAACGTAGAGAATAGTTTTCAAGAAACAACAAATGTGGGTCAGAGTATGACTATCAGTTGGAAGACATGCACCTGTTGTACAAAGGGCAGCTAAACAAACAAAAAACCTGAACGGCCATATAAATAGATTTTCAACGTTATCTTATTCCAAACATTCCATAGATAGTGTCCTGCTAATGTACTAAGCAAAACTGAAAAGTTGACACTCGGGATTTTTTGGACTAGGTTTTTAATATTAGGTTTAAGACAATAATTTTAGTTGTACGCTGTCCACAGAACATCTTGACATCAAAGGAAAACAAAAAACAAATCTCGCCGAAACTCTTTAACAACAATGACGTTCATGATGTCAAGGTACCCTCCAAAATGAAGTTCACAGCGTGGAGAACAATTTGCTTGAGGTTTACAGTAAGGGCTGGGTCCCCTTATAGTGTCTCTTATAGCCACACAACGTCTCTGTATGGATCTTAGAACGTTAGTAGGCCTAAACACACCACGAGGAAGACGTCGCCATTGCTCTACAAGGTGACGTTGAAGATCTTACAACGTCTGTGGTGGATTGACTTGCTGACGAACACGTCGATCCAGTTCGTCCCAGACGTGTTCGATAGGATTGAGGTCGGGGCTACGCGATGGCCAATACAGAACTTAAATACCGGCATTTCGTAGAAAATTCTGTATAAGAATAGCCGTATGCAGCCAAGCGTTGTCTGTTGGAACGTCAGTCCAGGGCCATGTTTCTGAATAAATGGAAGCAGGACGGATTGCAAAATCTAATTCCTGTACTGGGCAGCATTTTAGTTCCCTCGAACGACAACAAAGGGTGAACGTCCGTGTGCGCAAAACGAACCCCTTACAATTACGCTCCGCCCCAAATCTGTCCACTTCACGGACGCAGACTTGAGCGTGACGTTCACCTTGCCTGCGGTACACTCGGACCCTGCCGTCGGCAAATCTCAATGTGAATCGAGATTCGTGGCTGAAGACAACCGAATTCCACTGTCTTTAATTGAACCTTATGTGTCTTGGGCCCACACCAGTCGGTTGCGGCGACGAAGAGGCGTTAAACTTGGTCCATTATGGTGTCCTCGGGCGCGGAGTCCAGCTGCAGGCAAGCGATCGATATCTGACAGTTTGTACAATTATCCTTCCACCAAACATCTCCCTACCTGTGGAAATTGCAGTAACAAATGTGTTCCGATTATGACGTAATCGTACTGCTTGATCTTCCCGGAGTGACGTTCCTGGCCTCTGGCGGTAGGCAACAGTTCCGGTTTGATGCACTCTCATCCAAAGATTAATACTTGTTTCTTGTGAGCAATTAAAGGTTTCTGTAACAGTGACCACAGACTGACCAGCATAAGCCATATCAGGTTTTTGATTTGAAAGGCGTGGCATTTCCAAACAAAGATTAAAATGAAAAGTTTTATTTGTTTTTCCAGCTCACATTCTATGTGCGTGTTCAGTTTAATGGCAAATATGCACCGAATTGCCACATGAATTTGCTTTTCACACGTGCATTTTGTGTTTTTCATCTTTATAGCCGCCAAATTCAAGGTTGGCACGTGAACTGACAATTTCACGAAATTAAAGCATTCACACTGTTTACCACTGTTAAATATACTTGTTAAGTTATTTGATTAAACAGAAAAAGAAAAAAATGTCGAAATTTGTCAGTGTCAGGTTTTTCCTTTTTGCTGGGTGTATTATTAATAATGATCAAGAAACAGCAAAAGTAGGTCTGAATGTGGCTTATAGTGATCATTTGGCACAAGAGTCACAAAAGTGTAGAACGCAGTATAAAATATATGGAAGGCGACGTTAAGATAACAATGTACGCTAATACACATTCAAAGTTTCTTAACCTAAATGTCTGGCCGTGCGAGTGGTGTATATGAAACCACGAAGCAATTTCTGATTGTAGATGAAAGTGGGAAAACAGACACCTGTGTCACCAAATGTGGACAGTAGTATAAAAACCAAATCAGTTGGTGGCACCTCAGAGGAGAAGCGGTCTTGTCTTGGTCTGGAACACAACATCTGGGGAACTGTTCACGATGATGTCTCTTGTAGTCGTCGCCTTTGTTGTCATTGGTGCGACGCTGTCAGGTTTGTGAACCTCCAATCCTCTTGAACGAAATGAGCTTGTTTTATCTAGTCAATTTTAATCTCCTTTTCCCTTGTGAGAAGTAATATAATTTTTTGTTTATCTTGTCACGATTAACCTACATAATCTTCATGTGTAGTGTGAAGTGGCTAAGATATAATATGGGACAAATTATGTGCTTATGTATTCAGAAAAATATAACAACAGGTTGTTCGTCTATTATTCTGCGTTTCCCATCTCCCGCCATTCCTGAATTTTCATTCCGACGTCAAATAATGAAACCTTTTCTTATCCTAGACCTTGCACTCTTATTAAAACCAGGTCAGCTTGATTTTATTTTATCTAAATGTTGTAAATAGTGGATTACGAAGCAAACGTTACGATCTTCATCCAAAATTTAAATTTGGTCCAAATGTTAAAAAATCAAACAACACACATCAGCGATACAATAATAATTAGTTTCCCTCTTTTCAATTAATTATATATGAAGGTATAAAGTAAGTAATATCTTTGCTAATATAGACATGACAGCTTTGAAATAGACCGATTTCCTGTTCATTTCACAGCAAAAATAACTTGGTTTCCGCAATGCGGAAACCTGGTGGAAAGTGGACTGAAACTTAAGTTTCCACCTAGAATCCAGTGAGTTTCCGGTTTTTTTTACATTGAGTTTCCGCAATAACGGAAAATTACAATTACCCACTTTCTAAGGGTTTCCGCAAGGTTTCCGTTACCCACACTCCAACAGGTTTCCGCAAGGTATCCGTTACCCACACTCCGACAAGTTTCCGTTGAGTTTCATTTAACTTTTAATCCATCAGGTTTCCGCAAGGTTTCAGTTATTAATAAGACTCCAACAGGTTTCCGCAGAGTTTCAGTTACCAACTATTCGACATAGTTTCCGCATAGTTTCAGTTACCGGTTTCAATTTCAGGTTGACAGGTTTTCATATGCGTTTCAAAGAGCCAAATTTAAACATTCTTCTTTACTCATATCATAAACTCTTGTTAAAAACAATATAAGCAATTTGTTATCACGACATTTTACTTAAAGAAAAACAGAATATATAATAAGATTCATTGTTTTATTTTCTCAACATGAATATGAATTAGCATTTAAGGCAAATAAAGATCATACATATAACTAGTACTATAGCACTAAAAACAGGGCAAAACATTTTGGCATAACTCAATCCAGTTTAAGAAATCATATATCATTTATAACAAATGGTAATTTTTCGTCAGTTAAACTTTCATTCACTTATTATTTTGAAATAGCATGTTAGATATGAAATTTATTTCTAAAATCATGCTAATGGTGAAAAATAACATTAACATACAACTTAACACAGTAATAAAACATAGCTGTATCGGACATTTATTTGCACGCCTTGGCATTCAGCCACACACTCTATGTCACAACTATCGCCAAACATCCACTATGATATACACCATACAATAACACAACATACAGCTTACAATACAAAAATAAAATAAAATTACATTATGAAATTGAAAATAAATTCAATTATATTGCAAGAGTTGGTCAGTTAGCCCAATAAGGGGCATCCCTGGGTGGAGATCCCTCCGGTTGATTGGATGCCTCATCCTCGTCCTCACGTTGGCCATGACGAGAGCAGTGGAGGTGTAGATTCTTTCCAAGTCCAGTGTCGTCGTGTATGCCCTAAGCTTGCTGGACTCCCAGACAAAGGGACGGAATGCAACTAATTGACGTCATCTTCGTCACTCACGACTGGTGATGTCATGTCTATGGTGAGTGTTGTCGCTACCTTTTTCTTTCGTCTATCTGGCCAATCGATAGATGCAAGTCTGTTTAGGCGTTGTGCAAGTTTCTGAAAATGGCAGGTAATAACGAATTACTAGGTTATTTTGATAAATTACACAAACATCAATCAACAAGAAACTGACAATGCCAAGGATGATTTAAAATAAGTAATCCAAAAGGAAGTTTGAATAAAGAGAACTAAATTGAACAATCACACTTTGCACTAGTTTTCTCAAAACTCAAATTATGCAATTCATCACACTTCATTGACCGAATGAAATATCTTATTTTCTAAAGAGGACACACAATCTATACAAAATTTGGTCTGAAGTTACATGCTTCCCAGTCCAGAGGTAGTAATACGTTATATATATATATATGAACATTTATTGCATTTTCTATATAGTAATAATGATACTAGTAATAGATTTCCATCAAATTGCTTTATTCAATCTCTTACAGTTCGTATTGAGCCCATTTCTGGTGTCCCCCGCCGTGATGTTGCTGGAATATTGCTGAAAGCGGCGTAAAACCAAATTCAGTCAGTCAGTCGTATTGTTGAAGGCACAAGTATATTCACCCAGTAGTGACTGTATGTTTACACCATTAAGTCTTTGAGGTGTATTTAGAAGTGAATAATGCAAGACATGAATGTTTACGGATGTCAACGTCTTTATTAGGTAAAAAACACAATGTTTCGGGTGTGAATGCTTACACCTGACGAAGGGGTAAGCATTCACTCTGAAGCTAACATGTTTTCACATAATAAAGGAGTTGACATCCATAAACCTTTGTCTCTACACTATTAATTGGAAATTATTTACTATTTATAATGAAAGTCACTACAGATAGGTCAAAATTACCTTCACATGTTACTGCTGACCATCCTTGATCATTTGTTATACAGTCTCCAGACTCATCATCAGCTTTGCTGAAAAAAATAAACAATAACACGTTACTTTTCTTTGCATTTCCCCATTCATTCATTCGAGTTTTAAAAAAAACCCTTAAACCTGCAGCGACATTTATACCAACAAGCAAACTACAGATTTATCACTTTAGGTTATGCAATCAGTAAGTGAACGGCCTGACATAAACATCCTGATGAATGAAGTTTAGTTATCTCATGTGACATAACCTTGGAGAAATTACGGTATTGTAAAATCAAGGGGTCAGTTTGACTGCAATTTCACACAGGTGTGAAGTTAAGATTTATTTGGTCCAATTTGAAATCATGATTAAGTTACCGGTTATTCAAATCCATTTGCAAATGTAACTTTAGTATGGTTCATGGTTCATTTTGTGAAAATGTATCTAGGGAAGCATAATAATAAAATATTCAAAGTGAAATTATGTCTATGTTTCGTAGTACCATAAACACATACCGTCAGTAAGAGAGGGTGATCTTTTCCTCCAGGAGTAGTCGTGACACATGTTTCCTCACAACAGCCTAAATGAATAAAACAAATCCATTAATTTATAATCTATTTGCTATATTTTTCAAAATTGTAGTATATTTTTAGATAGACTTATTTTACTTCACCAACCTTAGTTCGAGCAAAACAGTTTATACAGTCATGGGACTTAAATATACGTCCGTCGGCAAATTTCTCATAGACTTGCATGCTATTTTAGTGTAGCTGTGTAATTTTCATTAATTCAGTTTTCCATATTTGGTTGTCAAATTTTGCAGGTTGTTAGGAAATCATCTTGGCCACAGATACATAATTTTCCACATTGTAGTTACATGAGCAACATATATATACAACATTGCGTATTCTTTCCCCATAGACCGCCTCGTTAAAATTTGCCATAACCATGACACGCACTGAATTGAAAATAAAACGGAAATTATGTCTTTGTAGCTGAGATGATTCATGACCCATGTGCAAAATATGAACAATATCAAACGGATATTAAATAAATGCAAGACATATTTCTAGCTGCACCAAATTATCATGTAAGTCGAATAATGCATAGTGACGAATACCTATGGCCAGTGGCTGTAATTCGATAGATTAGCTTGTTTACCAATCCAGATTTCTGTACGTAAAGTAAATAATTCATTAAACGTTATTTGACAACAAAATAAATTGGTCTTACCTGACAGGGTCGTGGTACTGCGAGTTTTTCGCAGCCATTTCCATCTTTCTTTTCCAGGTAGCGAATTCTCTCTTCCAGTGCTTTGAGGGAAGCTGAGGCGGCTATGAAAATGGCGTCTCGCAAAGACTCACGGGAAAAACACTTTGTTGTTGTTTTTTTAATCTAAATCTAGCATTACAGTTTGACAATATCTTTCCGCGTTATACAACAAAATAAACATACACTATACACCTAAAATGTCAGCTGTGTGTTTTTATAATAATTTAGGTAGTCTCGCGTGGACGTGATCCGGTCGCCATTGTTTTATTCGTTTACATTGCCGACATCAAAGGGGACCGTGAAAAGGTGGAAATGAGCAGATTGAATGTGAGTATCCAAAGTGACAACAGTGGGCTGTTATGGGCTTAAGGGTCTTTTCATCGGATTATGGGCACTAATTGCTCCTCCTCAGTGTCAAGCATCAACATGTAGGCCTAGAGATAATTAACAGTGAATAAATCTGAAAACATATTCACGTTACTTTAATAGTCCTGGGTGCCGTTCCACTAACCGATTTTAGGCCGATTGTAGCCGGTCCCGATCTTACGATCCGAACCAAGCTTAGATCGAGACTCTTTCGTGCGAGAGATAGAGGAATGCGAGGCACGAGTTATCTCCCTTTGCATAGTCTAGCAAATGATGGAAGTAGTTTACGAACCAACTGAATGAGTGAGTGAGTTTAGATTTACGCCGCACTCAGCAATAGTCCAGCTATATGGCGGCGGTCTGTAAAAAATCTAACTAAGATGCATAGCGTTCACTAACATGAGCGTTCATGTTAGTGAACGCTATGTATCTTAGCTATAAATAATCGAGTCTGGACCAGACAATCCAGTGATCAACAGCATGAGCATCGATCTGCGCAGTTGGGAACCGATTACATGTGTAAACCAAGTCAGCGAGCCTGACCACCCGATCCCGTTACTGGCCTCTTACGACAAGCATGGGTTATTGAAGTTCAATATTCTAACCCGGGCCTTCATTGGTATTTTTCCAACCATGTGTAAACGTGGAGAACAAAGCTGGAGCAAAATATTAGGGTAGTGAGCACCTTGGTTTCAAGTGCAAGTGCGTGTGAACGCTGGGTATCAGGCATAATATAATAATAATAAATGCATATTTATAGTGCGCCTATTCCACATCCTGGGGCATGCTCAAAGCGCTATGTACAGATAATTTACACGAGAGTATTTACAGCCGAGATTATAAGTAATAAACTGAGAACAGGTTTTAAGCCTGGACTTTAAAAATGTCAATTGTGTCAGAGCTTTTAATATGTGCCTGAATAACACGCAGCCTGCCTTTAGAATCCCCCACCAAATATGCGCAGTGAAATGAAACATATTCGTATCTTTTTGCTTCAGAACATTGTTCACTTTACGGCTACACCGACTCGCTCGGTTGTGTTCCCATGACGACAGTGGTCAGACTGGCCTGACATTTGTAAGGCTTCAGTGCGGTGTTTGTTTACATCACAGAAATATACAAATCATGGGGGATTTTAGGGGACGCTCACGGTGAAATGCTCGCTCTTATTTTTCACATAGAATAGGAAAGCCACCATTTTGGTTTCTGTACGATTGATTTTAGCTATCCTAAGTTGGTCAGGAGCAACTTAGACTTTGGATCTTAACTTTACGATTGACTTGGGTAAGATTGGTTAGTGAACGGTACGCCGATCGTAACGTCACGCTAAGATTGGGATTTTAGGGGTTTACGATTGGCGTAGGGCTAAGATCGGTTAGTGGAACGGCACCCTGATCGAGCTTCATGAGTCCTACTCGTGAGAACTTGTGTTAGTGACAAATAGGTGATGTTTTAAAACCCTGTCAGGAGTAGGCAATATACGAAAATATTTTTGCTGGACGTAAAACTTCATCATGTAAGTAATTTACCCATTGAGATCCAAACATGCAAGTGTATTAGACATGCTTATATCATGTTCATTCTTTTCAGTTCTACACCTAGATATACTATTCCCATGTATTATAAGTTAAATTATCTAATTTTGCAGTATATATTGCTAGCTTATATGTAATGTCAGCTCAATATATCCGAGTGAGTGAGTTTAGTATTACGCCGCACTCAGCAATATTCCAGCTATATGGCGGTATTTATCCAATTATACCAGTTCATCTATTTTATCATTTTATAACCATTAAAACAATTATTACATATACTTTACACTCATAGCTTTGTGTAATAATTTGTGTAATCAATTATTAAACCTCTTAGCCTTACAATGCATTGACACAAGTCACGTATAACATTTCTGAAAGAATCATTGTTTCAATTTACAGATACGTTTTGTGGATCTAGGGACTTGTTGGAGATTGACAAGAGGCTTGGCTTGGTAATCATTTATAGTTACACCCTACCATGCTCCTAATTTCATTAAAGGAAATCTTAAAACAATATTTTTTATTCATCAGCATTTAGTCAAAACAAGTAAACACTAAATAGATACATAGAATAAATTTCTTTATCTTTGTGAAAAATATAATCACTCAAAATGTAACAGTGCGTGGATTCCAGTGTAATTATAAGTTGATATGTTTTTCAGTTCCAAGAAGAAGACCAGTTTTCTGTCCGCACTGCCGGTCGCTTGTTTCAAGGAAACAAGGAATCCGTCTGGAATGGACGGCAGTTTCTCATCAGGTTAGTCGTCAAAGATACTTCACTTCATAGGTTTCACTTAACGACTTCAGTTTGATCTGTCCCTTTGTTATCCATCATATATCAATAATGAATATATTTAATTATTGTATATCAAATATGTAACTGTAAGTGTAAGTGAATAAGTTGTGTTACACATTTTACAGTTTTTAAATTAAAGTAAAGGTCACATTAAAAAATTATTTTTTTTGTTATTATATTGCTGTGAATGTTTCTTTAGAGGGTTGATAAAACTAAGAAATACCCACGATTTTTCATTCATGGGAAATGTTAGGTTTTGTATGCTTTTCTCAGTTGAGTTGGTCATTTCAATTTGAAATGAATAAGATCACATATATAATAAGGTGTTACATTCAGTGTTTAAACATGATTCGTATCTATTTAAAATATGTATGTACCGTTTTACCTATTCTTAGATTTCAGTTGGATATTTGGTAGTAGATGTTACCTTGAATATGAGTACAGTAACAGTAATAAATATTACCACAATTTGCTTCAGAATACTGGGTTGGCTACTATTTTCTGGTACCAATCAATCAAATAAGTGACATGTCCAATGGAAGCTACAATATACATGTATACTACAGATCTTTCCTTTGTGATTGTGAAAAAAAAATCTTTTGGGTACATCTACAAATTAGTCGTTCTAATTTGATAATTTCATTGTGATCAGATATACCACTGTGCATGTTTTGAATATGTATACATGTGTTACTTTGGCTGTTTTGTAGTTTTACTAAGCATTGTATGTATTGTATTTGCAGGATGATGCAGAGTCTGTGTGGGACGATGAGCATGGCAACGATGTTGTGCCAGACATCAACCAAGACTCTTCATATTCACCCACAGATCTTAAGTAGAGCATACACCATCTGTTTGCGGTTGTGGACTGGTTCAAGCCTTGTTGTAATCAACTTGGTTATATTTCCCCTTTCTCTGTGTGGCAAAACAAATGTCTCAACTCAGGCTCTGCTTCATATGTACCAGATCAGAGGATTGCTGTCAGCTCAGTATGAGTGCAACAGAAGCTTCATGATTGTCAGCAAGTTGCCAAGTCTTTACTATGTGAGATTGTTAGTGTGTACTGTATATGTTAAGATACATTGAGGCAGCTTCAAATGTACACTTCATGTATATGGGCCCATGACCTTTCATACAATAAACATTTGAATTTGAATTTAAAATCTGTTGAATAAATATCACAGCAAGTATGTTATGCCTGCACTAGTAGACATCATTTCATCATATGCATAAAATGTTGTAGGGTTTTGACATATTTGTATTTGCATATTCATACAGAAGTTGTGTTCTCCAATGCTGAAGATTCCCTCTTGATGTGGCTTCTCTCATACATACATACATACATACATACATACATACATACATACATACATACATACATACATACATACATACATACATACATACATACATACATACATACATACATACATACATACATACATACATGAAACTCGTATATCTAAATTTGTAAATGTGTACATGAAATAAAAACAAACTTATATACCTACCTGTCTTATAAGGACAGTAAAATAACTAGTCTATCACAAATGTACACTAAAAACTGGCATGTAACCATAAACACTTTAACGGTACAGTATAAAAATGGGCTATAGATTGCCAACACCTGAAGGTTGATCAACATACTAGGGACTACGGGAACGTACAGTACTTTTGCTTCCTGCGTGGACCCTAGCTGGGTTCTGTATATAGAAATTATCTTGCAAATGTAACAGTAAGTAAATATTGTCCCCCAATGGAACAGCACAAAGCTAAGTTTGCCATTTCATCTAAGCTGAAACCAACAGAAACCTAGCTGAAACCTACATTACCCAGTATTCAATAGGTTTCCGCAATAGCGGAAACTAAGTCATTTTGCTATGAATGTTTCAGCGAACTGAAACTAAATGGAAACGCATAATGATAGTTTCAGTTGTAGAAACTTGACGGAAACCTAGATTTGTTAGTTTCAGTTTTGTAAACTATGCGGAAACTCGCATTGTCTGTTTCCGGATACTGAAACCTAGCGGAAACCTACATTACCCAGTATCCATTAGGTTTCCGCAAGAACGGAAACTAAGTTATTTTTGCTGTGTTTGTATACACAAAGGAGTCTGATGCTATCAATGAGCATTAGGGTTAAAACGTTTTCTGCTTCCTTTTCAAACATCTGTACGTCTCTAACATAGACATTTCTCCTTATCCTTGGTAAAGAACATAACATTACAGTGTTCACGAATGGTGTTTAAAGGTAACAGGACATTGGGTCCTGCAAGTTTCAGATGTCTGTCTGACCCATTGAAAATTCACAGGACCCATAGAATAAAATTAAACATGCATTTCGGATTTAACATTTATTATAATTGGCATTAAAATCATTAACAAACACAAGATATATAAACAGCAAACAAGTATCACATGTCACATAAAACAACTTAAGTCAAAGTCATTGTGAAATATACAGTCAGACACTGGGGCTGGTGGGTTGTAGACTTCTATCAGGCCATTGGAAAATCTGCCGGATTTGTCAGAGGGTCAGACACTTTTCGTGAACCCTGGCATTATAGAAATCAGATTAATTTGTTTATTCTCATTACTCGAAATCAAAACCGATCATCAAAGCCAAACACAAATCTTCAATCTTCAAGAAAAGTGGGAAAATTTGAGCTGATATATAAATGAGTAACGAGAACATGATCCCATTTTTTTTTATGTTTACATAAAGCACGCACTCACTTGCAGATGGCGCTCTAACAAACCATACTGTAGCGTATTGCGAGAAGACGATGAACAGTACCTGCCAAAGACATATCGTGATAACGAGATCTTTTGTGGCAATGACGGCAAGAAGTATCATAGCATGTAAGTATCGGCCTAAAAAAGAACCACTGTTTCTAAAACGTAATGGTCTTGGATTAACCGCGCCAGAATCTGTGGTTTCAATTCTCAGATATATTCCGATGATGATTCCAGCTCTGCATAGTCACCAGAATCTGTGGTTTCGATTCCAAGATATATCCTGATAATGATTCTAGCTCTGTACAGGTACCAGAATCTGTGGTTTCGATTCTCAGATATACCTCGATAATGATTCCAGCTCTGCACAGGTACCAGAATCTGTGGTTTCGATTCTAAGATATATTCCGATGATGATTCATGTCTGCATAGGCACCAGAATCTGGGGTTTCAATTCTAAGATACATCCCGATGACGATTCTAGCTCTGCATGGGTACCAGAATCTGTGGTTTCAGTTCTAAGATACATCCCGATGATGATTCAAGTTGTGCATAGTTACCTTGAAATACAGATATATCCATTGTAGATATGCAATCCAACTTGTTACATGATAACAATGATTTCATTACACTTGATACATTTCCATATTATATTTGGCTTCAGATGTGAGTATATACTTGCCCTTTGTGAGTACCACGTCCACGTGGTGGGCTACGGTGAGAACTGCACCAAGAGAACGCACCCAACTCAGACTCCACCGTCCCATTTTGAGCTTGGTCTTTTTTGGTGCCATAACAAATGGCATCGATGACAGGCTGAGGGCAGTCAAGGCCAAAAACATCTCTGTAGCTGATGCCAAGAAGGTGTACACCGTACAGGATCATGCCAACAAAGTGTACGTCCGCAACCCGGACTGCTGGGCCTATGACCTTGACCTGACCTCCATCTCTCCCTGGAACAGCAACCTGGCCAACAGGAAGGCTGGAACTCTGGTTTCTCCAAGACACGCCCTATGGGCTAGGCACTACAGCATCAAGCTCAATTCCACTATCAGGTTTGTTGACCAAAACAACAACGTAGTTGATCGCCGTGTCGTGAAGACCCAGACAGTATCTGGACCTAGCCACAGCTCATTCTATGGCCAGGACATCGTGGTGGGTGAACTGGACATTGACGTCCCCAACACCATTTCCTTCGCTAAAGTGATGCCCAGAAACCTGACCAGCTTCCGCGTGCCTTACAGTACGCACATACCGGCCGTGAGCACAGACCAGGAGGAGAAGGCTCTCGTGGACGACTTCTACTATTACTCCTCCACTAATGCAGGGCTACATGTTCCTCTAACCACCTCCATCAGACACGACTACTATGAAAGCAAGATCAGCGGTGACAGTGGCAACCCCACCTTCTTCGTCATCGACGACCAGTTGGCTCTTTTGTTCGTGTTCACAACAGGCGGTGCTGGAGGTGGGACGTCCATCAACCACTACTTTGACAACATCAACGAGATTATGGCCAAGGAAGGAGGTGGCTACCAGCTGACGGAGATTAATCTTAGCAAGTATCTTGCAAAGGGCGAATCATTACCGGGCATTATTGGGAAATAAATACTGACATGAGCATAACGTGTTTGTTTACTATACCTTTGTAAGTGAGTGAGTTTAGTTTTACGCCGCATCTGCGCAATTTGGAGCCGATGACACCTGACCTGACCACCCGATAACGTCAGTCGCCTCTAACGACAAGCATGGTTTACTGAAGATCTATTCTAACCCGGGCCTTCACGGGTCCTATACGTTTGTCATACCAGAAGAATGTATATTCAGAGGGAACAATCATGGTGATAGAAAATCCATCTTGAATATATAGAAAACGTGAAAAAGCATCAAACCGTGCTCGTAGGTTTTACCAAATTAGTAAACGTCGTCTGAATGCTATAAGAGGGGTTGTCTAGTTTAGATAATCAAGTCTTTCATGAATCCACACGTATAACCTGAATCTAAAAACATAATGAGGTCACAGAAAAATCACCATACAAAATGTTTGGTGATATAACATTTAACATAGGATGACGTTCAGAGTTCACAATACAATATACAGACGGGCTATAGATCGCCATCAACTGAAGGTAGATCACCATACTAGAGTCCATGGGGACACTGACCTTACCTGGATTTATATCATCCTGTCAATCGCCGAGAATAGATAGAATTTTTTGCTGCAGCAGGGAAAAGTCAACATTTTATTATTTCACATTAGCAACAAAGAAAAAAGTATGGACAGCTTAGAAACTTCGTTTCCCGAATAACACATAAAATGCGTTCTACTTGTTAAACATGTTTTCGTTTAATTATTATAAGTTAATGGTTAAGTTTGTTTCCTATTACATTTTTGAACTGAATAAACTGGCGTTGGACATTCACAGTTAAAATTAATGCTTGGAATATCAACCATCTCTTTTGCCAACCAAGGCGCGTCTATTTACAGGATGCAGTAATGTTTCTACTATCGATGACCTCGAAAAACCGACCCGTGAAGATCAGGATTAAAATTGGTCTTCTCCCACCCATGCTTGACGTAGAGGCGTCTTAGGGGATCGGGGTGGGGGTAGGGTGGGGATGGTCAGGCTTGCCAACTTGACACAAGTCATTGTATCCCATCCATGCTCATGCTGTTGATCACTGGATTGTCTGGTCAGGCTTGATTATTTACTACCCGTCTCCATATAGCTGGAATGTTGCTGATTGCGATGTTAAACAACAAACAAACAAAAACATCGCAAAACAAAACAATCATACCTCTGTGTTCACAAATCTGAAATGTGAGTCCATGAGTCATTTCTTGAAGGCCTAAAATCGCAATACATGTTTTAGAACTATTATGCTGGCCAACGTTTAATTGACAGTACAGTTAACTACGGATATGACGAGTTCAAATGGACCACTAACTTTAGTTCGTTTTAACCGAAGTTCGTTATAAGCATCTCGACTGTAATGTGAAGGAAGTGGCACGGACGAAAAACAAACAATTCCGTCAGTTCCTCGCACCAAGAGCCAATGAGCTAGTGGTCCTGAAGCTTGTTTACAAGCTGATATATATGAAATATTGTTCAAAATAGATTCATGTTCGATTCGTTTCCCTGGGAACGCCAGCACTTGAAAGGCCAACAACGCTCAACCCAACTGTGTGTATACGTTGGTGCTCACACTGTCAGTCCTTGGTTTGTCTTTTCAAAGTCTTATTTTTCCACGACACTGTAATGCTGCCTACCTTTATTCAATCAATATTTCATGCTCTCGGCATTATCCCAGGTATATGACGACGGTGTGTAAATAATCGCGTCTGGACCAGACAATCCAGTGACAGAGCAAATGAGCAAATTACAAAAATTAATGTTTAGTTTTCAAGAAACAACAAATGTGGGTCAGAGTATGACTATCAGCTCGAAGACCTGCGCCTGTTGTAAAAATGGAAGCAAAACAAAAACCAAAAACCCTGAACGGCCATATAAATAGATTTTCAACGTTATCTTCTTCCAAACATTCCATAGATAGTGTCCTGCAAATATACTGAGCAAAACAGAAAACTTGACACTCGGGATTTTTTGGACTAGGTTTTTAATATCATATTTAAGACAATACGTTTAGTTATATGCTGTCCACAGAACATCTTGACATCAAAGGGACACAAAACAAAAAGACTCGACGAAACTCTTTAACAACGATGACGTTTATGATGTCAAGGTACCCTTCAAAATGAAGTTCATAGCGCGGAGAACAATTCGACTGATTCTTTCAGTAAGGGTTGTGGCCTCCTCTAGCGTCTCTTACAGCGACATAACGTCTCCTCGTTGATCTTAGAACGTTAGTAGACACACCCCGAGGAAGACGTCGCAATTGCTCTACAAGGTGACGTTGTTCTTGAGATCTTGCAACGTCTGTGGTGGATTGACTTGCAGACGAACACGTCGACCCAGCTCGTCCCAATTGAGGTCGGGCCTACGCGACGGCCAATCCAGAACTTGAATACCGGCATTTCGTAGAAAATTCTGTGTAAGAACAGCCGTATGGAGTCAAGCGTTCTGTTGTTGGAACGTCAGTCCATGTCTCTGAATAAATGGAAGCAGGACGGATTGCAAAATCTAATGCTTGTACTGGGCAGTATTTTTGTTCCCTCGAACGACTACAACGGGTGAACGTCCGTGTGCGCAAAATGAACCCCATACCATTACGCTCCGCCACCAAATCTGTCCACTTCACAGACGCAGACTTGAGCGTGACGTTCATCTCGCCTGCGGTACACTCGGACCCTGCCGTCGGCAAATCTCAATGTGAATCGAGATTCGTGGCTGAAGACAACCGAATTCCACTGTCTTTAATTGACACCAGTCGGTTGCGGCGACGAAGAGGCGTTAAACTTGGTCCATTATGGTGTCCTCGGGCGCGGAGTCCAGCAGCAGGCAAGCGATCGATATCTGACAGTTTGTGCAATTATCCTTCCACCAAACATCTTCCTACCTGTGGAAGTTCCAGTAACAAATTTGTTCCGATGATGACATAATCGTACTGCTTGATCTTCCCGGAGTGACGTGACACGTGACGCCCCCGGCTTCCCCGGTGGTCGGCAACAGTTCCGGTTTGATGCAGTCTTATCCTAAGATTAAAACTTGTTTCTTGTGAGCAATTAAAGGTTCCTGTAACAGCGACCACAGATTGACCAGCACCAATCCTCCCCCTTAGCACGTTGATGTTCTTGATTTGAAAGGCTTGGCATTACCAAACAAAGAGTAAAATGAAAAGTTTGATTTGTTTTCCAGCTCACATTCAATGTGCGTGTTCAGTTGAAACATGCACCGAATGACCACATGAATGAGCTTTTCACACGTGCATTTGGTAACATTCATCTTTATAGGCGCCAAAGTCAAGGTTTGCACGTGAACTGTTTACCACTGTGTAATATACTTGTAAATTTATTTGATTAAACAGAAAAAGAAAAATGTCGAAATTTATCAGTTTCAAGTTTTCAATTTTGTATACACAGAGTGTCAACTAGAAGTGGTTTCGGTTCAAACTTGTACATTACATTCTTTTTACAAACGCAAATCTACGTAAGATTGCATATGTAGAATCTCGAAAGTATACATTATGTGAAGCTGAACCTGAAACAGTGATTCATCTGTTTTGTGAATGTGAACATTCAGAAAGATTATGGAGTCACTTGTCGGATTGGTTAAATACTGTAACTGCATGAAGAATTTGTTTCACAAATGAAAAAGCTATTCTTGGATTTGAAGGGAAACATAACAATCCATTGAATGTGATAATATCATTGCCAAACAAAGTATCATTTTCAGAATTGTCAATTCTTAAGTTTCCCAATTTCTGTTCATCATTTCATATTTTGTTTGCAGAGACTTGAACAAATCTTCCCCAGGGGTATAAGATCCCCAAAATAGTTTAACTTTTTGAAACTTGAAACTGGCAAATACCTAGTGCTTTTTGTACATCATAATTAAAAAACCTCACTTAAAATGCTACCATGCTCCACAAACGCTGTTATGTATTGTTATATATGTTACTGTATATCTATATTTTGTTAAACATGAAAATGGGAAATAAAAGACTTAAATTGAAAAAAAAAGAAACAGCAAAAGTAGGTCTTAATGTGGCTTATAGTGATCATTTGGCACCAGCGTCATAAAATGGTAGAACCCAGTATAAAATATGTGGTTCCAAGGCGGTATTAAGATAACAATGTACGGATATACATATTCAAAGTTTCTTAACCTAAATGTCTGGCCGTGCGAGTGGTGTACATAAAACCACGAAGCAATTTCTGATTGTAGATGAAAGTGGGAAAACAGACACCTGTGTCACCAAATGTGGACAGTAGTATAAAAAACCAAATCAGTTGGGGACACGTCAGAGGACAAGTGGTCTTGTCTTGGTCTGGAACACAACATCTGGGGAACTGTTCACGATGATGTCTCTTGTAGTCGTCGCCTTTGTTGTCATTGGTGCGACGCTGTCAGGTTTGTGAACCTCCAATCCTCTTGAACGAAATGAGTGTGTTTTATCTAGTCAATTTTAATCGTCTTTTCCTTTGTGAGAAGTTGTAGAATTTTTGGTTTATCTTGTCACGATTAACCTACACAATCTTCATGTGTAGTGTGAAGTGGCTAAGATATAATATGGGACAAATTTTGTGCTTATGTATTCAGTAAAATATAACAACAGCTTTTTCGCCTATTATTCTGTGTTTCCCATCTCCCGCCATTCCTGAATTTTCATTCCGACGTCAAATAATGAAACGTTTTTTGTCTTAGACACGTCAGCTTGATTTTATTTTATCTAAATGTTGTAAATAGTGGATTACGAAGCAAAAATTACGATCTACATCCAAAATCTGGTCCAAATATTAAAATCAAACAACAAATATCAATATATACAATAATAATTTTCAATGAATTATATATGAAGCTATAACCTAAAAAATATCTTTGCTAATATAGACATGCCGGCTTTAAAATAGACCGATTGTCTTCTCAATTGTATGCACAGAGGAGACTGATCGAAAAAAACCCTGATACTATCAATGAGCATTAGGGTTAAAACATTTCT